GACGTGTGACAAGCGGCTTAAGTAGACTCATGACATATTAAAAAGACATTTACAAATGACGTTGACAGAATGAGCATAATTTTCAATTATATTTCCTTTTTTTAGACGCTGATTCCACGCTTCACCTCCACTTACAATGTATCTCCCCATAACCTGCGAAAAAATAAACAGGGATTAAGTCTGGTGATTTTGTATGCTCTCGCAACTAGATATTTATTAAGTAATGGCGTCCGTTACTGGTTGGGTTCAAAATTCAGACACGTGCGGTTTATACACAAAATAAAAATTATCTATCTACGATCAATATCCAAACATATGTACATAACAAACTACGTGTTACATACTGCAGGTTTTTTTTTTTCACTTTACATCCGTTAAGTTATTTACAAAATGTAATAGATCCGCTGATTGTAGGTGAAAAAAATATGATTATTAATCTTTTACAATAATTCATTATCGAGTGACGTCAAAAGTTATTTCATAATAATATTTGATTATTAATTGCATTGGTATTTTGACACACGGGGTCGAGAGGTCTCTATTAGGTTAAAATTTAATAATTTTTTTATTATATATTCAGATAATAAATAAAATTACAATTCATTCACGTTTAACTCATTATTGTTTTTATTATTCTTTTACGACATATGACAGAAAACGTGTTTTTAATTTGTTAAAATAATAAAAATAAAAGGTGAAATTTTATTTGTTTATTCTACAAATTTAATACAGTAACACATAACAGTTTGGCGACGCGGAGTATAAAGAATAATTTCTAACCATAACTGTTCGTTAACCACGAAATTACAAATTTTATCGTTGTTTCCGTTAATTGGAACTGCAAGATTGCTTTGATTATATCCAGTCGAGATCTGGCCATTCTCTACCATTAAATGTAGAGGGATTAAGTTTAAGATTACCTCCATTGCATTGAAAAATCGAAAAATCGAAAAATCGAAAAATCGAAAAATCGAAAAATCGAAAAATCGAAAAATCGAAAAATCGAAAAATCGAAAAATCGAAAAATCGAAAAATCGAAAAATCGAAAAATCGAAAAATCGAAAAATCGAAAAATCGAAAAATCGAAAAATCGAAAAATCGAAAAATCGAAAAATCGAAAAATCGAAAAATCGAAAAATCGAAAAATCGAAAAATCGAAAAATCGAAAAATCGAAAAATCGAAAAATCGAAAAATCGAAAAATCGAAAAATCGAAAAATCGAAAAATCGAAAAATCGAAAAATCGAAAAATCGAAAAATCGAAAAATCGAAAAATCGAAAAATCGAAAAATCGAAAAATTGAAAAATCTAAAAAGAAATTCCGTAACGAAAATAAACCTAACACCCCCCACTCCGACCGGCACAGCGGTGCGGCGTTGAAAGCCGTGCATCGTCTAACGTAGTTTCAGTTCGGCAGACTTCGGCACGGTGTTTATGTGCGTGCGACTAGTCGTATGCGTGTAGACTAGCTGCTAACTGCTCATAACTGATTCTATCTCTTTTAGACACAATTTCGGAAAAATTGAATTTGAAAATGAATAATGACCCCCAAGAATCCACAACAAAATAATAATAATAATAATAATAATAATAATAATAATGTTTATTGAATAATATAAATATAAAAATGTACATTATAATTTTTAAAAAGTTAAAACAAACATATAACATAATGAATAATGAATAAACATAAATCCACTGAAACCGACCTGCAGGCAGTGTCAGTTTGTATGTGGAAACTTTGGTATGAAAAAAAAATATATATAAATAAAATATTAACATTAATAAAAATAACTCAGTAAAGTATCACAATAAGGTAAAGCGTCACAATAGGGTAAAGCGACAAATAGGGTATATATAAAATAATGTTTTAATCGGTATGACAGTTAAAATATAATACAATTAAAATTAATATTATCTATGATGTATAGGTACACATAGAAGGTATAACATAATTTGATACAAGAATTTATATTAGTTAATTTAGTTTATTAATAATTTATATTATTTAATTTAGTTTGGTGTCTTCAAGGTGTACCCTACGATATATTATTTATTATATTATAAAATGTTACTCTGGGTGTATTTTTAATCCAAAGTTTAAGTGAATTTTTAATTGTAATTGTATTTTGGATATTTTTAAGTTCTGCTGGAATGCTGTTATAAATTTTAGGTGCAAGGTAATTAATGCTTCGTTGTTTAATTGTTTTTTCACATTTAGGTACCTTTACATTAAGCTTTTTTTTCTGGTAGAATACGAGTGTGACAGAGGTTCTATTATTACTTTTTTTTATGAATGTTTATAATAATTTTTTCACAATACAGTTGCCTTACGTCAAGTACATTACTAATTTGATATAATGCGTTACTAGAAAACCTAATGTTTTTTCTATAAATTATTCTTAGTATCCATTTTTGTAATATGTTCACTTTATCAAGATGGCAATCATGAACTCCTCCCCATCCCAGCACACCATAAGACAACTGTGATTGAACTAAGGCAAAGTAAAGAATACGTAAATGATTAATATCTAAAAAATCTGTCAAATATCGAAATCGACCTGTTAAACCTCGTATTTTATTAATCAAATTATCGATTTGTGAATCCCATCGTAAATGTCTATCAATGGTATTCCTAAATATTTAACTGCTTTCTCTTCCGGGATCTCTGTATTGTTATCAATAAGGAGATTGCCGAACCGAGGTAAGTTATTTACGTATGAAGTAAATGGTAGATAACAGGTTTTTTTAACATTAAGTGTAAGTTTATTGTATTGTAACCATTTCTTAATTTGTTTGAAATCTGTTTCTGCAGTTCGCTTTAATTTGACCCAAGAATCTGCCTGATAAAAAATCGTGGTATCATCAGCAAAACTAAGAACCGCACCTTTGACGTCAAGATTTAGTAAGCTATTTATATAGATAATAAAGAGAATTGGCCTCAGGACGCCAAAGGTTACTGTTCTCGCCTCGCTCTTGGTTCCATTAATTACAACCTGCTGTCGTCTATCCGTTAAATAACTTTTTAACAGTTCACATGGCTCCCCCTAATACCATACGCATAAAGCTTTTTCAAAACATTTTTGTGACAGACCGTATCAAAGGCTTTAGAGAGATCAACGAAGATACTTAAAGCAGGAATTTTTTTATCAATTGTTTCATAAATTAAAGATGTTAATGCACAAATAGCATCCTCTGTTGATTTACCCGCTCTAAAACCATATTGATGATCTGAGATAATTTTATGTTCATTTAAAAACTGTATTAGACGCTCTTTAAAAAGTTTTTCTATTATTTTAGATAAAGTGGATAGCAAAGATATTGGTCGGTAATTACCGACTTCTAGCTTATTTCCAGATTTAAATAAAGGCTTAATCAATCCAACTTTTAGTTATCAAAACATTTGTTGATGATAATTTTTAAGGTATTTGCAATAAGATCTGCGACCTCTTTTAAGGTCTCAGCTTTTATATCATCAAATCCAGGCGCTTTCCTTGATTTAAAAGTTTTTATTGTTTTTATAATTTCCTCTTCACTAGTGTGTGACAAAAACATGCTTTTTTCAAGTGTTGAGATTTTGTCTTCGAAATTAACCGGTTCTTCAATTTTTTCAGCATATTGTTCTCCCAAGTCGCTAAAAAAATTGTTAAATTCGTTGGCGATCTGAGAGTCATTAAGAATTAAGTCATTGTTTTTGGATAGTATTTGAGATATTTTTGTTACTGTTTGCTCTTTGCCACATATACTATTTATACAGCTCCATAGATTTTTTGAAGATGATTTATTATTTTATTATCACTTATACATTTGTTTACATAATTAGTTTTACTTTTTTTTATTACACGATTGTTTTTGCATTTGCTGTATTCTGATTTCAACTCTTGATTATTTGAATCTTTGCAAAGTTTTTCATAAAGTTTATTTTTATGTGCAATAGATTTTATTAAATTATTATTTATCCAAGGTTTTTTTGGTTTTTTATTAGATACAATTTTAACAGAATTTGTGCAATTGGTGATGTGACTCTTAAGAATTGTGATAAATGTGTCCATCATAAAATCTATATCGTTTGATGTTTCTAAGAATTTCCAAGATTCCACGCTCAAGTAAATTCTCAATTTTGTGTAATTAACGAATTTTTTTAAAATTAGAAATATTTGGTGTTTTTAAATAGTGGTAATTCATTATCAAACCGATAGGATCGTGATCTGTTGTGTCGTGTAGCAGAATAAAAGATTTAATATCCGTAATATTTTTGGACGAAATCTTAACAAAGTAATGATCTAAGCAAGTACCACTTGCTCTTCGAGTTACTTGATTTATATACGAAGAATAATCAAATGAGTTTAGAATCGTTTTATATATTTAGAGGATATCAAGTCTCAAACTTATGCTTATTTCAGTTACCATAAACCTATAGTTTCAATGATAAAAATTTCTGAATAACCTACTTGTATTGTAAGATAATAAAAATATTTTAAATAATATCAACTTCTCATTTATTCAATAAAAGAAAAATATTTGCTTTCTTATCGGTCACCACACTCAAAAAATGTAACTTGAATTAATATCAAAGAAAAAAAATACTGCAAAAATAAATAAATAATTATAATTGCATAAGTTGATAAAAATGCTATGCAATAGCTTTATCGCGGCAGTCCCCGAGTGCCACACGTATTTTTTTATACTTATTATTCATTTTTGCCATTACCTACAGATATTTTTTTTAAATGAAAGTAGTTTAATGAGACAAAATTTAAAAAAAAATACTTTTGGGGCCAACATATATTTTATCGAACCCAAATTAATCCTTATAAAACCACTTCGCCAAGAAACAACCCCATATTTTTAATTATTTTATTTACAAGAATAATAAATAACATTTAAAAAAAAAATCAAAAACGCAAAAATGTTTTATTTCAAGCGACATATCGATTTGAAGGTAGGCGCTTATAGTCCCGGCGGGTGTAGGAAGTTTGAAGTTGCCAACTGCCATTGAAACTCCCTCTGAAAATCGATAAACTCCCGACTCGACAGACAATTCCAATTCCATATGTGAAACTCACGAATATGTAACGCTAAATTTGTGTTTTGCTTGTTTCTAAACTAGTACAAGAATAATATAACACGGTAAGTTGGCGTATTATTCACCTAGTTTTTACGTAGCTATTAAAATAGTCAAAAAACCGAAAACACAGATGTTGATTTGATCTTAAATATAGGGCAGATTTCAGATACAACATTTTTTATTTGAACCCTTTATTACAACCATAAACAAATTTCAAAAATGTATCTGATAGTTTTCATGAAAGAAAATGATCTAGATGATAAAGAAATGCATTACTGTCGCAGTAAAACTATTAATAAAACATTTGCGAATCAATACATTTGATGATATTAAATCATTAATTAAGGAATAAAGAATAATGAAGATTGATACATATCTGTATATCCATGCAATTCAAATTTTGTACAACAAAAAAATTAAATATATAAATAATGTTGTGTATATCTGATTCTTATACTACAAGGTAAGCCGTTTTTTAGTTCTTCAAATTGTTTGAGAATATAAAATAGCTATAAGAAATATTGATCATATTAAAAAAAATCATTTTTAAACCTTCAGTAACAAAAATGTAAGAAAGATTTGAAAACCATAATGCTAGTTGGTTAAATTCTAAATTCATAGTCCCAGATATTATGACTGCTGATATCAATAAAATAACTTCTTTATCAGGTCTATGGCGGCCTTCCAGCAACATCAATAACAATAAGAAATTGAATTCGGCACAGATATGAACAAATCCACACCAGGTCATAAATGAAACCACATGTTCTGGGGTCAAACATAACTCTATTGAACATACCTTACTGCAAATGTGCACACAAAAAAGTTACAGCCCTTGGAAAGTACACAATTATTTCATAAACTGTTTAACATTTTGTAATGAAAATGGATACATGGCTTTCTTATCGTAAGGGCTTCTTTTTCATATAAAACCATGAAATCTGTACAGTCCATACATACAGTTCATTTTTGTGTGCACATTTGCATTATAAGTTATGTTCAATCTAGTTGTTTTTGAGTCCAGAATATGTGGTTTCTTTTTGGTACCTTTTTGTTACACCCTGTATAGTGCACTCTATGTATGCTGAATTTCTTATAAAACATTTTTTATTTGGAATCAGCAGAAAGTATTTATTAAATATTGATATGAAAAATTAAATTATACAATTATTAAAGAATGGACCAAACTTCAGATGTGGTTAGTTTGGACAAAAATAAGTTCATTCAAACCAATTTACCCTAGTAGAATTTTGATTGCTTAAGAATTTACAGGGTAGAGAAAATATTTTTTTTCTCGATATTTTTACGATAATTCAAATATTTCTTGAGTAAATATACCCAAAGTTTTTTTGGGTAATACAAACGAATACGAACTTTTTTGTTGCATTACATGTACAGGGTGTTCTAAACTGGCGTGCCAATCTAGTATTTACTTCAGATTTTTTAATGCACATGTTCGATGCAGTTCTAGTGTTATGTTCTAAAGGGTTTTTAAAAATTCATTTTTTGTATACACTGCGTGAATATATAAACCTCTATTATTGCTAATTTTTTCATTATTTAAAGTTATGGTGGGACACAATCTATCTCTTTTATATATTAACTTCAAGATTTTGTTTTGAATAACATTCAACTGATTTAATGTAGTTCCATACAGACCTCCCCATACTAAGATTCCATACCGTAGAATAGATTCTACCAGACTGTAGTATAATGTTATTAGTAGATCTTGGTTGAGAAATTGTTTTAGAAGATAAAATTTATAAATCAGAAATCTAAGTTTTTTGCTATATATATTATATAGCAGTCCCATTTTAAGTGCTGGTCTATAATTATACCTAAATATTTGGATGTTTCTGTTTCCTGTCTAAATTTTGACATGTTAAGCTTCTAAATTGAGGTCGATCAGCCACTGTCTTTGAAAAAGCAATGTAGTTTGTTTTGTTAACATTCAAAGACAATTTAAAAACATCCAGCCAGTTTTTGACATGTTCCATTCCAGCTATAGCACGTGTCTTGATGGCTTCCCAATCTTTATCACTGAAGACTAGCACTGTATCATCAGCATATGATACAACTTTACCTTGAATATCAATCTGAGTTAAGCTCTTAATGTATAAATTAAATAGTATAGGTCCCAGAACAGTCCCTTGAGGCACTCCGATTTGTATATTTTCAGGGTTACTCACATTGTCTCTGACCTTTACGTTCTGTTGTCTGTATGTCAAATAATTTTCAAAAACCTTCAACACGATGCCCCTCACTCCATTCTGTTCAAGAACATTTAAGAGTTTCTGATGTGGCACCGTGTCAAATGCTTTTGCTAGATTTAGAAATATAGCTATACACTTCATGCATAGCATCTCCTGGGTTAAGACCCTCAGTAGAGCCATATTGGTGCTTGGGAAGTAAGTTATTAGTTTTTAAAAAATCTGTCTGTCTATCTTTCACACATTTCTCAAATATTTTGGCCACATTACTAATTAAACTAATAGGCCTATAGTTAGTTATTAATTTTGGATTACCAGCTTTATAAATAGGTGTTATAATTGAAGCTTTAAATTGTTTAGGTACGATTCCTTTATTAAAAATACAATTAAATATATGCATTGAAGGTTCCAGTAAATACGGATAGTTTCAGATGTTTTACTGTTATACAATCAAATTCCGGGGCACTATTGTTTTTTAAACTATTTATGTGTTTTATAATATCGTTTTCGCATATCGGTTTCAGAAACATTGATTTTTCAGTTACACTTACAGGAAAATCCACATTACATTCAGGGATATTTGTGAACATATTAGTGCCAATAGTCGAAAAGTAGTTATTACAGTAATTCGCCATTTCATTATCATTTTCAAATTCCCCATTATGTTGGTTAACAATCTGTAAATTGGTATTATGTTTTTTATTGTTATAATAGTCATTTTTAGTTTTTGATATTAGTTTGTTTAAATTATTTCTAAATGTTTTATAGTGAGTTTGTTTGTTAACAGTATAGTTTTTTTGTAGATCTTTTTTAAGTGTATCCCCAGTTTTAATAGAATTAATTAAACCATTTGTTATGGATTTTAATTTTAATATTTTGAGTGGTTTGACATGTTTCAGTGATATTAAGGTACGTGTCATAAAAAAGTTGTGTTGCAATTTCTGGATTATTTTCATTGCAAACACTTTCCCAGTTTACAGTTTCGAATTTATCAGTATCGATTTTAGTTATAGTTTTATATGTATTGTAGGAACTTGTGTAGTTTTTGGCAGATTGTGAGATATTTATCATAATAGGATCATGATCAGGCATATCCATAGTCATATCATAGCTGATTACATAAGAGTTCACCGATAGATTTTCAGTCTTAATATTGTTTTTTAAGAATATATGATCCAAGCATGTTTTACTTTGTGGCCTCGTAATATTGTTTATGTAACTCAACCATGGGAGTAAAAAGTTGCTTGGTAATCAGTAGTTACATTTAGGAGATCAATATTAATGTCTCCTATGAATATTTCAATATTTCTATTTAGGTGATTTGGTATGAAATTTTCTAAATCCCTTATAAATGCTTGTGCAGAGGTTTGAGGAGACCTGTATACACCTGTAATGCCAATGGTCCGATGATTGACTTTTAGATTTATTTTAGTGACACAAATATCAGAATATTCCAGTTTAACTATATTTAATTCTGCATTTAGATTTGACCTGACCAAAATTACAACACCATCATTTCTGTTAATGTTACCACTGTTATAGTGGGTGGTGAAGCCATCTAGGTTAAATTGAGAAATAGATTCTAATTGGAAACATTCAGTCAAAACTATTATATCACAATAATTAATTTTATAACTTTCTAGAAATACTAACAACTCATCAAAATTCTTTTTAATACTCCTAATATTGAAATGTAGGACATTTAATTTAATTTAATTTAATTTGTTATATTAGCAGAATCAACGACTTCATTAATCGAATCAATTTGAATAGAATTTAATAGATTATTTTCTTGATTAATAATCATGAACTATTTAAATGTGTGTACAAATATTAGTTACGTTATGTTATTGATCTGTATACTCGGTTTTATTTTGCAATACCATTTGATGATATTTCAAAGAGGGACTGATATTTCAAAATGCTAATTAGTGTCGAATAACAGATTTCCATTATAAAATATATGAAAAACCGAGTAAAACAACAAATAGTACAAAACATCTCCTTTCTTTGCAAAACTTGAACACTTGTTATAATACGGACAGGAATACTTTTGAATCAGTCGTTTCAAATAATAAAACGCTAAATAGGTGTAAAATAATAGTAATTCATTATAAAATAGATAAACAACAAATTCAATATAAAGAACTGAATGTAAAATATGATTAATGGTTTCTATTTCTATATTTTATTGATAAGTCTCGTCAAATAATTTTTCACAAATAAAAAATTAAGTTTTATTTAATTTGATGTACAAAGGTAAAGTTGAAAAATAGAACAATTTGTTTAATTACTAGTAATTACAACTACTACAATAACCTCTTTGACGAATACAATATAAAATTGTAATCTCTATTAAAAGGAGATTATAACAAAGCTTTTTATAGGTGTTTATTCAGAAAATTCCATGGACAATAACTATGATAATTGTTACAAATCAAAAATAAATATGGCATAAATTAAGAAAGTCAAACTACAAAACATGTAGGAACAATCTTAAACATAAATATAATAAAATTGTTGTTTTTGATTTACCTTGTCAAACTTGTTTGATAAAATATCTTTTGGCAAATATTAACGTAATTCCTCACTGCATACAACTGCTATTACAGCTGTAATTTCTCCGTGTTCAAAAACCTTTTGATCAAGTCTGGCAAGCCGGACTTCCCATCAATATTTCCAAACTCCATACACTTAAACCTCACTAACAGAACTATCACAATCAAAGCAGGCAACGACCTGTCAGACCCATTCGCCCCAATTGCTGGAATACCACATTATTCCGTCCTAGTCCCTCTCCTATACCTCATATGCACCCACAATATCCTACCTACAAAACATCTAAAAAAACTATAAACCAAAATTACATTTCTTATAGATGTTAGAAGGTGCTGTAGCTAGAGTGTTAAACCAACTATTGGGTAAATATGTCGTCGATTTGGATACAGAAAATCTCAACGTCGGCATTTTCTCTGGACAGGTACAATTGACAGATCTAAAGTTAAAACCAGAGGCTTTGGTAAGTTTACTGATAACACCTCTAGAATTTATACTTTTATACAAAATGTACCTTTATTTCAGTATGAATTAAACCTTCCAATCGAAGTAAGAGTAGGTACAATCGGCAAAATACGGCTCCAAATCCCATGGACGAGCCTATGGAGCCAACCCATCATCATCAACATAGAAGACCTACATATAGTAGCCGGTCCTATAGTTTCAAAAGAAAAATTCGATCCAGAGAAAAACAAACGACTCACGAGAGCAGCCAAGAAGAAAGCTTTAGCCGATTTGGACGACAAGGATATTCTAGGTGGTCCTACGTCGTTTTCGGAGCATCTGATCACGAACATTTTAAATTACTTTCAATTGAACATTACTAATATTCATATCAGGTACGAGGATAACTCTAGTTTGAAGGTTCCAATAGCTGCAGGTTTGTGCATTGGATCGATTACTGCAGAATCCACTAACAGGTATGTTCGCATAATCCACTTAGGTGTTGAACAGTAATTAATTTAATACCTACTCTAGATATTGTCCACTCCCAGTTTTTTATAACTATGGCTTCATAAAATTCAAGTCTTGATGAGATAGATTATTGACGAAATAAGTTAGTACTAACATTTTTAACGAAATATATGTCTTTTATACAATTGCAGTAAATGGAGGCCTATAAAATATGACAGAAATGCAGAAACTTGTTATTACATGGTGAAACTGGAAGCTTTCTCATTCTATTGGAATACAGAAGCAACTTTAAAAACTTGGGATCTTCCATCTCAATACTATCAATGGAGAAACACAATGTCTGCCAGTCTTCAAAATTATGCTATTAATGAACAGGACTTTAAGTTTGGTATGTTGCTACCGATTATATTACTATAGGGTAGCTGTGAGCATTCGACTTTAGTTTCATAAATTTAATTAGGTAGAGTTAGAGAAAAGAGTCACAAAATTAACAAAACAGTTAGTTTTTAGATTTATTGTAAATATCTTTTAATCATTGGTTGAGTACTTTGGATAATTTGGTACATAGCTATCTTGGTTACAGTAAGTCCACTTGTTTTCGTTTTCGAAGTGTAAGGAAATGTTTGGGAAAAGCTGGTCTATGTAATTGTACTAAACTACCATCGCTTCATCTTTTAAGTTAGCAATAATTTTTTGTTTTTAGTCGTGAACCCCATGTCATCGAAAATAAAAATGGTAATCAACAAATCACAAAACGGCCAAGTTTCCAAAATCTACACCGACATCGTAGTCCAAGACTGCAACATAGAACTCTCCAAAGAACAGTACGACTCAATTTTCGCCATGGCGCTCATCATGGAAAGAATGCTGATTAGCTGGCAGTTTCTGCAGCACAGACCAGAGGAAAAAATCGTAGACAATCAAAAAATTTGGTGGAGATACGCCAGTTACGCTTTGCTGGAGCAGAGAGTGAAGCCGTACACTTGGAGCCGAATCAGAAGGGTCAGGCAGCATTACAAGGAGTACATGGAGACTTACAAGCAAATTTTGTTGAATCCGAATGATACGGAGTTGAAGATGGATTTGCAAAAATATGAGGATCATTTGTCGGTTATAAATGTTGTTTTGGCGAGGCAGCAAGCAAGACTTACGGTAAGTGCCTAACTGATATACTTATTTTCTTGTTTAATAGGACTTTTGTTGTACAACAGCAACTTGATAATTCAAGTAATCCAATTGGAAGAGCTTTTCTAACATAAACGCTATATATTATTAATTATACATACCAAAATGTTACAGGTTCAAGAAAGAAGCCTTAGTGAAAAAAGTTTCTGGTCTATGTTACCTTCGCCAGAAAGGACACTATTATGTGAAAAAATTGGGTATTCCGATAATAAGGAAGAAGAAGAGAATCATAAAGAAACAATAGGTAAGTGATCCTTATGAGGAATTAAAAAAACTATACTCTGGTTGATTTTTAGAGCACACTTACAACTTTCGCTTAGGAATACTCAGCGTAACTGTGTCAACCAATTACAAAGAACTAGCCGTTCTAACCATGACTCAAACTGTGTTCAGTCTTAAGCCAAATTATACGGAAAAATCGTATAGAGCCTCTTTAAAGATAGAGGGCGTAATCATAGAGGGGACAAGTAACGAGGACCATCTGATGCCAATCATTTCTTCTGAACATTTAAGCGATAGTCCGGCTTATTTTCTTAGAGTAGAATTAGATAAACTGCCGAAAAATAATGTTTGTAAATATAAATTAAATGTTAACATGGATTCTGTCGAATGTATATACAATAAGGTCAGTCATTAAACATGTAAATACCTGGAGGGAATTAATGTATAACAAATTTTAAATTTTGTTGTAGCCGTCTATTGAAGAACTAGAATCTTTTCTGACAACTGAGAATAGTCCTACCATGAGCTTGTTTAATTATCTAGTGGACAAACCTGCACAAATGATGCAACTTGTTAAAAAAAAATTATTAGACGGTTGGGAGATAAATCTGAACGTTAAAATTCCGTATGTTGTTATCCCAGAAGTTAGTTCGTATTTGAAGTAAGTTATTCAACATTTTCTCGAACCGAAAATTAAATATATGCATTATTGAACCAAATCTTTGTACCCGATAAGTAAAAGCAGAACATGCACAAATCAAAAGTTTTCCCTATTTATTTATTTATTTATTTATTTATTTATTTATTTATTTATTTATTTATTTATTTGATAAAGCTCTACAGAAAATAAATTCCAAATGGCTTACAGAAATTATATACAAAAATTACAAAGATATGAAAGTACAACTAACAATATACATATAAAAACACACTGCATTCGTGCCATAATTAGTCCTATGTGTTTATTTGTGAAATGACTTGATATATAGTTAAGCGAACTGGCACATGAAGCATCACATTTTCTAATAGAACTTGAGTGTCAGTTAGTCGGTTATAGAGTGAAGAATTTTATATAAAAATAGCAGCATAGCGGTTTTTCGGCGGTGTTCTAAGCTCTTCCTCCTACACAATATTAATCGGGAATCTTAATTTGTATAGCAGATATTTGGTAAACTTATTCTGTACCCTTTATAATGTGTTGATGTGGACTGCATAACTAGGATCCCATATGGTGCTGCAGTATTCCATAATGCTTCTAATCATAACTGTAGATTACCGGAATTACTCGAGTTTGTAATGGTAAAGAATTTGACATCATCCGCTTATAACAAACACAGTGAATTATTAAATGAATCAACAATATCATTAAAAAATAAAGAGAATAATATGGGACCAATATGTGATTCTTGGGGCACACCAGATTTAGTTTTCTGAGTAAGAGATCATGACACACACTGTCAAATACCTTGGACAGATCTGTGTTTATTACATCGATTTGCTGCTCTGGCTCTACTGCATTAATTATAAAATCTTAATATATAGATAAATTCGTACAAGTGCTACGCCCTCTGAAGAATCCATGTTGCTCTTTAATAATATACTGCTTATAAGTGTTAAAGACTACGTCAGCTAGAATTGACTCAAAGAATTTAGCAGTGGAAATACTTCTATAATTCGTAATGTCAGTTTTGTCACCAGATTTAAACACAGGAAAGAGAGCTGACTCCTTTCAAATCGAAGGGAAAATACCGGTATTTAGTGATTTTTGAAAGATACGATACCGTGGATCAGCAAGAGAATTGTAGCATTTCTTCAAAAATAGAGTTGATATTCCGTCAGGACCAGGATATTTACTAGAATTCTTTCTGAAACATCATTAATTGAAAACTGTTATGAGACTAAATTGTCAATGAATGGTAGAGTTACAGTATTTTCAATGCTAATATTATAACACGATTCAAAATAGTCTGCGAAGGCTTCTGCTATTTATTTTGGTTCACTAAAACTTTTTTCATTAAAAGTCTTACACTTGGGGAGTCCAGGGTCATTTTTTAGAGAGTTAATATATGACCAGAAGCACTTTATGTTAGACGAAATTGTTTGTTCCATATTGGTAAAATACAGCATGTAGCACATGTCAATGTGGTACTTAGTTTCATTCTGGATTTCCTTGTACCTTTCATAATCTGTACTATATCTTGTTTGTTTGAACTTTTTACCCGTGTCTAGCATTCACCCACGTTTCACCGCAAGGGCACTGTATCTGACCTCTTAAATAAAATTAGTGTTGTTTGTGGAGATATCAATCTTGTAGGCAGTTTTTCTCCTCTACAATATGGCATAATTTGTTTTTAAGCACATTTCGTTTTTTTTGGGCTCATCATCAACCTTTTTTTTTAAATACAGCCCTGATGTTATATCGATTTCGATAGAAAAAAATATACTTTTTAAAACTATGTGCCACACTATATTATTTTACGACGTTTCGAGTCTAAAAATTATCATCAGTTTAAAATTTAACATTAACGTAATTAAAAATATTCCATTTGTAATAAAAAAATTCAATAAATAAAGTTTAATCTTCGGCCCTCCTGAAGAAGTTATTACATTGGAAGAAAAAGTAAAAAAATTATGGTAATAAAAGGCAGTAGTAATTGTTTAGAAAAACAAAAGAGAGAACTCATTGAAGTTTAATTAGTTTTACGATATACATTCAATTAACTGCATGAGATGGAAAAAGACACTGTTTTGGTTAAAATTGTTTTTCAAATTAATTTTGTTTAATACAGGTCCGAATTTCGCTAATTCTAAATTTTAAACACAATGATTGTTGGGCTTGAAACATCGTAAAATAATAAAGTGTTAGTTTTTAATATCTCCACAAAAAACACTAAAAAATAAAAAGGGATAAACTGACATTTGTAGCATTTCTCAAAATTACTCAAAAACAATAAAAATTTTAAAATTTTGAAGGTGGATCTAAATTAAAAATCTGTTTACGTAAAACATAAACATAAATGCATTTCTCATATATACCGATGCTGTATACAGGTATTTGAAGATTTGAGAACGAGCTTGAATGTCGTCTGGCCCGAACTGGCACATCAAATTTCTGTCTAGAAATCTCGACAGTCAATGTCGTGAATGTCTAGAAGGAAGGGCACTTGTCTGGAATATAAAGATGTCCGGGCTCGATTACCGGCTGCGACAGGCTTTTTTCAACTCACCAAGTATTTGTTTTCATTAAGTATAAGGGGTTAAGAAAAGGTCCTTTATTTCTCACACGAAATAAAGGACCTTTTCTTAACCCCTTATACTTAATCCCTACTACTCACATATGGCTACCCTCACTCCAAAAAATATTTGTTTTCACCTTTGCGCTTCGGGGATGGTCTTAATAATTTGTAGGAGGACTTTTGAGATTTGTTTCCGAATTTTCATTATTCATATATTTTTTAATTACGAACTTTTTTTTAGTGCTGATTATTTATTAGTAGTTGATCTCGGAAGATATTCTGTACAAACCGAATTGTGTCAAGAAGCCTATACCGATAACGCCACGCAGATGGAATTAGAGGAACAATTGTACACTAAAGTGCACGTGAACTGCACTGATTTTCAAATTTTGTTCTGTGATACCAGTGACAACTGGAAAGATGCTAGGAAAGAAAAGTGCAGCGAGCTGCATGTCATTCCTAAAACTAGTTTTTCTTCTATATGTGCCCTTTCTGTAGCTAACTTGAAGACAATACCAAGGTAAAAGTCATATTTTTAAAGAAATTCTCAAGTATTTTCAAATATATTATGAAATCGCACTATAGGTACAGTAAATTTCCAGAGTTAGAGTTATATTCCAGAATTAGAGAGTACTCGAGACAGAGTTGGACAACTATCCCAGAGTTATAAATATCCTTCAATGTGGAGTTGAAGATACTCCTAAATATGTCACTGACAATTATGGCACAAGTACACGTGACATTCAAAGATATAAAAAATATATTAGGCACTAGAAAATTTTAAAGGTCAAATTATCACAACAATATAATTATCAATAGCCACTGAAGAAAGAGAGCTTTAAAATCTAGCTGAATATCTAAAAAGGAATAGGAGGGATCTCGGGGAATTTTTTAGTCGAAATTAAGAAATATAGTTATAAAATACTATTAAAACCTAACATATAATTCTTAACCCAGATTGTCGCGTAGCGTGTTCATCTAGAGTGCGTTAATAAACCTCGCACAGTGCGTCTGGACCCTATTATAAGTGATCCAGACGCGCCGTGCGAGGTGTCTAAACGCACTCCTGTAGTCCTCGTTCGGGCAAACGTCAACTGTCAATATCAATCTCCATATTTCCGTATTTCATCCAAAAATATTTTATTTAAATTAGCAAATGAACCTATATCATGCAAAAGAAACAATTAACAACTAATTTTTTTTCTACCACAATTTTTCGATCATGGTCAAATTTTATCCGGAGACACTACTTTTTTCAATTCGCATCAAATCTGTACAGGGTGAGTCAAAACACAAATACATAATTTTCTCAATTTTTTTAAATGGTTCACCCTCTAAATTATATCATCGTTCAAAAGTATCCTAATTATACTTTAATTTGACTTAAGCATTCCCTATACCAAAAGTTAATAGTTTTTAGAGATTTTTAAATTTTAGTGGTAAAAACGATAATTCAGAAAATAATTGATTGGAAATACATTTTATTTATCATTAGTAATTAATTGAATTTAACCTGAAGTAATTATTTATTATCGACTAAGTAAGTTTCTGACAATATGTAATGTCACTTATACATTTATTAGAAAAAGAAATAAACATTGCAACCACAAACTACAAATGAAACCTACTAAATTTTTTGTTTATTAATTTTTTTTTAAGTTTGCTTTGAAAACCCCCAATACTGACAGTTTGTTATTATTCATGTCATTAGTGTTGCATTATTTGTTTTCTACAAAGTCTCGCCAGTTTTTTTAATATGAATTATAGTCCTGAAGTATTAGTTGATATGGTAAGGATTTTGGGAGAATGCAATAAATAAAAAGTCTTTGTTAGCAACTAGAGTTTATAAAGAACGATTTCCAGAGCGTTCTACGTCAAATAAAACATTGTTCGAAAAACTGATGGAACGATTTAACCGAACAGGGTCAGTCTCATATGAGAAAATTTATAGAACAAAAACTGTTACTAAAAAGGAAAATAAACTAAATGTTTTGTTGGTAGTTACCGAAAATCCGCATACAAGTATAAGAAATATTTCAAGAGAACAGGAAATAAGTTATACCTCAGTACAAAGAATACTTTCAAAAATAAATTGCGTCCGTATCATATGCAACTACATCAAGAACTCACTACTATGGATTTTGAAGACAGGGTAACTTTTTGTGAATGGTCACAACAAAAAATTACTGAACGAAGAAATTTTTTTATGAGTACGTACTTTTTGGAGATGAGGCAACTTTGTATCGAAATGGCTATGTCAATAGGCATAACTTTCATTATTATTCCACTTCTAATCCATACCATATAATTACAGTCAGGAAAGGTGGTCTTTAAATGTTTGGGGTGGCATTATCGGTGAGTATGTGATATGACCTCATTTTTTTAACGAACCTGTAAATGGGGAATTGTATTTAGACTTTCTAATGAATTCTTTACCAATATTGCTTGAAGATCTTCCTCTTGAAGTACGCCAAAAAATGTGTTATTTACATGATGGAGATCCTGTTCACAATAACGCTCTTGTAAATGGCGGACTTGCAGATCAATTTCCAGGAAGATGGATAGGAAGAGGCGGGCCACTCCGTTGGCCAGCCCGGTCACCAGATTCAACTAAAATGACCTTTTTTTTTTCTGGGGCTACGTTAAGGCTCTAGTGTATAAAATACCTCCAACTACAGTAGATGATATGAAAAATACGAGTAAGAGAGGCATTTCAAAGTGTTACTGTGGAACTGTCTTCAGGCCTGGGAGGCCACTTTGAACAACTATTCTAATTAAATATAATTTGCAAAAATTACATTTAAATAATAAAGTATGAATTTGTGCTAGCTATTGATATTTTTTCTTTCTTAATGTAAAAATCGATAATAACTTACAGCTGGCTAAATTGTAATAATTACTAATTATCAAACAGAAAGTATTTAGTTAGTTTCTGAATTATCGTTTTTACCACTAAAATTTAAAAATCTCTCAAAACTATTAACTTTTGGTATAGGGAATGCTTAAGTCAAATTAAAGTATAATTAGGATACTTCTGAATGATGATATAAAATACAGGGTGAACCATTTAAAAAAATTGAGAAAATTATGTATTTGTTTTTTGACTCACCCTGTACAGATTTGATACGAATTGAAAAAAGTAGTGTCTCCGGATAAAATTCGACCATGATTGAAAAATTGTGGTAGAAAGAAAATTGATTATCAATGGTTTCTTTTGCATGATATAGGTCATTGAATTCAATACGATTTTCATACAAAACTAATTATATCCTGCAAAATACCCTGTATAAACCAATAATTTATATTTTTAGAATGGGAAAAGCGAGGGCAATTCAAATATAAAATAAAATACAAGGTGATCCATTAAAAAGAACATAAGTTGGTTCGAGAGGGGAGTTATTAAACACCCTATATATTCAAAAATAATTTTAAAATATGTAGTTTAACGCTGTCTACCGTTCTGTGAAAATATTTTTTTTATATCTCTAATAATGGCGGAGATATTGGACTTTTTCACACTAATGGATCACCATGTATGTACTCGTATAAATATATATATATATATATATATATATATATATATATATATATATATAAGACTTGAAGATTACATTTTTTTAATTAAGATTTTATAAATATTACAACTAAAAAGGAAATTACACATTACAAAAAAGGATTTGTCTCGGAAAACTTTACTTTTCACTAGTGACCACATTTGAGATAATGGATAAACTTTCCTTCAAATTATTTAAATAACATAGGAGCGGTAGAATTAATTATATGATTTAAATTTTCTAGCCACAAGTTGAATGTTACCTTTCCAAATTTAAAAATGAACATTTCCGAAAGAAAGATACTGCTCTTGTTAAAATTTTTCAACATCGATCAAATTAAAATCAACATAACTCAAGAAAATTTGGAACCTAAAATATTCGTCAGAGATAAAATAAAGGGAAGGATTACCAGTAGCTATTTAAGAAAAGTTCAAAACAAGATGAGAATCCTGAGTACTTACACAAAATATAAGAGATACAAGATCGATAACTACAGTACGGATAAACTTAAAAAAGAGTAATTATTTTGAAATTTGGTTCCTAATTATGTGAATTTTAATTATTGCTTCGGTATTTTTTAGCAGAAGTATATCAAGAAATTGCTATGGAGACATGAACGAGGCGTGGGCTCGATGTGTGGATTTGCCTGGTTTAGAAGATAACATATCACCTAATAACAATATAAATATTTTGTACGGTTTTATTATCAACGAGGTAAAATAGTTATTTACCAATATTTTCAATCGGAAGATTTATTCCAAAATTCTTTTAAGCTTTCAATAACGTTCTCTCGATCAAGTGACAGCACCGATAGGCAATATTTGATGTTACGCTTAGGATTATTCAGCATGGATGTGGCTTTAATGACCTACGGTCCAGCGTATCAAATAACACTCAATTCCATTATGATAACTGATAAATTGCATAACACACCCAGCGGACAGTATTTGGACCTCGTGTTCAGTCCAGTTGCAAATAACCAAGACGTTATGACCATATTATTCAGAAAAGTAAATTTATTTCTTATTTTTGAGTTGCTCGTTTCAAAATTGGTTAAATTTCGAGTGAAAATCATCTTAAGTTACGTTTTTTAGGTGAGTGCTAGTTGCCCAGACTTTTGGTCACATTTTCACGGAGTGGAGACCTCATTGGTAGCTAATTTGGGAGTAATTAATACGTTACTTCATCAGGAAGCCGTGCGCACAATTTTTCAATACTCAAAATATATAAGCAATAAGTATGTTTTATTTTAAACTTTTTTTAGTTCCTTTAGTTCCTTTAGTTCCTTTAGTTCCTTTAGTTCCTTTAGTTCCTTTAGTTCCTTTAGTTCCTTTAGTTCCTTTAGTTCCTTTAGTTCCTTTAGTTCCTTTAGTTCCTTTAGTTCCTTTAGTTCCTTTAGTTCCTTTAGTTCCTTTAGTTCCTTTAGTTCCTTTAGTTCCTTTAGTTCCTTTAGTTCCTTTAGTTCCTTTAGTTCCTTTAGTTCCTTTAGTTCCTTTAGTTCCTTTAGTTCCTTTAGTTCCTTTAGTTCCTTTAGTTCCTTTAGTTCCTTTAGTTCCTTTAGTTCCTTTAGTTCCTTTAGTTCCTTTAGTTCCTTTAGTTCCTTTAGTTCCTTTAGTTCCTTTAGTTCCTTTAGTTCCTTTAGTTCCTTTAGTTCCTTTAGTTCCTTTAGTTCCTTTAGTTCCTTTAGTTCCTTTAGTTCCTTTAGTTCCTTTAGTTCCTTTAGTTCCTTTAGTTCCTTTAGTTCCTTTAGTTCCTTTAGTTCCTTTAGTTCCTTTAGTTCCTTTAGTTCCTTTAGTTCCTTTAGTTCCTTTAGTTCCTTTAGTTCCTTTAGTTCCTTTAGTTCCTTTAGTTCCTTTAGTTCCTTTAGTTCTCCTACTTCCTTAGTTCCTATTCATCTTTTAATTGTATTTCTTCTTATAGTTATTTAATTACTTTAAAAAGTGACTTTAATATTTTTCTAGGATAAAATCTCAAACATCTCCTTTCTTGAAACAAACCTTAATAACTATAATAAACAGTGTCAGAAACGTTCTTCATGCCAAAACTGAGACTCCAGTGCCGCCTGGTTCAATTAAATTTTCCCATTCGGCAAGATTGAGTGATCTCATTGTTACAGTATGCGATTCTGACTTCGATATTGTTAAAATTGAACTATCTGGACTTGAGATGGATTTCCTGTTTAGAGCTAACGAAAGATTTGTGTTCAGATCATTTTTGAGTAATTTCACCGTAGAGCATTTATCTGACGTTACGTTGTATTCTAAGGTAAGAAAAAAAGACTGAATGATTTATTTTGTAACAAACTAGTATACAAGTGTAACATATGACATAAGTTTCATGGAAGAAACAAGAATTATTTAAGAGTGGTAGAGATATATTTGAAAATAGTAATTCTGCAGTCCTTACTTTTAAATCCTTCTAACAGCTCACCCTGTAGAGCTGCAAACTTGGGGTTTATAAGAATGTTGCCTTTAAATATCTGGAAAATACCATACTATAATTTGCACAAATTCTGGCAGTACCTAAAATCAATGTAAAAAGTGCGGGTCCAATAAATCAATGTTTACCCTCAATAACTCTTCTATCAGGTATCCTACTAATTTAAAGGAGTAACATCTTTATTTAATGTCCCTAGCTATAGAGATTCAGTCAGGACTTTGCCTTTCTTATATATTACCTATTTTTATAATATCCTTTTTTAGGTTCTGTATACAGATGAAGACAAAGTATTTGACATAAAATACGTAAGAAATTCAACAAACCTTGGGTATAATAACGATATATCTCCAAATGTTGACGAAACTTTCATTGATGGTAGTTTCAAATTTCAATTAGGAAGAATCCATTGCACATTCTTGTATAAGCTGATCGTACAACTTCAGGTCAGTAAAAGAAATGGTTGAAAATAGTCTTTTAAATTAAAGATATTTTTTTTAGCGATTTGTGATGAACCTGGAAGCAGTGCCATTTTTAGAAAAACTCTTCGTAAAATTTAACAAAATGTTCATCGATATTACCAAGACTTTAAAAAATAACACGAAAATAAATTTGGCGATTAACGTTAGCGGGCCTGTTTTTCTGTTTCCACAAAAATCTTCATCTCCAAATGTTTTAGTAATTGATACAGGTAATTTTTCTAAGAGCCTTTAAACATTTATAATTTTAATTTTGTTTTTAGGTCAACTTAAAGTTGAGAATTTCTTCAAAGATTACCCACAGGAAGTTACTGAAAACATTCTAGTAAAACTAAATGATGTAATGGCTTCTAGGGGAGTGATGACATTGACATCCACTTTGGAAATGCAGGTAAAATAACTTTTTTTAAGCCTAACCATAGCTAATTGTCATCAAGTTACAAATAGATCTCTAGTTAATGACAAAACACTTTCTGGGTGTCTTGTTTTCTGGGTATCTAGTTTTGCTTGGGTACTCAAATCCGTCGATTCGCTTAACTCATTCAATCACGAGCGTTATCTTCATTCTAGACCTCTTTGACTACCTATTTTGACTTTACATTAGGAATTTTATTTTGCAGGAAACCCTCATAGAACCAATTAGTCTAAACATGGACATAAAGAGATTTACCAACTCTAAACTCCCTCAAAGCAATTGGGACATCGACAGTATCATTGATAGCATTCAAATAACTTTGGGTCAACGTGATCTTACAACAATTATGTCTATCTATACTGATAATATTGGAGAAGGGAAAATTTTAGACTTATTTCCTGCACAAATAAAGTCGCCAACTGATTTTCCGGGACCAGACGAAACTGTCAGAAATCTGGAAGCGTTTTTCTGCGAACCCAAACAAAAAAACGTAGTTGCTAAATGTACCATAGAAGAAATTAAAGTGATATTATTTTTTGATTCTGGCGAATTGCTTAGTTCGCCAATAAGAGATTTAAATCACGGTTTGTGTAAATTTGAAATTATGGACATTGATATGTCGTTTATGGTGTATAATGATAAAAGTTTAGATGGTAAATTATCTGTGGATACTATGTATATAGAGGAAATCGGACCAGAAGCTAATGCTGTAGATAAAATGTAAGTAGACCAAATATGTATCGTTATCTTATTCAATATTATATTTTTCTTTATTTATTCCTTTATTCATTTTCACCCAAACATATTTATTATTTGTTAAATTTACTGATTCAGTTAGTTAAAATTTTTATATTCTCTTACTTTCTTACATTCTTCATGGTTTTTCCAAATATACCATTATGTAATATGAACGCTTTTAAGAAAAAAATAATCAAATCAAATATTGAAAAAAAAATAAAAGATGTAGAGATTGAAAACGAGACTGTCTTTTTTTCTGACGATTCCTAATAAGAACGAAACTGGTACATTATTGACGTTGTTCTCCTTAGTGAACAAAATCAATGTTAGAGTATTAAAAATAATTTTTACATTACACATTATGTTCATTAATGCTTCCTTAAAACTTTTTAATGATATGACCAACATTCTATGTCACATTTTTTTATTTTTAGCATTTTGCAGTCTCCTGCTGACGACAATAAGAACAACAATTGCCACATAACAGTCAACAAACCCCCAATAGTTGACGTAACGTTCCACCAAAACAAAACGGGAGACAAATCCGCAGACGTAATTATCGGCAAACTGAGCTTAAGTTTATCCATACCCTTTTCAGAAAAATTAGCTCTATTCTTAATCGAGTGCCTTCCTAAAGAAAATGTAGAAGTCGGTATAGTTAACCCAGGCTACGAGGCGGAAGTATATCACACCGTAGCCAATACATCGTACCTAACCAGCCTTACCTTATCTGTTAGAATTAATAAACCTGAGATTATATTCCTTGTTGAAACCACTTCTAATAAGAAGAGATATTTTATTACTAAAAGCGAGATTTTAATAGATTATTCTAGGCACGCTAATAGATTGAATTTAGTGATGTCTTTATCAGGCTTGCACAGCCTTTTCTACGATTTAAACGAATATTCAGAAGAACCGTACGTCATCCTGAAACAATGCGACATAGAACTATGTAAATCCTGTTCTTCTGAATCTGGAGAGAAGATCACAATGGCGATATCTTCAATTTACTTAAAATTATGCAGCGAAGTTGTTCATTCTTTTAACGATATCTTAAATGATATCGTAGAACACTTTAAAGTACCGGAAGTCGAAGTTCCGAAGGCAGAAAAAGTTGTGAAGACGGCCAAAACTCCAGAAGCTGAAGATCTATGGGAACCAAAAAAATTAACCGACATGGTTTCACCTTGTTCTAATTATGACGATCTAAAAACTGATAACACAATTTTCGTCCACGAAATTCTCTTGGTTCCCAAATTCGATGTTGTCGCTATATTCGAGTTAGAACAAGTTCAAGTGTTTTTAGTTAAAATTACCGTTGAATTAACTCTCTACGACTGGTCGTCTATTCTTAATTGTACTTGTGAAATGACCCTACAAGCTAATTATTTTAATGAAAATATTCAAAGCTGGGAACCCTTTATTGAACCAATAGTTATAGATGAACGTGAGTACAAACCTTGGGAGGTTATAATTAAAGTATTCCAAGATAAATCGATGCCCATGATGGATGACGCTGATCAGAAAAGTAAAGCTAAATCTGTGACGAAAAGAGGACATAGTAGGTCCGTGACTACAACAGAAGATGAGGATTCTGGTGAAGATATGATGTATTTGGAACCCTTAAATCCGACTTACAATGGAAGTAATAGACGCGTGAAAACCAGTTTGTCAACTTTTCTCGATGATTCCGATTCTGAAAACGAAGATGGTGCTATGGAAAGATTGGCAGCTGCAATTTCAGATCTTTTCACAGGTAAGAATATTATAAAAAGCTTCTTGTACAATAAAAATAGGTTTTTAAAACTATTGAAGTAAGCATATCTTGAATCGTTAGGTGACTATAAAAACACCACACGAAAGGAATATACCTTTTTCAAATGGAAAATTCGAGAGACGCTAAAATGGTGGTTCCTACCTTATCGAGACAGAGGCCCACAAGGGTAAACTCGTATCGTAAAAAAAGAGAAATGATTTAACTTGGAACGAAAGACCGAAAGCCGATAGTATTATTAAACGTTTCCTAAAAGATGAAAGACCTACCTTGATAAAATAAATGGATAGGTGTACAATAAGAAGAAAAATTGCCTTTATTTTTGTAATTATAACGGTAATGCTGGAAATAGTAGACATCAGAAACTTGAAAGGTTTTAAATAAATAATAAATTATCATTTTACGATGTTCTTTAATATCCCTTTATTCTTAAATGTTCATTCAGCAAGGACTAGATTTCAAGATTTCTGCCTTTGATTATTATATGTGGCTGGAATGCAATTTTGTGACTTACTGATGGGAAACCAGTTTTAATCATTCATTCTGTTTTCTTTCGAACAAAAATGAAAATATGAAAAACGACCTTTTTTATACATTTTAACTTTTTTTATTTTGACAGAATAGGCTAATTCTTCAATAACAACTTATTAGACTTAGGCAACTTCTCATACATTTTTCAGTAAATACTGTTGCCTGCCTATATTTTATTATTGATTTTTATTGATTATACATAATTTTCTTTAATTTAAGCGATAAAAATATATAATAATAATAAATTAATGTTTTACTTGTTTTACAAATCCATATATTTTTATTAAAACTAACATATATACTTTTTAATTACGAATTCTATTAAAAATTGTATTTGTCAGTATACGCAGAAATAGTCCATTAGTACCAAATCGAATTGGCGCTGCTGTCGCGCACGGAGCGAATACAGACCTCGTCTATAAATGAGAATAATTATGTAGATGAAATATATGATTTTCTTCTGAAACAAAGTAGCAGTGATTTACACCTTATTGTTGGGACATAAACATGTTATAAATGAATTTAATTTTTCTTCTATAATAAACGCATAGATACATATATAGGTAATTCAAAATATTGTTTGGATCACATATCACTAAAAACATAATAATTGCTTTAATTATGTTCTTGATACGTTAGTAACTGATCATACAGCAACTATTAATTATTAATTGAAATGTCTTTGAAGAAAGTAAAAAATTAATAACATCAACCAAAAACTTACATCTAAAATCGTTTGAATGAAACATTTTATAATATTTTATAACTTTTCACCTCAAAAAACCGAAAGGAACTGAGCTCCGCTGTTCTATTATTTGCGAATATTATTCTCCTATACAATTCAAACGATTAATGTATTGTTAATTATATTTTTAAGGCGACTGGAACGAAAACGAAGACAGCGAGTGCGACCACTCCAGCGAAGGCGAAGACGACATAGAAGAATCGCAGAAACCGAAAGAAAAACGAAATATGGTTTTCAACAAATCCTACTACGTACTTCTAGATGCCAAAGAAAGTTTTAACGTGACGGTAACGCCGACGTTACTGCAAGTTCTGCACGAATTAATAACACAGTATTCAAATAAAATAATATCAGTGAGGAATAATCGAAAGCTGATAACGTTAATGAACGACATTGGACCTCAATCAAAAATTGAGCTGTTCGAGAAGATAAGTTCCGAAGAAAGTAAATTACTGTGTATGAAAAAGTTTGAAAACGAAGATTCTGTTCCTACCAGTCCTTCAAAAGGGAATTATTATCTGCCTGAATATTTGGACAGCAATTACGATGACAGAGATAGGTAACGTACAGTCCCAATTTTTTTTATTTGTTTACATAAGATTTGAACTAATTTTAAAGTCCTAATAATGTCCTGAGGAGATTTCCCCAGTGAAAAGCCCTTTTTCGCCTTATTTTAGGTCTATTAGCTAGTTTTTCTTCAGTCATCTGCTGTTTCTTCCTTCCATTAGTGGTTGTAGTAGAGTGTATTATTATACGAGTCCTATATTTGGTGATGTTTTTTACTTCTTCGTTAAATTGTATTTTGAATTGTTCCAATATGGAGGTCTTCATGTATCATCTAGTTAGAAATTTGTTGAAAATAGAACGAATATGTATTAAAAAACGTGCAAAATGGCAATTTTTCAGATGTTACTTCTTCAGAAGCCTTAGAAGCTTCAATCAGGATGTCAACATTGTAATTATTGACAAGGTATTCATTATACTGAGAAAAAAAACGTTTATAGCGAACTCGGCACATTACAGTTTGCTCCCGATTTTTCTATAATTTTAGTTAGTCAAAATAGTTGAAAAATTGTGGGTGTAGTATCAAAATATTCAGAAAAAAATCTGAATAAGAACATGTGAATTTGTTTAAAATTGGAGAAGTGTATCTACCAGAAAACTTGGAACCCTGATTTCTTTAATAAAAACCAAGTAAAAACTGGTAAGCTGATAAGAATTGTGTACCTAATAAAAAGTGTCTGTTTAAAAGTTCAGGTTGAACATAAAATAAATATATACCAGTGGAGTGTTGTTAGAAAGGGATTCTAATTAATAATGTTTTCTACAAATTAAAATGGAATGAGTTTTATGCAACCAAATTCAACAGCCAACAAAAGAAAATAAAAACGCTTGTTTTTCATGTGATTCATGTAACAATTCAGTGTGTGTCGAATGTAGCGAACTTAGTTCATCTGAATTAAGATGTATACCATCACAGAAGCGAATTCTAAAATTTATCTGTAAAAAATGTAAAAATTTGGAACTTGTAGAAATCTTTAAAAACACTATAAGTGATAAGGAAAAGATAATTGCTGATCAAGGACTGATAATCCAGCTACTTCAAGAAAAAATAAGTAACTTAGAAAAGAATCAAAAGAATATTCCTTCATTTGCAGAAGTAATTAGGAATAAGACAGTTTTTGAATCATTCCCTAATATTGTTACTAAACCAAAAAAGGACAAAATCAGCAAAAAACCAAATATAATATTGAAAAAAATATAAAATTGGATGAATTGAAGGTAGGGGTGCACAGTATGAAAATTTTGAGTTTAGGTTTATTAATGATAAAAGTTTCGAAACAAGCAAGATGTAGAAATACTAAAAGAAGATATAAATTCCAAGATGAAAAACAACTACAGCACTGAATTGAGTACAATGAGACAGCCTCTAGGATTAAGGTAATAAATTTTAAACAAGATATGAATAATGAAGAAATTAAAAGGGGTATAATGGAACAGAACAATTTAAAACACGGAATTAAAGTGGTATTCATAAAAAATTCGAGGTTGGGTGCCAAAACTATATTTCTTGAATGCGATCCAGTATCTTTTAATAAAATAATGTCAGAAGGAAAAATTTGCATTGGGTGGGAACGCTACAGTGTGTACGAAGATCTAGATATACCTAGGTGCTAAAAATGTCAGGGTTATTATCACCCACAACAAAATTGTGCAAATGCTATTATTTGCTCTGTGTATGGAGGAGACCATCAAAGGGATAAATGTGATAGACATAAAATTAGTTGTATAAATTGTAATATTTCCAATACTAAGTACAAAACTAAATATCCTATTGATCATGAGGCTACTGATGTAAAATGTAAAACCCTTGAATACTTTAAACAGGTACTCAAGAATAAAACAATTTACTATTAGTTACTTAACATAATCTTCAATGTCTAACAGAAAAAACACAAATATATTATTAAGAGTTGCAAATTTGAATTTGAGATCATTACTACCAAGTTTTACTGATTTTTCTTATTTTATACAGGATCAATATGATATTATATGTATTACTGAAACATGGTTGAATGATAACGTTGATTCTAGTATGGTATCCCTGCCAGGATACAATTTTTACAGAAAAGATAGGCGAAACAGAATAGGTGGCGGTGTAGGGTGCTATGTAAAATCACATATCAATTGTGAGGTTATTGATCTTGACTTAAATAATATCAATTATAATTATATTTCACCTTTATTTCTGAAATTGAAAACCAATATGCATAAACTTTTTCTGGCACTCATATATCGTCCGTCCGACTCGGGCCTCACTGAACTCTCTAATCTTTTTAATGCTTCAATTCCTTTTTTGCTTTCTGAATCAGATTACTTCATTATCACTGTCGATTTGAACATAGATATGTTAGTATCTAATTCTACCCTAAATCTACTTGACGCTTATGGCTATGTTAATGTTATTACTGAGCCAACTCGCATTTCTGAAAGTTGTGCCACATTACTAGATCCCATCTTCATTAATTGCAAAGACATTTGTCAAGACAGCGCCACCATCCCCTTTCAGTTGAGTGATCATAATATGATGCCTCATTGCACACTAAATATATCTATTAATAAATCGAGACAGAAATTCATTAATAAAAGGAAATTTAAGAACCTAAATATTGAAAAATTTAAAAGGGATTTACAAGCAATTTACTGGGATGGTATATTCTTTATTGATAATATTAATGACAAGATCAGCTTCTTAACTGACAGTATAACTATGCTTTTCAATGAACATGTACCCTTGGTAAAAATCAGAGTCAGTAAACCACCAGCTCCCTGGCTTACTGATAATTTAAAGTTAATTCTCAAGAAACGGAATAAGGCATTATCTAAATTTAAATGTAACAGAACACCTGAAAACTGGAGGCATTATAAGGAATATCGAAATTATGCTCTGGCCTCAATTAGGAGGGAAAAAGCAGCATTTTTATCCAGTTTGCAGAATGAAAAAAATGAGAAACGTTTATGGAAAGACCTACACAATATGAATGTTCATTCTATTTTAAAAAATGATCTACCTGTGAATCTACAAAATCCTACAGAAATTAATGATTATTTTACTAGCATTTTTAAAAAATCTGACAATTGTGTTAACAAGATTCATTATTATGCTAATAATAAACACCTGAACAATACTTTTAATTTTAACATAGTTAATCAAAATAATTTTCGAAATGCAATAAATTCAATCAACTCTAATACTTCCGGAAGTGATGGTATATCTTTGTACATGCTTAAACTGTACCTACCTACATACTATCTTAGATCACATAACTCATATAATTGATTGCTGCCTTCAGTGTGGCTATTTTCCAAGGGCTTGGAGAGAATCTGTCATTTGTCCTATTCCTAAAATATCTAATCCTAGTTCGGTACAAGACTTACGTCCTATAAGCTTACTGCCTGTTATTTCTAAGATTCTTGAACGAGTTGTGTATAACCAGTTATTTGAATATTTAACTACTCATAAAATCCTACCTGTACAACAATCTGGCTTCCGCAAACAGCATAGGACCACTACTTCGTTACTAAACATCTGTGAAAATGTTATTTGTGCAATTGATAAAAGACTTGCTGTTGTTCCAATTGCCTTGGATTATTCTTAAGCTTTCGATTTAATTGATCACGAACTTTTGTGTGCAAAACTTCAATACTTTGGATGTAGTGATACTGTTTTATCTTTTTTCAAATCCTATTTGTGGAATCGTACTCAGAAGGTAGTGATTGATAATAACTTCTCGGAATCAAAAATCATTATTTCAGGCGTATACACTTCTGACTTACCAAAAGTACTTAAGGATAGTCAAGTTCAACTTTAAGCTGATGACACCCAGTTATTCAATTATTTCGAACCCCAAGATATACACAATGCTAACAATCTGATTAATAGAGATTTGCAGTTTCTACTACAATATTCAAAAGAACACAATCTTACTATTAATCCTTCAGAAAGTACTGCTGTTCTATTTTGTAGTGAAGCCAGACGTGTTGTTATTAAGAGATCAATGAGACTCGAGTTGGATGATCAGTCTCTTAGATGTAAGAGTCATATTAAGACCTTGATCAAGAGATGCTACTCAAGATTGCGGTTGCTTTACATTAATAGGCATATATTGAACTTTAAAATGAGAAAAAACTTTGTGCATATTTAGTTTTATCAATATTAAGTTCAATATTAAGTTATTGCAATATTGTTTACTATCCTTGTCTGGACAAATTGTCACAGAGCCAATTACAGCTTATACAAAATGCTTGTTGCAGATACATTTTTGGTTTGAGGAAATATGATCATATCTCAATTTATTTCGCTCAACTGAAATGGCTCAAAGTTGACAATCTATATCAACTAAATCTGTTAATATTTTTGAATAGACTATTAAAAACAAGAAACCCTACCTATTTGTTTGAGAAATTAATTTTCAGAACATCTGTTCATAATGTTAATATTAGACATAATATGCTTACAATGCCTCATCATTCCACTGCAAAGTTTGAAAGAGGTTTCACTTATAATGCTGTTAAAATATATAGGTAATCAGTTTTATTTTTTAAATTGGAACGTATCATTGCATATCTTTAGAGGTGAGATTAAAAAGTATTTTTTGGCTAAGCAATAACCTGTTTTGTTTGGATTTCTCATTATATATATTGTTACGTTCTCTTATTTAACCTCACAATTTATAAAAATACACAATAACCTAAACTTACCTCGGCTAGCTTTCTTTTTTATATATTTTATGACTTATTTTATATAGAGCAGATTCTCTTCCTCTCAGTGGTGTCGGTTCATGAATTATAATATATTTTTTTTTTATTTATTAAAATTTAGTTTATTTAATCTATTTAGTTTAGTTTATTTAGTATATTTAGTATATTAAGTTTATTTAGTTTATGTAATTTATTTAGTTCAATTAGAATTATGCAAGTTGCTTCTAGATAAATTTGATACCTGTATACCTAACAATTAAAGATTTAAATAAACAAACTTTTTCAAAATTGAATAATTTAATTTTAACAAGACCACTATGGGTAAATTGAAACAAATCAGGTGTTTAAATACCTGTACTAAAATGAAAATACTTAATATCTACCTACTAAACTTATCAATGTCCAAGACAAATTATATAAACAAAAAAAAATCACCAATTATTATATAATTTGGGTGATTTATAAGGAATTACTAAAATTAACTATAATTATGTTAACAACTTTAAATTTTAAAAAAACAACTAGTTATGAATGTCTATTTTATATCGAAGTTCAATCATTAACAAAAATAAAATGTTTATAAATACCGTTTTCTTCCGGTCTGGGGTATCACTATTCTTTTCGCGGTCTGGGGGTATCACTAATCTGTCCTGGTTATTCTTGTCGCCTATCACCTTTCTTGTATGTATTCTTTTCTCTTCTGTTTCTCCTCTCACACATTTTATTACCTTTTACATTTACAATTTTATAGTTTGTTTATTTAATCTCGCTATATCTTTTAATTTACAACTATATTTAAAATTTTTCTTTGACTTTTCTGAAAATTCCCAAAATTTTTCATCTTTCAAAATTGACTTTTTCTCAACCTGCTTTTTAATCTAGAAAACCAATCTTTCTATCTACTTACTCTGCTTCACTTAAGCCTTTTATCAATTTTAATATACAGGGTTATCAATTTATTACTATTATTATTGTGTTGTGTGAGAGATATGGCTTCGGACGGTGTCCATTTGCCACAGAATGTTTAAATAATAGAATACTATTATTATTATTATTATTATTAATTATTATCATTATTATTAGTATGGTTAATATTATTATTAGTTTTTTTTTTATTATTTTAGAACACAGGGTGTTTTGATAACATGTCAATATATTTTTTTTTCTATATTTCAATGTTTGTTCTCTGTAATTATTAATATTATTTATATGTCTATTTGTTATTAATACTATAAGACTACAGATCTTTATGTTATTACTGTGTAAATATAATGTAAATAGTATGTTACTATGTCAACTAGGAAGGTTAAGAGTTAAGAGTAGCTGTATGCCTAACCTTCGCCTCCCTGGTGCAAATGTATGTATGCATTTATTTTAATAAAGACGTATTGTTATTATTATTATCATCGTCATCATTCATATCGACGGTATTGGTAGAAGTAATTATTTCTTTTCAGCTATCATGTTATTGTCTTTTTCGTCATTACTGTTTTGTCTTGAATTATTAATTTCTGGAAACACGAATGATTATTTTGAAAATAGATTCGAAGTCATTGGCCAGATTCCATCATTCAATCCACAGTTTTGGGCAATTCCAGTTTGCGCAAACTTGGAACAAGGTATTACAAATAATCTTGATATTTGAAATTATTGCAAACCTCTGTCAGGATGTGTCTTGAGCCACAAAGGAACTTTTTGGTCGTAATAGGTCTTCGTAAAATACATGTAACGACGTCCATTGACAAATAATAGGATCTTCTCAGACAATGTGGTATTGGCGACTTTTCTCATCACTTCGGGAATAAATCATCATTCATCCAACTATTTTCTTGGCATATCCCCAGAATTCCCAATTGTATCACATTTATTAACTCATATTTCCATCTCTTCTTTGAAATGTCTAAGCAGGAGGTACAAAGTAGCCTGTAGTATTCATGCAACATACCATGAACTTCTCCCTCAGCACTAGTAAGAACACTAACTTTTTTTTTCAAGTTTTTTATATACTTTTGGATGCCAATTAGTTTCTACATTTCGCTATTTACATCAAATATGTTAGCACATGATTTATTTATTTTAAAGCTTTACTGATGAAGGACGAGAAGACTTCGATGTTACCTACGATTTTGAATCCTTGTCCAGTCTACAATTTCCAGACGAAACTACTCCACAGCTATACGATAGAATTAATAAGAATTTCATGAAAATATTCGTTCCTAATTTCTACCCAATTCAAACCAATTGTTCGAAAAGGAATTGGGAAAAATTAATAAGACTAAACTCGAACAATTCTGGCCAGAACTATTATTTAGCAGCGAAACATAATATTGGAAAAATTGGACGGAAAATAGTTGTCAGTTCTCCCTTACAGGTAAATGACTTTTTTATTTAAGTTCTTTTAAACATTTTTTATTTCACCAATGTTAATATTTTCTAGATAAAAAACGAGACTTGCTTTGCTCTAAGCGTGCTCTACCAACCATCCATCTTACAACAGTTAAATTTAGAACCTCTTGGAGATATGACTAATCCATTTGAGACTACTATGCGTATTACTGTTATTGAACCTCAAGAAGAGTACAATGTCCCTCTACATATTGCGTACCATTGCAAGCTTTTCATTCAACCAGCTTATGCAGAGTAAGTAAAAGGAGTATATATCTTGGAGATTCTAATACAGTAATTTCATTTTTTCATTATTTTGTTCTAATAAAAATGTTAAGTATGCTAAAGTATTATTATATCAACTTTTCTTTTTGCCTGAATTAAATTCTACAAAAAGGTTTGCCCATGTCTATTCTAATAGATAATATTTTGCTTTTAGGGGTCACTACGCTTCTGATTCCTGCATATGGTGGAAAGATTTAGCAACTGAAATGGATAATGCTCATGATTTACACTGCAAACCAAAATCAGACTCAAATGTAGAGATATTCTCGATTCGTGTGATGCTAAAACGCAATATAGATATCAAAAACATTAATCATAGCACCATACCAAATTATATTATACATTTATTACCGCCGTTACTAATAACGAACTTCTTACCATATTCTTTGGAAGTTTTAAACGTCAGTTTGAAGCAAGTAATAAAAGTGGAGCCTGGTGAAAAGAGCAGCGTTTATTCTTTAGACTTTTCTAAAGATCAAAAACTTTTGATACGATTGAAACACAATTCGACCACTTGGACAGGAACTTTAAATCTAACGCAGCATTTAGATGAAAAAATTATTCTACTTAGCACCGACAACAAGGAATTCAGTAATTTAGCTATTAACGTTAAAAGTGATAGGGAAGGAAGTTGCAATCTATTCTTTTACACGCCATATTGGATTGCGAACAAAACTGGCTTGCCTCTGCAAATTAAGGTATGTAATGACTTATATTTTCTATAGTTTTTCCAAATCCAACATTTTTTAAGGCATCTGTATCTAATACATTATATAATTGCGTAAACGAAGACATCTTGCTCTTTACCTATAAAAGACATGGAAAGCAAACTTTAAATGTGAGAGTATACGATTCGAATTGGTCAAATGAATTTGGGTTGGAATGCGTAGGAACTACAGGGTTAATTATATGCAAAGATATAGAAAGAAAAAAGAAGTATATGTTCTTTTTGAACACTAGATTATCAAGTATTTGTCCAAGGCTTACGAAGATTGTAACAATTTTTCCTAGTTTCTTGGTTACTAATAATACGGACAAACCATTAAGGTAAAATATTTATCTCAATAATATATTTTACCGTAGGCGTATATTTTATTATTTTTTCTTATCATAGTCCTCTTTATATTCTTGTCTTTTGTCTATATCTGTACAAGTATGATATAGGGCACTTTCAACAGCACTAAAAAGTGCGATATGTGTCACTTATCTATATAAGGTCGTAGGAAAAGTTTTGTAATGAAACCAAACGTCTGTCTGTTTAGATTCATGGAACATAACGAAAAGAGTGATCTTTGGATAGACTTGGCACCATTTCAAACCATGATATTCTGGCCGGAAACTTCCTCAATGGAAATGTATGTTAAATACAGAGACAGCAAATTGATTTCGCATTCCTTTTTCATTTCTAATCATCACAGGACTGTCTTAAGAGTCGATAAAGGGGTAAATATTTGAAATAAGTACGATACACATTCCTATGACAAAACATTTTTAGGGTGCCATTACAGTAGAAATAACAGGTGGTATAAACGATTCTTTTAAAATAACCTTCAACGAATATAAACCTGGTGATGCTCCGGTTTTAGTGAAAAATTACTGTGCAGATTTGTTTCTAAAAATCCAACAACAAGATCTCAGTCCGGTAACTTTATTGAACCCTTACCATTCGCTGATGTACACATGGGATGATCCTACTAGACCACGTCGCTTAGTTTGGAACGTTTATAATAATAAAGGAACTGGATTTTCAGTGGACATTACCAAAGATGGGTAAGTTTCTTCCTACCCGGAGACTTCTAAGAATAATTAAAAATATTATTGTTTAAATATTGTATTTATTTAACCTACAATAATTGAGAAGATTTTACAATGTATTTTACCAGCTTGTCCCCGGGTTGAAAAAAAATGCTGTAAACTCAGTTTAACTAACAGAAGTTTAATCTTTAATTGGTTATATTCAACGGACAAATGTCATTTTAAAACTATGTTTAACAATAACCTATGATTATACAAGGTTCAAAGTTTAAGCTAAGGGTGGGTTGTACAATAGGCAGTTAAAATGTCATCTTGGTTTAAACCAGTATTTCCCAAAGTGGTCCAGGTGGACCCCCGGACCCCCGACGGGGGTCTACGTTGGGCATAATAAAAAATGGGGGTCCACAATCGTAAGCGGGGGTGCATGAAAACTAATTTGGTTTCGATAGTGAAGCAATATACTATTAAACAATTGATTACTCATTTTTCCATGTGATGAAGAAATTCTTGTAAAAAAACTTCAACGGTTTATAATATAAATAGTCAACATTTTAGTTACTAAAATATTGACTTGACTTCTTTTATCAATATAGGCAGATAATATTTTAAGAAGCTCAACGAATGTTACTTGTAAAAACTTGCATATTCCATATTCAGTACAACGCGTCGAGACTTGTCGTTGCCGCGCCGGCCGCCGCCGTTCCGTCCGCATCGTTTGTTCAGACGTGCAAATTAATACGACTTGTGGTGTATGTGCTTGCAATCTTGCATGAACGTTTTGATTCTTCACCAATATAAATACGAATGTCAAGGATAATCGTTACTCATTTGTTTCTGGAATTTCATAACGAAAAGTGAATCGATATTAGTGTTGGCCAGTGACTGAAATTGTTTCCAGACTTTCGAAAAGAAAAGTAAAGTGAATCGATATTAGTGATTGCCAGTGTATCGTCCCTACTTTATTTTTATTACCTATCCAATTAATTTAATTATTGCGGAGTTTTGATATCAAAATATTGTTTAAAAGTTTCTATAGGATTTACAGAAATATATTAAAATATAATAAATGAAATAATAATTTTATCACATTAAAATAAGTTCAGCCATTTTCATAAAACTCTATTATGGATCTTAGCGATTTATTGCTTTTAATAATTAAAAACAGTTTGCAGCCAGAACTTTGTTTATTTCATAATATTTATAATAATTGATTAATCATATTATGTAAAAATAGCCATATGCTGTTAAGTTCGAATCGCCTTAAGATTACTAAAACAAAGTTGTTTTTTTTATTTATTTACTTACACATTTACAGGTAAGTAATTGATACAAAACATGGCCGAATCTAAGAAGTGTCGTCAGTACAGTGTTGAATATTTAAAATTTGGTTTTCTTCCATCAAAGGCAGACAAACGATTGCCCACATGCCTTTTATGCAACAAAGTTTTGAGCAATGACTCTATGAAACCATCAAAGCTGGAAGATCATCTAAGAAGGTGTCATCCTGATAAAATAGGTAAAGATTTGAAATATTTCCAAACATTAAAGGAAAAATATAAAAAGAGACCCACCGTGCACAGTATGTTCTCTTCAACTTCTGAAAGCAACGATGATGGCTTGTGGTTGTGGGCATCTTACAATATCTCATTACTTATCGCAAAATCTGGAAAACCGCACACCATTGGAGAACAGTTAATTTTACCTGCTGTTGAAGAGGTTTTAAAATCTGTTCTGCACAAATCTTCATTTGACATACTCAAAAGAATTCCTTTGAGTAACAACACTGTACAAAGACGTATTTATGAAATGAGCTCTTCTGTTGAAAGTTTCTTGTGTAAGAAGAATTCCTTTGAGTAACAACACTGTACAAAGACGTATTTATGAAATGAGCTTCTCTGTTGAAAGTTTCTTGTGTGATTATCTACGAACAACTCATTTTTCTATTGAACTGGACGAGTCAACTTTACCTGGCAATGAAGCATTATTATTGGCATATGTTCGATTTGTTAAGGGCGAAGAAATTCATGAAGAGCTACTATTCGCGAAACCTTTGAAAACGGACACTAAAGGTGAATCAATATTTAATGTTTTGAGTGATTTTTTAAAGAAAAATAGATTCCGTTCACAAGCGTTATTTTGGTGGCAACAGATGGAGCTCCTGCCATAGTCGGGCGATATCGTGGGTTTATAAGCCATCTTAAAAGAATTATACCCTAGGTAATTGCGACTCACTGTGTTATCCACCGACAACATCTACAAGCGAAAAATTTGAGTGACAGTGAATAGAATTTCAAAGCTTAATTGTTGTAATTAATACCACAAGATGGTTTTCATGAATCTCATTTTAGAGATAATTTTGTAAAGTATTCTACCACATGTTTTTAGTCAATTTCATTTTTCGTTTTGCATTTACATTTATATTATCACAGAATAAACAATATATAATAACAATTAATATTCTTTAATTATTTAAATGTACATTAGAAAAATATTTTTATTCCAATTTCAGTCTCTCTAGTTCAATGTTTTGAAAATAATTTTGAAATAAGTCAGCATTTTTTATTACGATTTAAACATCGAACTTGAACTGAATTGGAACGTGTTTATTATTAATTGTATACGAAATTAAACATTTTAATTCAATAAATAATTAATTACGTATACAGGATGTTAATTTAATTGGTGAATATAAAGAAAAATGTTCAAATCTGAACACACAGATTGCACCAATCGCTTCAATTGAATACGCGCTTATTTGCACAATTGTGCGATGAAAATGATGAAGACTTCCAACGATTGCTATTACATACCGAAGTACGCTGGTTGTTGAAAGGTGTATGTTTATCAAGATTTTATTTACTTTTTGACTCAGTTTTAGAGTTTTTGGAAAGTAAAGATCCTGATTTAAAAAAAAAACTTCAGTTTTAAAGCAGACATCGCGTATTTGACAGATTTGTTCAAAAAATTGAATGACCTCAACTTACAATTACAAGGGGACCGCCTTAATTTAATAAAAACAAAGAGTGTAATTTGAGCTTTTCTTGGAAAATTGAAATTTATGAAGAAAAATATTGGAGGGCGCTAATTTTCACAGTTTTCAAACTTGTGAAGATATTCAGACATACGTTCAACATTTGATTGCCCTGCATGATGTTTTTAAATTCAGATTTGAAGATATTCTGTCGGTGCAAATACCACCATGGATCATAAATCCATTTGATGAAACGGAAGTAGAGAATGTGATATTACAAGAGGAGCTACTCGAATTTAGCACAAATGAGGAGCTGAAAGTGACATTTAAAAGAAGGTATCAAAAATTTTGGCTGCAGGCAGAAATACCCGAAAAATATCCTGGACCGTGGGGAATTGTGCAAAAGCTTCTCATAGCGTTTCCCTCGTCATATCTCGTCAAAAAAAGTTTTAGTGCCGTTACAAACCTATTAACAAAAAAAGGAGCAGATTGAATATCACAGAAAGGGGAGATTTACGGTTATTCCTTACAAAACAAGCCAAATTGTAATGAAGTCATTTTTCATTACTATTTTTTTTTATTCAATTGCCGAATTAGTATTCTTATTAATAATTTCAAATCTAACTTTCATTAGAATCCGGCATGTCAATTTAATAAAATTAATTATTCATTACTATTATAATTTATAAATCAACTTTTTGGCTTCACCCTGTATCTATTATTTTGAAATATATAATAATCCGAAAATTCATAGTACTTTCACAATATAGCAATGGTTATCAAAAGTCATTTTAAACCAGGGTTTTGAATTTATATTATAGAAAATTGTAGATTTGGGAATTTATTATTTTTAATATTTTTACACGATAACGAACGCCGGCAGCAAGCACCGTCCCCTTCTCGAGTACCTTTTCCCACTTAAGTTGATCATGCGTGGAACATTGGTAAATATTTTTGACCCGAGTACGAGACCATGGCGAGAGAAATTTTTAAAATTCCATTCCGAGCGATCGAAAGAGTCAGTCGACAAATTTAATAGCAGCACCGCGAGCTAAAACCATATTTACCGCAGTTAGTACAAAAAACCCGTTTTTATTTTTTTGCCGTAGTATCGAGTTTAGATAGGAATTAAAACCGAATTAAATTAGTATATTTAAACACCGTTTGAGATCACATTTTAACACGAAAATAATTTTGTAAAAATTCCGAAATTTAATAATTAAGTTAACAGTCGAAGAATAGTTTCTTGTTTTGATATTGACCGTGTTTATTTTTTTTTATTATCGTCTTCGAACGGTGAGGACTGCTTCCGTTATAAATTGACTTTGTAAATAGAATTATTAAATACCTAAGTAAATTGGGAAAAGATAGGAATTAGAGTGTTCATTTTTTTTTTAAATTTAGATAGACTTTTAAAAGAATAGATTTGTTGATTTCCTATTTGTGAGAAATAAGGGAATTAAATATTTTTTTGTCGGTTTAGTGTGACTGTTCGCGATATTTTTTTTTTTTACTAAAGGGGAGGGTATCATTTCCTGTTTTGAATATAAAATTTCCGTTCCTTTATTTTTCCGTCCTGGCTACTTCCAATTAACTCACTGAGGGCTTAAAGTTCCGTGTGTTAATTTTCCTTCCTGTCTATTCCCAAATAACTCACTGAGGGCTTAAAGTTCCGTGTGTTATTTTCGTTCCTAGCTTTCCGCAATTAACTCACTGAGGGCTTAAAGTTCCGTGTGTTAATTTTCCTTTCTGTCTATTCCCAAATAACTCACTGAGGGCTTAAAGTTCCGTGTGTTATTTTTCTTCCTAGATATCCTTGTCCGACTTGGGGTTATAATAATAAATAACAATAAGAGGTAGTGTGGGTTTGATTCACCGTAGCTTGCTCATTGTATTCAGGGGTTTTAAAAACGAAACCAACATTTAGAAAGATTTCGAGTGGTCCTCACGAGTTGCAGAAGTGCCGAAGTTTAATTTTTTTTATTCATACTAGCCTTGATTTAAATTTTGATTTACTACCGTAAATTTTGGAATTTTTTTTTTAAACTAATATCCTTGATTAAAATTTTGATTTGCTTTGCGATTTAAACAATTACCGTAAATTTACAATTAGATTATTTTTTTTTCCCGATTTGAGAGTAATTGCCGTAAATTTAGAATTCATATTATCCGATATTTAAATTTTGACCTTAGTCTGAGATTTCCGAATATATTTTTTTTGTATACGCGACCCCTTTACCGTATCCAGTTTAAGCAATCTGATTGAGAATACCTGCCAACTATATCAGCCGTTCGTTACCGTTTTGCCATTGTTTCATTTTTTTTGTTCAGGGTTTCATAACCGAGGGTGGGCGTTGAAATCTCTTATTTTTTTTTAGTGTATATAGTTAAATCAATATATGTGTCAAAATTACCGTGACTATTACTGAGTTTATTAATCACCAATTTACTTCCCCCTTATTTTTCAGCAGTGAGAAATTCTTTGCAACCACAAGTAATGATTAAAGCCCATTACTTGTGGCTACTAATTATTTGAGTCTAAGTAACCTTTGACCCCTGGAATTTTTCATCTCCATCTGTGCTGCCTGAGTACTTTCGACGCTGTTTCGAGAGTTTGTGGAGTAAACCATCACCAAAAATCTGGCGCTCGAGAACCGTCCGTAACCAGCGTCATTCGTAAGGAACCGTTTTCTCTGAGGCGAGAAAACCCCTTACAAAATATTGATAATTTGCTGTCAATCCATCAAGTACATCCCTCTCATTAAAATTATAATTTTTTTGTAATTACCATTGTAGAAATTACATTACGTTATAAGTGTTTAATTTTAATTATATTACGACGGTTATAACAATAATAATTAATAGTGTAATAATTTATATATTTAAATTTAAATAAATACCTACAACAAAAGGAAATATACTATATTTCTTTTTACCACTCCGAATGGGACGTTTTCTAAATATTATTTGTGAGAATTGATTAGTTCTTGTGCTGTGAGTCACTGTAGATTTCAAAAAAGTAAAGTTGGATGGAGTCACTTTTTCGTTTGGCCAACTTTTCTTTTTTGACATCCACTCACAGCACAATCAATTAAAATTTAATTTAAAATTTGTTTAGTCGACTTTATTATCAAATAATTAACCCTGTCAAGCAATCAATTTTAACCTTTTTTTTTAGAAAACTGTTAATTCGTCGTTAAAACTCAGCCACAACGCAAGTTTCCATAGATAGATCTGATCTTCACTTTTTTTTTTTTTCGAGATTTAGAAATTGGTAGTGATGTAGCTACCGGATCCAGCAAAATTTTGAAAGTGGTCTATGAAACAAAAGAGTTTGGGAACCTCTGGTTTAAACTGTGAACCTCGTTGTATAATTATCGGTTATTATTCACAGTTTTCAAAAAGTAATTTGTACGTAAAATATAACAAGTTAAAAATGAATTTCCTGTCAGTTAAACTGAGTTTACAGCATTCTTTGTACAACCTGCCCTAACCAATGTTAATTTTAATGATTCAAATTAAATCAAATATTTTATCTTACTCTTTAGAAGTGCCAGAAGTTTTAGACTTTGAAACCGGTTGCTTTACAATTCTTCCAAAATTCTTCCATACCTTTTATTTAATAAACCAACTCGCATATGACTACCACAAGTTTGGATATATTTTAAAATCCATCGTTCTTTCAGATATGGCGAAGAAAAGATTAGAATCCACAGCGTGACGCCAAATACAAGCTTGGTAGAGTCTTCTAGCAGTGACGACTCTGACAGCTCTGACACTACCCAGCACAATCTAAATAAAAAAATCCACAAAGATAAAATAGTAATCTACTGGTTGTGTTATCGCGAAGGGCTGCAAAGAACTTTACTCTTAACCCAAGATTTGAGGATATACAACTTGGGAATGAAATTATTTTTGGAACGATGTCATTTAGAAGGTTTGGTGGCTCTATCAGGTGTCGGTTTATCCATCTTTACGTCGGAAAATGATGCTAAAGAGCACGTTTATGCGGCCATTAGCGATACCCCCGCTATTTGGGAAGTCAACGTGGGTCAGAAATGGAAAACTTTGACTTTAGAGCTAGCTTCGTGGGTGGAAGATAAGTACCGGCTGCATTATAAAAAATGTCAACTCAAAGAATACGTACACATCGATTTCGAGAAAATGTACATGTTAAAACCGTTTTTCGCGGAATTGAGAAGAAGTTACAGTCCTGCAGTTTACCTTCACTTTCGAAAATCTCATAACTATCAGTATTACAATTTAAGACTGCAATATATCCAAATTGACAATAAACAAACTAATAACATAGTTTTTCATCCTATACATTCGCACGGGATCAAAGATTGTAGCCCGTTTGTGGACATAGCTGTATCAAAAACGTCTTCTAAATCAGCCAGCGTTTACAGATATATAAAGTTCAATGTAGGAAATTTCTTTTTGAACATTGAAAACGATTTGTTCTTGAAAGTGTATAGTTTACTTAAGAAGACTAGGAAGTTTAATGATGACGAGCCTGGGTCTTATGTCAATGAAATCAAGTTGATACACAAGTCTATAACGGCGACAAATAATGTAAGTACATACATTTTTTTATATTTAAGATTTGGTTATATTTTTATTTTGTAAATAAGCCTCTATAAATTAATTTAAATTCATCCAAATTAATTCCTTGTTAACGTCACTGGCTGTTATGTATTTGGCTTTTGTTGCTGGTAATACTACGCTCTTCTATTTTTGACTAAGCCAACTTACAGCTGCTCCAGAGTCCTAGTACTGACGTCACCTGCAAAATCAGAGTCTCTAAAAACATCTAAAAGTTGTAAAGTAAGCTCTCTTTCAGTTTTCTCGGGACTTATTGCGTCCTCATAGAACCCAGGTGCCTCGTCGCTTTCTGCCAAAAGTACCGGGTGTTCCATTAAGAGAGGTATATATATTTAAGAAACTAATAATAGTACAGCTTTGGAGAAAAAATATTTTTAATAAAAACGGTCAAGAGAAATTGCTGGAAATTATTTTCAAGTTTGTAGAGTGGCCGCTAGGGGGCGTAATTGTGACGTCAAAACATAAAAATGTAATTTTCTTTTGAAGTCTGTATTTGGTTATTTGATCCAAACAAGGATAGTAAATTAAAAGTCCATAATTTAGGATGGACAATACAAGACTTTCCCAAAGCAACTTACGTAATTTGAAACTTAAAATACCTCGATTCCTGTATAATTGACGAATAACCAGATACGATTTTTTGACTAAAAGCGAAACATAGTCCTGAAACCTTAGTTTGCAGTCATAAATAATGCCTAAGTTTTTGGCACTTCTACATGATTTTTGAGGTTCATTTTGAATGAATAATTTAAGGTTCTGTTGCACATTATGTTCTATATTTTTAGAACAAAATAATATTGTATGACATTTACTGGCATTTAGTTTAAGGTTATGATTCATAGAAAATATATATACTGCATTTAGATCTGAATTCATGTTTTGCGAGGCTATATCTACTTCACATGGGTCAAAGGGATAATATAGTTGCGTGTCGTCAGCAAAAGAGTGTATATTTACATGCTCCAATAATTTATAAAGGTCTGAAATATATATGGAAAACAAAAGGGGACCAAGGACAGAGCCTTGGGGTACTCCTGATGTTACACACATAAAGTTAGATGATTTCTCTAACGTTACTTTTTGGTAGCGGTTACTTAAATAAAATTTGAAAAATCTTAGTGAGGTTTCATCGAAACCAAAATATTTGAGTTTGGCACAAAGAAGCTGATGATCTATAGTGTCAAACGCTTTAGAAAAGTCAAGCAGAGTAACTACTGTAGCTTTTCCTTCATCCATTGATCTTATAATGTTATCTGTTAAATCTAAGAGTAATGTTGTAGTACTGAACCCCTTTCGAGTGGTTACAATATTATGAGAAAATACGTATGTATGTATTTGTTTACTATTTACTTTTTCTATAATTTTGGACAACGTCGGTAAAATACTTATGGGCCGAAGGTCGCTAAATGTTTCAGGCTTATTTAATTTTGGCAAAGGCTTGATTAAGGAATACTTCCAGCTGTCAGGACAGTAACCAACTTCTAAACAGCAATTTACAATGTGCGTTATGTAAGGAACACAGACTGAAATAGAAAGTTGTAACATTTTTGCTGAAATGTTATCAATTCCTAATGCATTTGATTTGAATTCCAAAACTATTGACCTAATTTCATTTACTGTTGCAAGTTTAAAAGAGAAATTAATACCACGATTAAATAGATTTGAATTATAATAAGATGTAGTGTTAGGACAACAATTTCTCTGACTGAATACCGACGTAAAATACTTGTTTATATCAGTAGGGTCACTTAAGCCATCAGGAATATGGAATGTAGTTTTATTTGAAATATTCAAGGATTTCATTGCTTTTCAAAGGTATTTTGTTTTGCATGCTTGCACGATAATTTAAATAAGCTGATTTTTCTTTCCTAATTGCACTAGTAACGATATTCCGCATTTCTTTGTAATGAATAAAGTCTAATATATTTTAGGATTTTTTATGTTTTGAAAGTGCTTTATCTCGTGTTTTCATCATCTCGCGAATTGTAGGTGTCAACCAAGGAGCATACGGTTTAGTAATTTTGGCTTCTACATAAGGAGCATGGTTGTCAAATAATATTGTGATTAGGTTGTTAAAAATCTGTATTTTCTTTTCAATGTTATTTTCATAAATAATATTTAGCCACGGCGCACTCACTAGATCTGCGTTGAAAGCGTTGATTGAGAAATATTTATAACATCTAAAGGTTTTTAATACGGGAATCTTATAACTAACGTTTAAGTCAATGTCGCAGTAAACAGCACGATGATCTGATAATTGATGATCAATGACTCCTGAATTTAAAACTATATCTCCTATTCGTGAAACTTACATCTAATAGTGTCTGAGAAGTCGAAGTTATACGAGTGGGCTCTGATATTAACTGTGAAAAATTATAAGATTCTATGCAATGATTTATTTGGTTATCAACCAACTGGTTTATGTTTCGTCCAAAAGTTTTTTCTCTGCGTCTAATAGCTTGTCGTTTAGTTTTGAGATCTCAAATTTGAATTGTTCTTCGACTTCCACTACTGTTAGTTCATAATTAGATGAACTTCTTTTTTGACGTAAAATAAAATCAGATTTTTCTTTCAACTCGAGGTTAAGTTCTGTGATGATTGATTTAAGTTCTTCAATTTCGTTAGCGTCTTCTAGGTTGTAATCAATACTTCGTTCACATTTTTTACTGCAATAGATTCTAGGTTCTTTTAGAATTGTAAAATATCTTCTCTCAACACATCCTCTATGCCACAGATTTTTACAGGTTACAACAACCAAAAGTTGCGGAAGACATGATGTTTGGACATCAAAGACGAACCAAAAACATCACACTATTTGTTTAATTACTAGTTAGTTAAAAATGAAAACTTGGTGGAATGAATAGGACAAGAGCCGCAAAAAGCCAGTAAATAAATTGTTATTAAGGTGTGGTCGAGAAGGAATTTTCATGAGAACTAGTCAAAAAATGCAGGAATTTCGTTCACTAACACTACCATTTCGAGTTTGAATGTTTTAAAAGACATTACTGCGCTTTTAACTAAATTAAACTGTCGAATATTAACTAAAACTGTACTATAATATCAGACTCTTAATATACGCATATTACCAATTCGACAATTCCACCACTTCTTAAAGTTTAACCTTCCCCCACCACTCTATTTCACAACTGACAAAAATTACACCTAAAGCTTTTTTGTTCAGAAAACATTGAAGATTAAAATAGTAATATTGATCAATATACTTTACTTGGTATTTTTTTGATAAAATTACATTTTTATGTTTTGACGTCACACTTACGCCCCCTAGCGGCCACCCTACAAACTTGAAAATGATTTCCAGCCGTTTTTATTAAAAATATGTTTTCCCCAAAGCTGTACTATTATTAGTTTCTGAATGGAACAACCAGTACATAGTCTTTCAAGTAAGATAGTTTTTTTTAATTTCAATGACGCCTGATCGTCATTATCTAGTGATTATTCTTCTTTAGCATCTTGTTAGTCACCTTCAAGACTATTTACAAGATCAGTTCTTTCTCTATGAGTTTGGTTCATCATTAACATCTTCTTTATCTAAAAGTTATGCGAAAAGATTTCTTTGATGTACAAGAGATAACTATTTTTGTTGAGAGGTCTCTTCAGATTGAATAATCAAGTCTCTATTAGTAATTACTTTGTTTTATCATGAAGCCAGAACTTATATCCATCTTTCTCTTCACAATATCCAATGACGAACGACTACTAGACCAATAATCGGCCACATTTTAACGGGAGAGTCTATTTACAAAGATTGTTTATGGTTATAATTCGGATTTACTTAACATAAGGTTCTAAAGCTCATAATAAGACTTTTAAAATTACATTAAGTAAATTTGCATTCTTAAAGCCAGTTATCAGTTTAATGTATTTTTCTGGTTGTAGCTGAGGGTTATTTACAGCAACAATATAAAGCAGGCATCGCCTCGTAGGAAAATAGGGAAGAATTTGCAATGTTTTAACAAGTATTATTTTTGCAGGAAATACCTCAATGTGCTATGTCTCTAATAGAATATCTATCGTTGACAAGTTTCGGAATACAACTGAACATTTCCAATAAAACGCAAATAAGTTTGGCAGGCAACAAAGGACCTTTTTGCAAAATTTTAGATTACCTCTTTCCTTATAACATGTCTCCTTATATGCCACTGGAAGGGGTTCATCACAAGTAAGTTTATTTTTAACTCTTAGTAACTATTTTGATTGGATGATTAAGAAATGATAGGCTCGAAGGAGCATGAATAATTTTAGACTATTTTTTAATGTTTTCTTCCAGAATTTCATCGATTGAACACATTGACGTAAAAGATACGCTGTGGAATTCTATCTTGAATTTATTTGAGCAAATTTTCACTCAATTTTTACAACAATATTATTCACATGTACTCGGTTTGCAAGTATTAGTAAATACTTTTGCTATCCAACCAGCTGTAGAGGTAAATATAATTAAAATTAAAATATATTAAATTCTTCTTCATCGTCAATTTGTTGATATTATTAGATTGAAGATACGGACTCTGACAAGATAGCCAATATCCTGTTCTACGCCTCAAGATGTCTATTGGGCCACATCAATATGTCCCCAGTGGCAGTTGAAGCGTGCGTAGTTGACATTTTCATTAACCAAAACATCGAAAATATACAGAGGATTCGTCGTCATGGGTCCTATCACAAATCTGAAATTGTACCGAAGACTATTACTATTTCCAGTCGCAATTTTGCAACCGGTGTTCCAAATGCATTGAGCCAGTTAATTGTTATAAATCAAAATGGTAAGATAATATATTTTGTTAGTTTTCGCAGATTACTTATGTTTGATGTGTTGATCAAATTATCTGGAATTGGATACATATTCCTTTGGTTTCATTTCACCTGTGAGTAAAGTTAAAAGTAACTACTTGCTGATTAAATTACAGGGCTATTGTATGTTAATATGTCAAGTAAACGTACATGTGAAAAGGTGGGCCTTAAAACATCAAAATACTATGCGATATTGTTTTGAACATCATCAATTTAGCCGTTTCTGGTATATTTAAGAATTACATTAAACAGAAATTGATCCAATTTAATAACGTTTGTCATTTAATAGGTTTAAATTGCGATGGCGAGATGTTCTTTAGAACCACCGGCAAAGCATTGCAGTCTTTGATAACACGTCATCCGGATGAAAAATCGGACAGCGTAGAAGTGGCCAGGGAGGCTTTAAGAAGGGCTTCTATTCTAGGGGAACCAATAAAGATACATCAAAGGCTAACAAGATACAAAAACAAACATTTGGTAAGAGTTTTACTAGAAATTATTGATTATTATGTTTTAATTTTCATACACCATGTCACAGGTAAACCAACTTCTTTTAGAAAACGTGGATAAAATTGAACAGGGTTACTAGATTAACGGCAACATTGTTGCCAATTATTACGTTTAAATTGAGGTATTACTGTTGGACGACCTACGTTGGGCGCCAATTGTTACCTCTATTTTTTGCAGAATGCAATCCAAATTCGTTACCGCTAGATTAAATGAAAATAGGCAGCTACGCTGAAGTTTCGACTGATGAACAACCTTTGATAAGCCGGTTTTACTCGGAATGGAGAAGGAGTGGTCTGTTTAGTACAAAACTTACAGTATTTAAAATAAAAATGTTATGGGCGCCAGTTCAATATTTACGGTAATCGGAAATCCAATAAACGTCCGTTTTAGGATCTGAACCAACAAGGGACCAAATTAGGATATCTATGGAACATCCTGTGCTATCTGAAAACCAACGTACGCTTAAGATCTAATAGATACACTTCAAACTTCAATTAAGTTACTACTAGATAAAGTGAAAGGTTGAAAATTCATAGCAGTATTTATATTCAAGATAAAATACATTTTCAGTTCAAGATTTTAATCCTGGTGATAAGGAACAAGAAAATGTATAAAACTGTAGAGAGTGAAAAATGGTTCCATTTATAAGATTGTCCTTCTAACAGTTAGTTAATTATGAACCACCATTATTTTGCCGTAAATTCACACCTGCCATGATCAATTTGTGGCATAACTTGACATACAACAAATGAAAGCTAACATTTATACAATTGACAGATTACATTTGTATAATTGACAGATTACATTTGTAAAATGGACAGATGAATGACCTTGTACAATTGATAGACAGGTGTACAATTAGTCAATCCAAATAACGTGACTTTAAATGGTGGACGATTGGGAAAAACAACAAGTTATTTTTTTTATAAAAACGCGGTTTGTGAGGTTATTAGTTTGCGCGGGTGTATTTTTTTGAGTTATTAGAGTTGGTTGGTTTTTATTGTTATTATTGTTTATAAAGTTATAATAGAACAAATAGAAGAGCCGGAAGTGGCAGGTACGATTCATATCTACACCGACGGTTCTAAAACAAAACAAAGCTCAGGATGTGGAATATACTCCAGATTCTTAAACCTAAACATAAAATGGGCTGTAAGCAATAGTGCCAGTGTAGTTCAAACAGAGCTTACGGGAATTCTCATAGCAGCAAAAGAAATAACCAGAAACAATATCAATGGAAGGAACATGCTCATCTATACAGATATCAGACAAGCACTACTCACCCTGAACAGACCACGAATTTACTCTGGGTTAGTACTAGAATGTCACAAAGCTTTGACCGAAGTGTCCATCAACAATGTGGTCACCTTAAGATGGATCAAAGGTCACGCCACATCGAAAGGTAACCGTCTTGCTGATTCACTAGCCAAGAAAGCAGCCGACCGAATACTTTTTGGACCTGTCCCTTCTATTGGCCTGACAAAATCGGTAGTGACAGATCTAATCAAAAAACATTCCCTTGTGAAATCCAAGGAAAGATGGGATGAAACAAGAAACTGCAGAGTTGCCAGGGAGCTCTTAAGTTATCCTGACAACACTGCAGCAAACAAATACTTGACTATGACTAGACAGAATCTGCGCCTAGTCACAGTCATTCTGACTGGTCATTGCCAAGTACGAAAGCATCTCTATATCATGGGGCTGTCAGAATCCGCACTTTGCAGAGGGTGCGAACAAGAAGATGAGACCATCGAGCATATCCTTTACGATTGCCCGACGCTCTTATTTATTAGATTTGTGTTCGGCGAGTATCGGCTAACACCGGCCGATATAAGAGAAACACCTCTGGACGACGTTGTAAACTTCATTAAATCTGTAGGCTGGCTGACGAGCTAGGAGGTGCCTATCATCTCAGGAGAATGCACAATGAGCCTAATGAGGCCTAAGTGCCGTGGGGGTAACCCACCCTCCACACGTTACAGATACAGAGATAGTTTTAAACACTACAAATGAATACAGTAACGTATGACCTTTAAAAATCTTTAAATCAACAGTTCTTATACTCACAAATTTGCCGATATTTATAACAATCTTACACTAATGAAGAAGTTTTGTTAACAATAGAAGTTTTTCATTGGAAGATATATTGCCGTTGCAAGGTCATTACAAAAACTTCTGCAATCTATTAGTTTACATAGCAAGTAATAGAAGCAGGAATATATTTCAAAGGAAGCTGAAAATTTGTCGTTTCGGCGCAGCAATATTTTCTTTTTTTTTGTCTTCTTCTTTATCTGTATGGGCTCAGTTTTTCAGTAGCACTCTCTGAGAGGTCTACCTGGCTTGCCAAGAAGCGCGTTTTAGGGCTCTTATGACTGATTTTTGTAAAACAAAAACTTTTTTAAAAACCAAACACTGGCACCGGGTAGATAGTGAAAAACTTACCCCATACAAGAATAGAAGAAGACAAGAAAAAAAAGAAAATTATGCTGACGCCGTAATCTTAAACATTCCCGAAACAACAAATTTTCAGCTTCCTTTGAAATAAAATCCTGTTTCTATTACATCGGATGAAAGCATCAATTGTCGGCCATTTTTGAACATTCTAACAGGATATTGGATAGCCTAATTTTAAAAACATTCGCATGTTTTATTAATTATTTTGAAATTCTAAAAAAAATCGTTGTAGGGTCTCCGTCCGTTATCTGTCCATGACTCAATGGGTCAACATTTAATGGAAATCATTGGAAATTCAAGATATTTGAACGATACTTATTGGGCGCATGCAGCACTGGACAAAATTGGAAAATCTATAATTATTGTTTCTTTAGAGTAAGTAATTTCCATACTAGATAAAAGTGATTAACATTTTTAAATAGTTACCTGTGTCTAAAACTTTAAACATAGAAAAGTCAACGTCAATTCAGATGAAAAGTAGATTTGAGCGAAGACGTGATTTTTCAATCACACTTTGAATCGTTACTGTGATTAGTAAAATTAAATGAGGTTGTTTCCTCAAAATCATTAATAAATTAAACATTGGTTAATATTTGTCTGGACAACATATAAAAAATTAAACTAATTATAAGTAATAGTATTAAAATTTGCCCATTTGAAACTTTCACCGTAAAGTAGAGTTCATTTATGAATTAGGTAGTGTAGTTTGTTATTTTTTGAATTAATTCCCAGGGAATCCCCAAACAAATCCAAATATTACCCCTACGAAATGAGCGATCGCTTATTTGGAAGAGCGCTGTGCGTAGAACAGGAGTAGGGAGTATAGGTGGGTTCGAATCCCCCAGCGCACAGAAATTTTTCAATTTTTGGGGGTTAAAAAATATAATTTTCCTTATTTCGTAGGGGGTAATATTGGAATTTGTTTGGGGATCTCCTGGGGAAATTTATTAATCATATTTTTCGGATATTTAACCGATAAGTTTTTTGGACTTTAAAACCGATTCTCTCACTGTTATTTTCTGCTTAGACATGTCATAAGAATAAACAAATGTCGACTATGGGGTCCATGGGAAATAGAATGGGTGGTAGATTTGGACGACATCATTTCTATGCCAAAAATTAATTGCACGGACTTATTACTCAACATGAGACAGGTAAATTTGAAAACATGTGTTTAAAAATTTCAAATGCAATCACGACTGTTTTTAAATTTTTAGAACGATTCCACGTCGGGAAAACTCCAACAGATCAAAATCATGGGCCAAAAAGAAATGCTGATTTGGCTGCACGAGAAAATCGAACAGGCCATTATAGTAAGCATGGAAGAAAAATCTTGGGGACTCGCAGAAAATTAACGTGAGAAAAATGAATTGAGGAATTGACGTTTTTTTTAACAGAGATAAATATATGATAAAGAAGATATACTATACGTTAGAATTTTGTGTATATTTTGAATGATTGTAAAATATTGTCAGAGTAAATTATTGAATTTATTTGTCTTTTTTTAACTTAATATTTTTTTGGATTATAACGCACATTTAAATCACTATACAGAGCAATATACAGGGTGTTTTTTTAATATTGTGAAAAAATTCAGAGGCGTGTCCCTTGGACGAAATGAAGCAAAAAAGTTCCTATGAATATATGTCCAGTGGCGTACCGTTTTTTTTTAAGAAATATTCAGTTCAAAGCCCGCATGAACGCCAATGGCGAATGTAAAAGTTTAAATTATGTATCGGAAAATGGCTTTGGATGCATAGAAACTGCGTACCAATTTTCAGAAAAATATCTACAGTGGTATTAAATGTATCGCAAAAAATAAGTTTTAGCAGAAATACAAAATTTCCATCTCTCGTTGAGTTCCAGAGGTAGGCTCCTTTGCTCTTTTCATCCCATAACCCAGGTAGCACAAATAAGTCCATTGGACATCCATTCGATATACAATTTTGGATGTCTGGAGTTTTTTCTGGACTTCAGACTTCCAATGGACGTTCAGTGAAGTATACAAATGGCACACTTTTGACCATTCAATAGACGTCCAATTCTGGATTATATTTGAACGTTGAATACCGGACATTTAAAAAACGTCCATTCCTGGATTATATTCCATTGAGACCACATCCCCATATCACCATTACCCTTTTTTTACACAACCGCAAATCACCACACAGTATTTTATAGTATTATTATTTTTGCAACCCGCTATACACCATTTCTTTTTTTTATTGTTAAAAATCGCTTGACCTGAGCAGGAATCGAACTCACGACACGTCCATTATCGTTCTACGCTTTCAACCACTAGACGATCTCGACCAAGGAGCCACTTGAAAACTTTTAACAAAATATGGTTATAATAGAATAAGATTTCAAACTTCCGCTAATAGAATGAAATGCAATAAATTCAAATTGTCAATTTTTAATGACCAATTAAATAAAAAAAAGACATTTTATATAGATATGGGTATTATCTGATAAACTAACTAAATAATGACCTAAGATGGACATCAAAATACTACTAAACTTAAAAATAAGTCCAAAAACAGACGTCCTCTGGGTATCGATATGCGGCTATCAAATTAATGATCATAAAGGGACGTACACTGGATGTCCAAATGTGGATATGGACGTTCTGACCCTCAAAGGGATATAAAGTGGACGTCCACTGAACTGTGTGCTGTCTGGTAACTAACTTCATCCCATGCTAAATCATTGTAATTAGTGAAGTGAAGTTAGATATAGAGTAAAAAGAGTAAAAGGAGTCCACATTTCTCTTCTGTTCTTCTGATATAAAAACTGATACTACAGTTGGCATAAAATGTGACTATTTAATCATTTTTCCGCCTTTTTTTAAATATCTTCTTGTTCTTCTGTTATCCTGATACAACGTTCCGAGTACCAAAGTTGCAATTTCATGGACAAAATTTTGGTATCAGGGTACCTATTCTTGAATCTCAGGGAATAGAAATTTTGAGGGAAGAATGAGACAAAAATACAAATTTTGTGCGTTGAAGATAAAGAGGAAAAACCGGTTTTCTACTCCCTCGAATTCAAGAATAGCTACCCAGGATAACAGAAGACCGAGGAGGTATTTTAGAATGGGCGGGAAAATTAGATCTTTAATCAAGTTACCGTATAAGGGTAACGCAAATCAAATTATTGCCATCGTTCAGGGTAAATCAGAATCGATAGATTTTTGAACATGAATACTTTCTAAACTGCGCAAAATAGATATATCTGCACGGCTCTACGTTTGTGTGAATTTGTATATAAATTTTATGAATATATATACTTACGTGTCCCAAGTGCTATTAAAAAATGTCAACTCACCTTCCTTACATACTAGGCAATTTATGAATTTGCACAAAGAACATACCGTTCCTTGGCATTCTATTGAAGACTGAAGGTTCTAACACTTCTCATTGAAAGCACTTTTTTAAATCAAAACAAAACGCATTAAAAAAAACATTTATTAAAAAAAAATAACGCAAAAAATATCACAAATATTCGTTTATCTCAAATTATTAATCTTTTTATGCAAGTCTCGTTCCTCTCTATAGATTTTATGGCTGACTAGGTAGTCCCTGAACAACTTAAATAGAATGTAATAGTTAAAAAATAAAATGAAAGTCAACGAAATGATTTTGTACCACAGAGTGCTGCGAACTAACAACACCAACTGACAAATGACCAATATTAATAAAAGAAACAATTTCAGTCTCAGCGTATACGTGGGATTTTTGAAAACATGCTGAAAATAAAAATTAAATTGTATTATTTCTGTTAAATCGTAAAAATAGATTGTTCAGAGAAGTGATAAAAAAAATTTCAAATTAAACAACAAATTTGATTGCATTAATGCTATTAACACAGCTCTGAAGTAATCATTGGACAAAATTGCTTATTTTAAAGCTTTATTACTTACATAAAATCTTCTAAGTCCAACATTTCCAGGCTCGCTGCTGTTACAATCACCTTGTGCCCTCCATATATCCTTTCCGTACCTTACTAGAGCTCCGTAGGGCCACAAGACGTCCTCTTTCCATGTGTTGTTCACCAAAAGCATGGTCCTGCCTGTTTCCAGTCTCTCCCAAGTGCCCAAATGCAGAGCGGATCGATGCAGTATGTCACAATATCGTAGGGAGAGAATATGGATCGACAGAGATATGAAACCGGTGATGAAAATGAAGAAAATGTGCTGAGCTGCCCAAAAACTATCGTAGTGCAAAGAAGACTGGAATTAAAATATTAGAATTTATAACGATCGCTTCCTTATATCAAAAGAATACAGGTTAAAATTTATAAAGTATACAGATTTATAAGTACAAAAATCCGTAACCAGAACATTATATAATTATTTTAAAAAATGTTTAGCCAAATATGAACATATGCCGCTACTGCTAATAACATAAACAGTGTTTTTAAATGTTATTGCTTTGAATTTTTTTATGAAAACCCTCAAATTTAATCCCAAAAATATAGGGTAGCGATAAAGTCTGCCAACAAGGTATTTTCTTTCAAACGAATGAATGAATAATTATGAAATTATAGGGTCATTGATATCCATTACCAGTAGTGCATTTAGGAATCTCGCACGACGCGTCTGACCACATACATTAGAATAGGGTCCAGACGCGCCGTGCGAGGTTTCTAAACGCACTCCAGTATTTACTGTGATTAATATCATAATATTGTCAATAATTATTATTTAATTGTTTGTATTTGGGAGTGTCCTGAATCCTGGATGAATAAATAGTAAGTATTTTGTAAATTATTGATTATTGTATTGTCAACTTGGTCTTGTTCAACTATGTTTTTAATTTTCAATTTGTTTACTTGACTTGCTGATGATTGTGAGCTTATTTTAAATTTTTGTAGTGATTTTTTGTTTAAAAGTTGAAATATGTCTTGTTGTTGTGTGCCAAATTGTTTTGTAAACACTCTGAAAAGGCATCGTTTACCCAGACCTGATCCTAATGATTTAATATTTGGGTATTGGCTGTTCGCAGTCCGTTTTTCAAAAATAACACAACAAATTTGTAAAACTATTTAGTATGTGATAAAAATATTGAAGATAAGTTTAAAGTTTCTGGTACTCGCCGAGGTCTGTTTTTTATTTGTTCTGGTACAAACTTTCTTCAAGCCGTTTGGAGTGGCAGTATTGCATAGTTGAAGACAAAACAGCCTAGTCAGGGAAGTAATAGCCACTGTACTTTTTATATTCATGCCTCACTTTACCTGCTGCCTAACACATTTGATTTGTATATTGATTTAGTTCAGATTGTTACTTTTACTGTTTTTTTATTTATTCTAGTACAAACTTTCAAGTCGTTTGGAGTGGCAGTATTGTATTGTGGAAGACAAAATAGCCTAGTCAGTAAAGTAATACCTTTTTTATTCATGCCTCACTTTCTGTGCTCCCTAACAGATTTGAAGGGTGCAGGGAAAAAAGGGCCAAGTCACAATTACCAAAATGTTCAGGAAAGCAAATTTAATTTAAACTGACTAAATACAAACTTTTGATACTTTGAGGTAATTGATTACAAAAAGATGTTACTTTGTATATATGCTGCCTGATTATATTGCAGTTTATCACTAAAACAGTTTTCATTTTTTAAATTTAAATACTGAAAGTGCCAAACAAATAGTAGAAAAAGTTGCTAAGTCCTTGGACATAATTTTAAATGCACTGTTTTGCATTTGCTAATTTGGCTTATTACATGGAAACATACTGGTATTTTACAAAATAGGGCGATAATAGTTCAATTTTGACAAAAATGTGACTTAGTTGCTTTTTTCTTCCTGCAACCTTCATTTGCTTTATAAGTTTATTAATATTTATTTTTTGTTCCAAATAAAATTCTTCAACCGCTGTGGAAAATGAAGTAACTTGACTATCCGTCTAATTAACATTTACTACATTTAATTATTCTATTTGTATGTTTGTTTTTGTTTCATTAAATTAATTTAATTGATCATGCTTTGGAATTTTTTTGTATTTTAATAAAATATTTAAACTTGTAGACAAGTCAGGATTGGTTCATACTACTCATTTTTTGCTTTATTGTAACAAATATAATTTTATTGCTACAATAACATAAAAACTGAGTTAGTATGAACAAATCTTAATTTGACTACCACTTTTAAAGTGTAAATAGTGAATGACAATTTTGAATGTTCTCGCGTTTTGTATTGACTAAGTGACCGCGAGATGGCGCCACTTCCTTTCAAATAGTTCAAAGAACGATCACACGGCGCTACAATACTGTCTTGAATGTTAATATTGCCATACCCATTCTGAAAGTAAGTGATCTGTGAAAAGTTCTACAGGTTAAAAGGGACCAAATTAATCATTTATTCATTCTACAATCTACAACTGCAAATCTGCAGACTTAACTTACTTGTGCAAAACAACAGGGTATAAATCCTGCATAATAAGCATTGCAGATAGCCGTGAACAATATTTCTTTCATTCTGCAATTGAAGTTTGTGATGAGATTCTCCACCTCCTTACGAATTTCCGCGGCGCTCAAACTGCAAGCGTGCAACGGCGGTGTAGGCTTCCACTTTATCAACACGAAAAACGGATGAATGTTAAATCCGAACAGAATTAGGTATATAAAAAATCTAAAAAGAATTTAAGTTCTAAATTTGAAAAGAATTTTTGTAACTCTGACTTACGGATAACACAAGTATAAAATCTTTTCTAACTGGTGATTTTGTATCACCAGACATGTGCAAAGTGTTAAAATCATGCACATAATGCTGAACAGGAAGAACCTAAAAATTACATTGTTTACTGGAATGAAACCATTTTGAAGGCTACATAATATGGTTAAAATAGAAAGGAAAGTCTCCATTATTCTCCCATGAGTGAAGGAGGAAAAGACACTTTACTCCCATATAAAAACCAATAATTACCTTGAATGTTAAGCTTTGAACTTACCTAAAATAAGAGTAAATATATTCTTGTCTTTGATCAATAATTATTTTATTTAATATCATACATCCAGACATGTAAATAAACCTTCTTGATAATGTCACAATGATAAACACAACCAAATTTGGATCAATTAAATAAAAATTCTGAAAGAAAATATAATATTTGTAACCATAGTTTATATCTACAACATGTCTACATTTCTCAATCACTAAAGATTATTTTAGTCTACTGTATGGTTTGCTAAAGGAATTACCTTCTTAGATAGGTATCAGTCTAAGATTATTAAGCAGATAATTTGCAACTAAGGGTCGGTTTTTCAATGTCCAGTCAAAGTGGCTGTTACGTAGCCGACAGCTATATTTAGCTGGCAGTCAAAGTCCCTGTTACCGATGGAACATGGATGGAAGTGTTTTTCATCACGAATTTAACTGCTAGCTACGTAGTCTAATAGTTTTTATTTATTCTTAGACCGGTTGGCATTTCTGCTAATTTGTTAAATGGTTTTTATTAGATAATTTAAATTTTCCGCTTTACATATCGTGTCTTGTGTTGATCGTCACCGACCTTCACATAAAAATTGTACTATTTTGTTTCCATTTTTCTTTAAGATCTTGTTATTTTCTGTTTTTGGGCAATTGGTGATTTAGAAAAAAGAGAAAATATCTAATTACGCGGCATCAGATAGAGCCCTACTATCGAAATTTGCTTATCTTACAGAATGTAAAAAAAAGGAAAATGCAATATCACGGAAACGAAATGAGAAGGTTGCAGAAAAAAGTTATAATAAAATTATTTTCATCAATATCAAAATAATTGGGCCATTCCCTTACAATACACGACACGGTCATCTTGGCACATATTAAATAATTTAAATAATTTCTTTGTCATCGTTGCTGTGAATGTATTCAAATAAATCCATTTTTGAGAAATAACATTAATAAAAATATTAACCTCTAACTTTGACAAACAACGTCCTACGCATGTACAATAAATAGCTGGCGGCTATCTATACGAAATTACCACTTGCAGGTTACGGTTACAGTCAAAATAGCTGACGGCTATCGTATAACTGGAGGTCGAAAAACGTTTTGACAGTCAGTGGCTGACGGCTATCTCCGTAGCTGCCAGCTATCCTAAATAGCCGGAGATTGAAAAACCGGACCTAACTGGGCTATTGTGTGACCAAAGCTATAGCAAAGTAGACATTGAAAACTCACCATTGCCAATCTTGTATATGAATTCGGGAGCCACCACACTGACCTGTACAAATGTAAGAACTGCAAGGCTGTAGTGCAAATTGCAAAAAAACACATGAAAGCCTCGAAGAAAAAGTCATTGTCCATGGGTGTATTTGGAAAGGGAAAATGTTTAGGTGCTGCTGGAGGTTCTAATGCGGGTAGAGTCGGAACGGAAGCTCCCAAGGGAGCGTACCTTTGTCCGCAGAGTTCATTAGCAAAAGTTGATATAACAGGTGGTGAAATAGGAGTTGAACGCACGTTATTACGATTGAGCCTTCTTGTTGCTCCTGGCATTACTGATTTGTATTTATAATAAAACTCTCTACAAATAGGGCAACATTATTTTTAACCATAACCATGCAAATATGACACACTTAAAATGTAAACAAAAATATTGACATATTTTACAACACAATATACAAAGTTTATTTTTTTGGCTATTCCTTTCAAGCGTTTTTCTCTTTTTAATTTGAAAAAGCGACCGTTATGTATCTCTTTTCTTATATTCCAGTGCAAGGTAAACAAACCAATTTAAAATCAGTGACAGGTGACATTACGACAGTTGATGCGTTCGGAAATGTAATTCTTGTTCCACCCAATGCTGTATAAATAGTTATATAGAGTGCTCATCCATATATTACCAAGACGCCCAGACAGAATCGGTCTGGCCCAAATGCGTCTTTAATTCAAATTTCATCCTTTAAAGCTTAGTACTCAGCCAAATGAGGATTGAAAATTTTTACACGTGACCAAAGATTCGCCAGAAATGAATCATAGGACTCATAATGGCGAATTTCGCCTTAAATTTAACCTAAAATGCCACTGAAAACGAAGAATTTAGATGTAGACGACATTTGCAATTTTTTTTGTATTTGATTAATATACTTTTGAATTTTGATTGAATTTTTAAAAATGAATCTGGAAGGTAAAATAATATGTTAGGTTTGCTGTATGTAAATAATAAAAATAAATTAAAGAAAAAGAAGCAACCGTGACGTTAGTGGGTTAGGCAGATTTTTTAAATAGAAAAAAGCAAGGCGCGTTCAATGTTAGATTTAAACTTTAGTTTACCTGAAAATAATCATATTGTTCATATATGACAAAATAAGAAAGTATAAATCAAATAAAAACTTTTAATGTTTATATTGATTTGACGCACGATTTATATGTGAACTGTGCACGATATAAATAACTACAAAAAAAAAATTAAAAAACTATGGATGATCCTCGATGAACAAAAAGAGGTATACAACCAAGAGAGATAACTCTATAAAATTCGCCGAAAAGTTAAAATAATTTCATCTTTTTGTGATTACCGCAGAAAACTAAAACATTTCCAAAAAATTGCAAATTTATTTAGACCAATCACATCAATTTCGCAAATTAAATTTCCGCTTTCCGCTGTAGTGAGTACTGGGCTTACGTATGAATTTATTTAAAAAATACCTGAACTGTTACTTGAGGTTTGTTTACATCTTTCTGGTATTTTGAAAAAGAGGATACTTTCTGAGTTATAAAGTTTAGTTTTCATATAGAGAAAACAATTTCGAACATAAATATAAGAATTTACATTCTATTTGCAATTAGTAATACAACTTTAAAAAGAGATGTATAAAAACTTTGAAAAAATTTAAATAACTTTAATAATTAAGGACCGATTCCACCGTTGTGTTAAGCGAAATTTAAATGACATTACAAATGTTATTTTAGTCTCCGTTTAACACAACGGTAAAATCGGCCCTAAGAGATGCATGAGGTGACATCACATACTTTAATCAAAGTATGTGGGTGACATTTAGACCAATATGGATGAATCAAAAATTAAATTAATGGAAATTTCCATGACAGAATAGCTTCCGTTTGTGGAAACCTTTCTATATATCATTGACACGTCGTTGGAATGCAGAAACAAAAGCTCCGAGGAATTTTGTCCGGACGAAATTTTGTTGCCCTTGATTTACGAACGCACCCCAGCTACTGAAGATGTCAAATGAGATTTTGACGGTTGACACAAAAGTAATGATTTTGTTTAATTGGGTTAATCTGAATTCCTTATGCAATTTTAGAGAGAGATCGTATATAAAAATTACATAGAAAAACAGAGAAGCAGATACTTTTCAAATTTTATATTTACCACTAATATAAAAAGTACGTTTTTTAAGTTCGAATTACAATGATGGCGTCCATGTTGATTTTGATAGAAATGAGTGCAAGATATTTTTCAAAGTTAGCCTAAAAGTAATTCAAAATTTAGAAGATGGACCAAAGAAGTGGAAACAGCGATGACGGTTCGTTTAAATCCGCATATATGAATAAAAAAATATATAAAAACTTTATTTACTTTTAGATGGTAGTGCTCCAACAAAATCGTCCAAGCAAAGCAACGTTTTACCTCTTTGGGGCAATGAACGAACCATGAATTTGAATCCTTTGATTTTAACAAATATACAGAGTTCTCACTATTTTAAGGGTATGTACTTTTTACATTTGTAGAGGATTTAAATACCTAAAAAACATGTAATTTTAGTGAATTTATATGAACTGAAAACGTATCACGAAGTAGTTGACGAAATTTACTATAAAGTTAGCCACTTAGAACCTTGGGAGAAAGGTTCAAGAAGAACTTCAGGTCAGACTGGTATGTGTGGTGGAGTCAGAGGAGTGGGAGCAGGGGGTATAGTTTCAACCGCTTATTGCCTTTTGTACAAACTGTTCACATTAAAATTAACAAGAAAACAACTAAATGGACTTATATCTCACTGTGATTCCCCTTACATTAGAGCACTAGGTTTCATGTACATCAGATACACTTTCCCTCCAGCCAATCTTCTGGAATGGTACGAGGACTATTTGGAGGATGAAGAGGTGCGTAGACAAAGGTAGAGTGATGCCTATCAGTTTTTTTTTTATTTTCAGAGTTTTGTTTCATATTTTTTCTGGTTTATGCTTTAAAATTTGAGTATTGTAGGAACTTGACGTGAAAGCTGGTGGAGGACAGAACATGGCGATTGGGTTGATGCTAAGGCAGTGGCTAGTCAAGTTGGAGTGGTTTTCTACTTTATTCCCTAGGATTCCCGTCCCTATACAACAAAAAATCCAGAAACATTTGGAGGTTAGTCGAAAATTTTGAATCTTTCAAAAATTCTAAAGTTATTCACTAGAACTAGATCTAAAATATGAATTTAGCTAAAGAATACTTTGTCCTTATTCTGTCAGTGTAGTTTAATAATCTACAAATTTCAATTTACAATCCTAGTATACAACAAATATAAATAAACAGTAAAAAATTTTAAATACTGTATTTATTTATGATTATTAAAATTGCACATACTCTTTAGTAATCAATCTGGTTTTAGATCTAACCATTCATGTGAATCAGCACTTCATAAACATGCGTTCGAAAACTGTTATTCATGAAAAAATATTACTCAAAAAATAAAAAATTATGGCATAAAAGGCAAAGTATTTGATTGGATCAGTGATTATCTTACAGACAGAAAACAGGTAACCAAGATTAAAGATTCTGTTTCAACATTAATTGATGTAGTACATGGCGTTCCTCAAGGAAGTATTATAGTGCCATTGCTATTCTTAATATATATTAATGATATCAGCAATTGTAGTGAATGTGATAATGAACATCTTTTTGCTGATGATGCAAATGATAATGATCTAGATGTAGCTATTCAAAAAATGAACAATTTTTTAAACACTATTGTTAGATATTTAAAAATGAATAAACTGTTGATAAAACACCTTTTAAATACAGAGAATAAGATTTAAATTAAATTGAAATAAAAATTAGAAATGACAAAATTGAGGTAGTAACTGAATTTAAATATTTAGGATTCATCTTAGATAATCATTTACCACTTAATAGTCATTTTAATTACATACATAAAAAATTCAAGAAATTGTATTTTTTTTTTTTTTTTTTTTTTTTTTTTTTTTTCAAGGGTATCTCAGCCCTTAACTATGCAGTCAAGAATAACAAGGTTGGTTAAATTAGATAAAATTTGGGCAGTTTTGTGTCAAGAAACCTTCTATATCTACAGGAAGATTCAAAATATCAGGCAAAAAATGAAAATTGTCATTTGTTTAAATTCATTCATTTTTTTGTTTGATATTTTGATTCTCCCTGTAGATAAAAATGTATTGTAATGAGCACAAAACTGTGCAACTTTTTTGTCTAATTTAACTAACCTTCTGTTACTGTTTAAGAAATAGAAATACTGTCCCTATGAAATAGTAGGAACCCTGTTTAAGACTATTATTCAACCACATTTTGAATATTGTTCTACTCTGTTGTACACGTTTGATTTAAATAAAATTAGAACCCTACAAAAACTTCAGAATCGTGCAATGAGGATTATTTTGAAATGTAACAGGCATACCCTGATATTTAATGCTAAATACTCTAGAATGGTTAACTATTGAAAGCAGGCTTACATTTTTAACTATGGTTACATTTACAAAATGTTACATACTCTTTTACCATCATATTTCAACAAATTTTTAATTAAGAAATAATTTGTATGTAAATAATCAAACAAAAACATTTAATGCTTAAACATTAATTTTTAAAGGATTTATTAATTATAACAGTCTGCCTGAAAATGTAAAGTCACAAGTCTTATTCTGTTTAGGAGTTTGATAGGCCATTTAATGGAGAGTTGTATTATATTGATGTGTAATTTCAATTTTGTGCAATTTTAACTAAGAAACACTAATTAATAATTATTTAATATTTTTTATGAGTACCTTATCTTTATATAATTATTCTATATTTTTGTTGTAAATTAGGATGCATGTACCTATTTTAATAAAACTGTTTTAGGAATACCATTGATATATTTACATTTAGTATCATCACCTGCATTAAAAAAGAGATCTAATTTTAATTGTTTGTTTATAATAATTCCTCTGTTTAAGAGTTTCATCAGAATAGATTTTAACTAAAAGATGATATTTATTAGTAATTTTATTACAGTTTTTTAATAAATTTATTGCAGCTTCGCTTGAATCTAGCTCAATTTTCAAGAGACGACCATATTAAACTCGTTTTTAACCAACGGAAAACACATAAAACTGGGAGCAAAACAAACATGTATACTTTATAATATTATCATTATTTAAAAAACTCTTCACTAGAACTTCCTCTAAAACTATATTAATTTAACTAAAGAATAATCTGCCCTTCTTATTCTGTTAGTATTCAACATGATCTTACAAAGTTTGTGCTTAATGTGGGCAATTATAGAAAAGCATATAAATTATGAATTTAGCTTAAGAATAATTCAGAAACATGAGCCTAAATAAGTAAATAATGTATATTGACAACTATAGATACATTAGTGTCTCAAAAGAAATGAATTTGGCTAAGCCATTTTTCAATTCACCCTTATTGCAACAGAATAAATGTTCATAAAAAAATTATTGTCTAGAAATAAGAACTTGTTTAATAGTCTTAACAAAATTATTCAAACTTAAATTATTAAATTCTGAATTTAACCATAAAGGAGCTACATAACTAAAACAACCCTGGAAATTTAAAGTTCTATGCACAGAGATTGCAAAAGTGTTAACTCTTAAAGTTACATTGAGTAAAGTGGATTATCTTCTTAGTAGGATATTATGTAAATATTGCGGAATTTTAGACATAAAAATTAAATATAAATATTTTACCCTTTCCTGAATTTTATATTTATTTAACCTGAGGATTTCTATAAGGAATATTACAAGTAAATCTCATACAAGAATTTAAAATCTTCTGAAGTTTATTTTTGTTATATTTATAGTAAGAAAGTAGTAATAAACTGTAGAGCAATAATCAAAGTGACGATATATAAGAGCTTTAATAAGTTTTAATTTAATGTTTTCACTCACAATGTGATTAACATGTTCATTAAAATTCAAATTGCCATTCATAATAAATCCCAAATTTTTAGCACAAATTGATGATGTAATGATTATCTCATCTAAAGACAGTTCAAAACTACGAGGGCTGTTTTTTTTAACCTCCGATCGCACAGTATGAAGGCCATGCAAGTGGCAGGTGGCTGGCGTACGTAGTAGGCGTCTGCGCGTCTCCCTTTCCACACACTGTTACTGCCGAGTCCAAAACGCCATTTCTTATTGAGCTGCAGTCACCTAAACCTGGATATCTATATTGATTCTCCCGCCAAGTGTGAATTATGAAGTATTATTCGTTTCTTCTGGTGTTTATGTAGACGGGGACAACAATTACTGCAGATTCTTATTGTCAGACTTTGCGACGCTTACGGAGAGCAATTCAAAACAAAAAAAACAGGCATGCTGACTTCTGGAATTATTCTGATCCATAAAAATGCCCGTCCTCATAGTGCTCATGTAACCCAACAGATCCTTGAGCAATTTCAATGGGACCTTTTTGACACCCACCCTATAGTCCCAACCTAGCACCGAGTGACTATCATCGTTTCCTGAACTGAAGAACTGGTTTGGAGTACAGCGCTTCCAAACTGACGAGCTCAAAGAAACCATCACAAATTACTTCAAGTCACTGGCGGCAACAATTTATGAAGAGGGTATTGCAAAGCTTGTGCACAGATATGACAAATGCTTCAATCGTCAAGGTGATTATGTAGAGAAGTAACCTTTAATGAATATTTTGGTAATAAAATTATTTTTTTAAATTCACCCTTATTTCCTTTATAGCCTATCGGAGGTTGAAAAAAAAAACGGCCCTCGTAGTAATAGACCTGCACTTAAACTCTGGACCCATACAAATTGCACTTGACTTTCTAGGATTCAATTTAAGACCACGATTAACACATCATTAATGTACAGCCAACAAATCCTTGTGAATGTGATCAATATCATTTTCTATATTAATATTTTACAAAAATTTCGTTCAACTTTGTTTACAAATTTGGCGCCCAACGTTGAAAAATCTGCACTAATTAACAACTACTTATAGGGCCGTTTCCCACCGCACGCAGTCCAAGCAGCCACCGAACGCGCCCGAGAAGACCACAAACAAGAACGCGGCGAGAGAAGAGGGGCGGGAGGACCAGCAGCGGCAGCAACATACGAAAGAGACCGACCGGTGCGCGATGATCTCCGACCACCACGTGGCGATTTACGCAACAACTTTCTACGCGACGACGACCGTCGGTTGGACAGAGACACCAGGTTTGACAGACGAGACAGGGATCATGAGAGGCGAGACAGACCTAGAGAGAGAAAACACAGAGACCGAAGTCCGCAAAGGAGGAATCCGCACGGATCTCACAAGCATAGAGATAGGAGTAGAAGCAGAGACAGGAGGAGTCGTTATTAAGTTGAAAATAATAAGTTTGGTTAAGAGAAATGATTGTTTGAAGGAAATCGTAACCCATTGTAAATCTTTTTTAAAAACGAAAATTAAATTAAACCGACTAAAATTTGGTTTGAAATGTACTTATTATTCTGGTAGCATCAATTGATCTACCTAGATCAACATAAGTACAAAATTCTTTCAAGCTGCTACAAAAATAACATAATAGTGTCCCTTTACTGGTGTATGCTCAGTTTTGAATCTTACAACTGATTTCTATTCAGAATAGTCATTCTCCTATACTTTTTGAAACTGGTACTGGTTTTCCAAGTGCTTTGGGACATTTGTCTCTTTTTTTGTTTTCTTTTTCTCCCAACCCAGTCTTTAATGGAACTTGGTTTGGCACCTTTTAGTATTCCTTAATTCATATCTGGTTTCTGTATTTCTTATATTTTTTCAACTTTTTCATTACCCTTGACCCCTCAGACACTCAAAGTAATTTTAATCTGATAGTGAATATCCTCAGTTCTTCAATGCAGTCTAGTATCAGTCTCGAAGTCAATTTGTGTACTTAAAAATTGGGTACTAGATGTGTTATATAATTTTCTAATATTTTCCATTCTCATTTGTTACTATTTCTTGTTTACAATCAGTCCTAGGCCATAATATCGCAGTTGGTCTGTCTTCCAATTAATATACTCTTGACTCAGTATTTCTTTGCTTTTAAGGTAGTTCACTCATAAAAGGGATTTTCTTAAGAATTCAATAAAATTGAAATATAAGGTTAATGAAAATGTCTTTTGTAACTAAAAAAAATGAAAATTTTTAACCGTCTGTGATATTAACAATCAAAATGTGCATAATTAACACTCTTGAAGCCCGTCATATACAAGCAACGCGTTTATTTCAAGATATCTCGAAAAAGGATCTTACTATATTTTTTAAAAACTAATGTAATGTAAATCAAGAAGTTATAAAATTTTCTAAAAAACGCTGAATTTTTTGACCGTTTTATATAGGTATATAGATTTTTAAAGGAGTCGACGCGTAGTGGGGTACAATGATTACAGCTTGGCAGCATTGTAATCGCTACACTTAACGCGCAGTTAAATGTTAGATTACTTTAGGCTTGTTTTGGTTCTTTCTGAATTACACTCGATCAGCTAAGAGGTTGCTATAACCTGAAAAATTAATTCGTCCACTGTATTTGAGAAGTGGAATCAACGGTTCTGTTTGAACCAAAACAAACCCTTTGTAAGTATTAACGTTATGTAGGGTTAAGAAATTATCCAAATACATTATTACGCTTTTTCATTAATAGTTTAAATTAGAATAACAAATAAAATAACATTTGTTTCAGTGACGGCGTTTTACATTGCACTAGAACTCTAAAAAATTAGTATGAGGAAGTCACGAATTTCTATGGGCATACACACTCACTTAATAGCCCACCATTTATATATTTGCGACGTTGCCGGATGGATTTTACTTGAAATAATAACGTATCCGTATATATAAGCTTACATGTGTTGTATACAGTTTCTTATAAAAATAACATTTTTTAGCATTGAGAATCTCGAACTTTTAGTATTCACCATTAGGCGATATTTTTGTGTACGACTATCACAAGTGAACTACCTTAAAACTTTTCAGAGCTCCTGGTCTTATAATTATCATTCTCTCTATCTCTGCTGTTTGGAACTTCAGCCATTCTTTTCCATTGTTACAAGAATTATTTTATATTTTTTTTAAATCAGGCGGTGGTTGGTCAAACTGGAGTGATTTTTGGACTTTATTTCCTAGAATGTCCGTCCTACTTCAAAAAATGTCCACTAGAACTTCCTCTAGAACTAAAAATACGAATTATGATTTTGTTGTCCAATGTTGTTTACAAATTTGGCGCCCAACGTGGGGAATTGTTTATTTTATTATGATTCAGAATGGTTTTAATAAAAAATCGCCAGGTTACGGTTTCCTTAAGTTTTCCAAGGAATATTTCATACATTTATTATACTCCATAAATAGATCTATATGTGTGAATTTTTGAAATAATTAATTTTTTTTTAGTTACCTACCTACTATTTGTTGAAAAACATAGAAAATATAATTGTTGGCTGCATTGTATTCACAAATAACGATGCCACTGACAAAGATGGATAGCATTGAAAGTACTGTATTGCTTAAAAAAAAACTTGAATCTTAATTAGATATAAATTTCTGTATCGTTTTTTATTTCATTATGGAAACGTGTGATGAATTTTTATGTAAAAGTACAAAATTGTACACATAAATCTCATAAAAAAACGAGGAAAAAAATATGGTACAGCTATACACCTTTTTTTTTAATAAAATAAAAATTAGACACTGTATAAAATATTAGAATTTTATGGAATTTGGTTGTGATCAAATTTAATTACAAATAATTAAAACAGAACTTTGGTTAAAGCAAAAAAGCCATCTTTTATTAAAACCATATTAAAAAATGGTAATGTTGATTTTTTCCTGTAATTATTCTATTTGCGGTTTATATAGGGAGGTACGGAGCAACGAAGGGACTCTTGTCTCCACAAAATGATGAAATTTTATTGATCTAGTGGTCGAAAATTTTGTACCTACACTTGCTTCATATCTCATTATTAATGACACACCCTGTATAGAAGTATCTTTTAAAGTATGTATATTTACAGAAGAAGAAACAAACGAATTAGAGTATAATTTTAGTTTTTAGTATTGTATTTGTTCATTTTTTTTTATCTAAATTAAAATCTTTTGGAGAAAGGTTTTTATTATTATTTACCGTATCTACAAGGGGAAACGAGGGCTCAGGTTATCAATTAGTATTTGATTTTATCAGGATGGACCTATAAATTAATATATTTTGGAGTGCCCGAGATCAAAGAATACTACCCAAGAAGCAAATTTAATTGGGCGAGTCATGAAAAAAAAGTCATTTCTGAGTATTGGTAGTACTTGCAGATGATATGCAGAGACTTTGGAGCTTTAATTATGCAACTCCGATGTAGAAATCCCTACACTTGTACCAAAAGTAGCAAAACCGGACAACAGAAAATACTTGCAAAGGGATTTTCTTATTGTTAGAGACGTCTAGAAGTATATTATTTCATTGTCAGCAAAAAAAGAAGAGTCCACCGATAAGCAAATTTACTTTGAATTTGACAGGTTGCGCGATAGTTCCACTACATAGTACATTAGAGATGTCGAATATTGTTACTTTTAAGTATTTGTTACTCGGTCAGTAAGTAACTCTTACTTTGGTTACTACGGATATAATACCATAAGTAACTATTGACTAGTTTGGACGAATGTGTATATTTTAAAATAAGTTTTTTAATGAATACATGTAAAAATGTTTTTATTAAAATAATTTAAAAATATAAATTAAAGGATAATAGTATTTTTTATTCGAATATGACATAAAACGTATTTCACACACAAAAAAAAAAAAAACATAATCGAGAAGAATTTTTAAATGTACTACAATGAACTACTAAAAAGTACTTTTAGGGCCCAGGTCGTAAGAGTAAAGCGGCTCCGCTATCTAAACATTCTGTTTTTGTTTTATTTTTGATTTACCTTCTAATACTGCTGAAGATATTTTATTGCTATTGTAAAATAGTAGTCCACAATCCATTTGTACATCAAATTTGAATACGCCATTTTAGTGATGATGTAATTATGGTTCCACTGATAAAGTAACAGTAGATTTCTTAAGTGCGTTTTATTTACCTATATCGTTTTTCACTTTTATAAATATATTCCTAAAGTAGATAACATGCATCAAATATACAATCCTTTAGTTACAAATTACATACCTTTAAACTATTTTGTATGACCTGCAAACCATATTTAGAAAAAAACTTATAACAGTAAAAATGTATATGTCTAATTTATTGATGTTTTTGATAAAAGTTTGGTTAGAATTAAATGTCAGTGGAACCAAAATGACATCACACTAAACTGGCGTATATAAACTAAATAATAAAGTATAATTTTTAAATCGATTTGACATAAGCACACTAACGTGACAGCAATTGTTATCAAGAATGTACCTACCTAGCCATTGATATTAATAAAGTTTGTATTTTAATCTTGATAGACTATTCGCGCGCCTTTGATATGTTTAATCATAATTTGTTGCAAGCAATTCTAGATTATATTGGTTTTAGTAACATCATGTTCTCTTCCCTTCTCCTACTTATCCAATAGAGTGCAGCAAGTACAACTTAATGGTAACTTATCTGACTGCTTGCCCGTTCTTCATGGTGTCCCTCAAGGTAGCATTTTGGGTCCTTTACTGTAAACAATTTATACCTCATTTTTGCATACGAATTTGTCGCATTGTAAATATCACTTATGTGCCGACGATACCCAAGTGTACTACTCTTGATCCATATGCCTTCGAAGATTCAGTTAGTAAATTAAATGAAGATATATATGTAATTGAGTCCATATCTAATAAAGATGCTTTGCAAATAAATGTCAAAAAGTCTTGTATTCTTCTTTTGTAGTAATATTAAAAAAAAATTCTACCCCAGGTAGTAATAATGTTCATCTAAATAAGCTAAAATTATCATTTCTAATGTCTCTTTCATATTATTACATGTTCAGGTCTTTTTAATTAAAGGTAAATTTCAAGAAACAATTCTCAATATACAGAATATTCAAAGTCGTTCTTTATATATTTCCTTACCGATTAAAATAGTAGATCAAATTAGAGCAAACTTTTTGTTAGTAAAGTGCTTGATTGAGGATCTTGCTGCAATGGAGCCGATCCCCCATTTTTGCTAAAATTTTAACTTATTTTATGTTATCTATGTAAAAAAATGAAGCTTAATCGATTGGTGTAAGAAACAGGCAGCTCCGATAATAAATGGCAGAAAATGTTAATTTTTTACTTTATAATAAGTGCCAAGAGTACCTACCTTCTTTTTTAACTTTGGTACACGAGGAAGCACCTCGAATTGTTTTTTCCATTTTTTCTTTCAAAAACATCACAAAGGTGCAAGTTGCATGTAAATATTATCCCTTTGATTATGTTTTATTTTTGTTAAAAGACGCGTTTTATATCTCAAAAACAAAAATGGTGCTACCCTCTTCTTGAAGCAAGATCAGCAATTACGATTTTTATCTAGTTTTATTGGTAAAAAATACATGAAGAGTACATACAAATATTAATATTGTTATGATCCCTTTTTTATGGGTTTAAAAAAGAATAATTATATTACGGACTTTCTTTAATAAATTAAAACAAATCAAAACTTTACAAATAGGATATTGTCAAAACATACTCCTTTGATGCTACGTCACGACGCCCTACAAAAAGGATTAACTATGTTAAGCTACGTTTAGGTAAAAACATTTATATAAATTTCAACATTCTTCAGCAGTAATAATTTTCTTAAATAAATTATATCCAAGTAAAGGAAAAATAAAACTCTGAAAATAATTTATGTATAATCCATATATTTTTCTTCTATATAAAATTGAAAAATAATACACACCCATAATAATAACAATAAACAAATCTTCACACAAATGAGAGCGCAAAAAAAACTATAATTTAAAAACGTTCATCAATAATTTAAACTTATCGGTAAATTATTAATATAATAATTACAAAGTCTTGTGTAAACTCAAAGTATCCTTTAACAATTGATTGCGGAGGGCCCACAGAGCTGCCACGACGTTGTCGTGTTGATCGGCCTTGCGACCCAACCATGCCGTCACGTGCTTCAATTTTTCCATGTCCGGTTCGGGAGCCGGCGTGTTCTCCTGCGTGGCCTGGAGGGTCCTTTCCCAGGACGTTACGTGCTTGTTCTCCACCGCGAGGCCCTCAATGTACCTAAAAAATCATACGAGAATTAGATGACTTGCATTTCACTCGGCTCAAAGTATTAGGTAAAGAAGACAAAGACAGCCGCCTCGGGTTGCTTCAACCTTGAATAAGACTTCTGGGACATGAGCAAAAAACAAATGTAAACGACTGTAAGCGTTTGTCTCACTTTTAATAACATGTATCCTACACTCTAACTAAACTTATCCAGAAACTGCTTTGAAAAAGTTCGCTCAGAATTCAAATATTTTATTGCACTCTGCTTAAAAGATTGTGTAAAAAAGACAAATATATGCCTGAAATTGTCAGCCAATTAGAACGCATAACAGCTAGTTAACATTATCTGAGATAAAGTTTACTACCGTTTAAAATATTTTAATTTTTGCAAATAAATAATTAATTAAAAACCCAAATTTTACTTACTTAATATATGCTTCGGAATGTAACACACGTTGAGGACGGGGAGGAACGGATATAAACATCGGTTCTTGCGGTTTTTGGGCGTTAGGTGACAACACATTCGACGAAGATACTGAAGCAGATAAAAATATTCCTATAACTACATATGTCAAACCATTACAACAATAATCACCTGTAAACTCGAAAATTTAAACGAACTTAAATATCAAATATTCTGTTTGCGTTTATACAGTTCCAAAAGATACTCATAAAAAATTAAATGCCACTGTTTTAGATTTTGTCATAAAGTAACAAAAATCAACGAAATGAACTACAACAATATTGTGATACATGAATCAATTTAAATAGACCACAGATTAATTTAGGAAATTAGGTGAGATGAAAGGCGTATGTAACGTATGCAAAGTAGGAAAATATCTTAATATATTTCCGGTTTAATATACCGAACCTTTACGACAATAATTACTAATGTATCTAATTTATTTTGTTATTCATCATCGTCTTCTACTTCACTCGCTGCAGACATCTACCCTTTTCATTGTGCTAAAGCCAGTGGCGTAGCCACGAGGGGGGGGGGGAGTTTGGGGTCATTGCTACGTTGACCAAAGTCTAGTTTCTCTTAAAGAGTCCCGATGACAGCTTAAATGCTGAAAGAGCTCGATAATATTATTATTAAACAGAGATATTTTTCAACTGTGCACACTTCAAATATGCCTTTCATTTTACTTCAACCTTTCTGTACACTGATTATAATTATTTTAGGCAGAATTGAAAAAAAAAATATAGGTTATTAATTGCTAAATAGCAGACCAACCATAGTTTGATCTGGTTTTAAGCAGATGTCAAAATAACAACAAACTTCAGTGCTACGTTTTTGGAGAGGGTGCAAACAGAGAACTTTAATGATTGTTAATAATAATAGCTTTCGTTTGAGACCAAATGAATCAAAATAGAAACACCCTTCGCAAAATGCTGACTAAGAGATTAAATTTAGAAAGGAGTTAGACATTTAAAGATCTTTGTCAAAGAAAGGGATGTGATTTTTTCGAAATTAAGATTATTCCACAAGCTTCTTAAGGTTGGTGTAAGCTCGTTTGGTGTAAGGATGAGACAAATATGTTATTAAACAATGTAGTTATAAGCTCCTTTGACTTGTACTCTTGCACACACCAAACGAACTGTCATTGTTGTTTTTTTTTAACATTGGCGTTAAAATGATGATCACGTTATTGGCATCCACATGTTTCTGGCTTTTCTTTATCTAGTGTTAGAAACATCTACTCAGGCATTCGTTCTACTACAGGACGTGGATTGATATTTTATCTTCTTCTACTTCACCTCTTCTGTTAAACACTCATGTGTCCTCTTAGGCGACAGTATTCTTTAAGAAAACCTACAGTTTCCACGATTCCTGAGGCTCTTTTTGTATCCATTGTTGATAAATACCTTGCACAATGCCCTAGCAACGTCTAATAAGGGTTCGGAGTCTATCACGGCCTTATCTGAGCCTTCTCGGGCTAATACGTCTGGCTTTTCATTTCTCTCCAAGATAGTCACTTTGTTTAGTCTTTCACCAGTCGTAATTTAATTTTTGGCGAGATAATTACTTTTATCTATCAGAGTGATGACAATAGTTTTGCCTGATGCAGATTTATTATTTCTCTTGCATAGTGTTGTATGGAACACTTTTCCATATTTTCCTAATTGTTTTTGATTTGGGTCAAACGATTCCAACATCTGCTACCTCAGTGTATATCAGATTAGTCCAGCCTGAATGGGAGGTCCCAATTCCCAGGATTCTCTAGCTGGTATTTGAATTTGAAAGTGTCTTTCAATTTGCATGTGGTTATGGCTACATGAGTAGGCATTCCTGGAATGCGATTAAAGACTAACTTCTATTTTGACTTAATAGGTATCAAATGAAGGCAGAGAGCCTCCTCTTTAAAATAACAACTAGGGTCGACTTTGTTTGCATTCACCGCAAAAATTTAGTACCAAAGTTTGTTGTTATTTTGACATATGTGTAAAACCAGAACAAACCATGGTTGGTCTGGTATTTGAAAACTACTGAGTTTTGTCAAAATTTAATCAAGAACTTTATGGGTGCTTTTGGAACACGCTGTATTTTTTGTTCTTAAAAAATGCTGCTTTTCCTGAAGAATTTTTATTTTTAATTTCCTCCGGAAAAGCTTTTTTGCGCAGTTTTCCGAGTTTACAGGTAATTTCTAGTAAATTAACAAAACAATCTGAAAAATTGTTAATACACCACATTATTTTGTCATTTTAAAGACGCTTATCCGATTTAATATATCACAGGTTAATTACTTTTTTAATATAAAAAAAAAAACAAAAACTCGTGATTTAAATATTTATCAAGACCAAACCCCTTGCCAATCTTTTACAGACTTGTAGGGAAGAGAAAACAAAATCTAAATACCAGTTTCACGAAAGTCCAAAACAAAAAAATGCACAAAATTCACTGTATTAAAACATTTATGGAGTTAAACTTAAAAATTTTCCTTTTAAGACAGTGGAATTTGTTCAACTTATTGTTCAAAATTAGACCCAATTTTGAGAGTGGAAACATCTTATAGTTACGGTATAAACGCCTTTAAAAATTACTCAAAAAATGTTAAAATTATTAGTAAATCCCATAATTTTATGTGGCTAGAAGGAACTCAATCATTATAGTTTGAATCTTTTAACGGAATTCGATAATTTCATAAATTTACCTGTTACAGACGAAGAAATAATCCCAGAACTTGAGTTGAATGTATTACTAGCCGCTGTTTGCACAAAGAAAATAAATATTCGATTAATAAAAATGGAAATTTTAATAATATTTCGACTATTTTTACACAGTGCAAAACGCAAAACTAGAAACAAATATTACGCAATACAAAATCTAAAAAACGAACTAGAATAAAAAGTGTATAAGAGATTGTACATTGCTTATTAAAAAAAGAACTCGGTTAAATCAAACAAATTGTGGTAATATATTTTTTTTGCGAATTGAAAGAAAAACAAGTTCCGAAATTATAGGAACTCAAAAAAGAAAAAACTTTTCATGCGATTGTAATTAGGTGACCATTAAAAAACTTCCACCCCATGGCATTTTGTGTTATAATTTTGAGTCATATTTTTATTTAATAATAACTTAAAGAATGAAAAATAAGCACCTAGGTGTGTCCACCCGTGTGTGCTATAGCATAGAAATAAACTAACTATAAATTTACGTGTTGTGACGATAACAAAAAAAATCATTTTTTGTGGTGGGGGTGTATCAGTTAATTTATAAAATCTCATTAAATAAATCCAAGTTAACAGGAACATATTGTTTAACTTTAAGTCGAAGTATATGTAATTTGGTTATATTTTTTTTGTTTATTATGCGTGCTACCGGGACACATTTTGAGAGGCGATCCAGTATGTCAGTGCAATCCCAAGCGCCGAGGCGGACTTTGTCAGAAACTGCAACGGAACTGGGAAGGCCCCTACACCGTTCCTGAGAAAAATCAACGACCTACCGAATTCGGCTGTCAGCGGAAACCAAACCCAAGATATTCACATTGGAAAGTTAGCGCCAAACCGTGCTCCAGGTCCTAAAGAGGGGGTAGCAATGTTACCCATCACCCTACAGTGTGCTGCGGTCGTCATAAGTAAAGGTGCGAGTAAAAGAAGAAGGGAGAATATTCGAGAAATGTAATTTCACGTCAAGAAACCTCTGGACGTTCGGGAAGGTTCTAGAAGGTTAAATCGAGCTATATAAGTCGGTGATCCTGACGTTACACGTTAATGTTCAGTTGAATTATTGTAAAAGTCGAGTTGAAATAAATTGAGATACCAAAAACCAGAGTAACAATATAATATTTGAATAAAAGCATATACATACATAATTTAATGTACAATAATATTTATGTATAGTTTATACATTTTGTAGCAAGCAGTTAAGACGATCCCGCCCAGTCTGCCGCATCAATGTTTTTGTTTGACAAATATGTATGTATGTATTCACTTAAACTGTTTTTTAACTTGAATTGAATCCGGATTATCGACGCTCTACTGAATTAATTTTGTTTTTAATAATATATTTCCAGATTCATTTGATTATAAAATAACATAAATATGGACCATCGTTGAGGTTTGATGTTATGTTAAACCTTAAAACACTCACTCACTGATATTAAATGGTGGATGATTCTTTTTTGAATTTGCAAGTGCAATAAAAACTGACAATTGACCTTTCACAAAACAGTTTTGACTTCCAAAATCAGACAAAATCTCGACCGTTCGGACAGACTTGGACCGATCAGCTGATTATTAGGGTTTATTTTTTGCTAGTAGACGTATTCGACCAGTCTGACCGCCCACTTAACGCACCCTATAAAAACTGCTACTTTAAAATCGGCTGCCTCTGCGATGGGTTCAATGATGATCAGCCTATCAGCATTTTCTTTAGCCAATACAACCTTAATGGTTTTGATTTGCAACTATGCCATTAGTAGTTGCATGAACATGCAATATCAGAGGGGAGTAGCATGATATCTTCAGGTAGAGGAATTATGCTATTCACATTTTGTATAGTTTTCGATAAACCTCTATTTTGGAACGTGTCCAAATGCACATGAGGATTTTGTTCTACAAGTTGAATAGTAGAGCACTGTTTCAGACGTGGTATTTTTTCTTCCGGTCGTATTGAGGATTTACCATCATTATCCTTTTCATCACATGGAAAGTGCCCAATCCGTCTAATGTGCTGACATTAAAATATGTATTATCAAAACTGAATTGAATGAAGGCATTATCCTTTAACTATAGTTTGTCTGGCCGCATGATGGCTGACAACTCAAGCACAGTGGTTGTTCATTGTTTCACTATACAGTTTTGACATAAAACTTGTGGCATACATATATTTAGTAAAGAAGATACAAATGAGCGAGATTGATATTATTGAGTGTGCAAGAGCTGCACCCAGAATGTCTCATTTCATTGTGAGAATCAATGTGAAAAGAAACAAATTCAAGTCGAAATTATTGTATAAGTTAAAACTTGAATTGAAATTTTTATAAACTTTGAAAAGTTGTATCATGTTCATATAAACCAATTTCGTCTTAGATTGTAGCAAATTGTATGTAATTTTAAAATGTATAAAATTCTTTGTTGAAAAAGTGCTCCTTCATGGTCAAACCTAAAAAATGTGAAATTTTAGAGGTTTAATGTTTTTTTTTCTTTTTGGAGGGGATTCGAAAATTGGATTTGGCATCTCAGAACCCTTTTAATTACATGGTTACTGGGCTAAAAGTTGTAGTCAACAGTATTTTCTACTTTTTTTTAAGGTCTCTAGCTACGATAATAAATGCAAAACGTAGAGGGCGCTAAAGTTCCCAAACACTTCGACCGAAAAATACAAAACTGTAAATGTAATTAGACTATACCTACAAAATTAAGATTATTTTTTTACGACCAACCGTTTCGGAGATATATCCCGTGCAGTTTTGAATAAAGTATTTTTTGATGGGACACGAACCTATTAAGGTCATAAATAAAATTGAGTGAATATTTTTTCTGTAAAAACCCATTTTCTTTCCTATTTTTCGTGTAAAAAATAATTTTAAAATTCTTATGGGAGGTCAATAAAAAGATTATTTCTAGATTTAAGGACGACCTATAATATTTTTTAGTAGTGATGGGTCACTTGGAAAGTCCACAGCAGAGATAACAGATATAACCATTCGTTGATAAAATATAATATTCACAATGTTAAGATTATTTCGACAATCAATAAAATCTATTTGTAGGGACGCGGCGAGGAGACGAAAGGTGAGAAGTAAAAGAGGGGATAAAGAGATGAATTTTACGCAGATACAACTTTTTTTATCAATGAATAAATGTGTAAGACGCTGTGCGCTTATAGTAAACAACGTAAATATCCATGCCGGTGTAAGCCCTGTTGCCACTTCCAACCTAACATGAATAGGTTTTGTAATTTATTGAAAATTATTACATCTAATTTGGTGAAATTACATCTCATCTATAATTTAGTTAAATTTGTTATAACTAATGATTCAAATTTGTTGAATTATTTTAGCTTTTTAATTATATGTAAATAATTTTGTAAACAAAACGAGAATAATGAAATAGGCATATGAGAACAGCGAATGTTATACCCTCCTGTGTCCCTTAGAACATATCTTATTCAGGACTGCACGATATTTGTTAGTAGTTACATCTCCTGTTATATCTGGTCCACAGACAAGTCCGACGTACTAGTCTGAAAAGTTGACTACTTCAAACACTTCAAAAGTGGAAATTAAATTAACTAATTTGTCTGAATTTCTTACTAACAAAGGCAAAATATAGTTTAAAAAAGAAGAAACGGCAAATGATTACTGACTTTTATATATTTGAATGTTTTAGAATTTTCGTTTCATATCTTACAGTGTTTTCGATTCCACTGCCCTGCCCGTGGGGAGTGCACATAAAAGATGAGCGATATATCGATACCCGTTACTTTTTAGAGTGAAAAGTAACTGGTATTGACATATCTCCCACCTTTCGTATGCTCTCAGAACAATCCAGCACTGGAATCGAAAACGCTATTATTTAAATAAATATGTGAAAAATTACCAAAAAATGCCTAAAAAAAAGAAACGAAAACACAAATGCAATATTGTTCCCCAAAGTTGTTTTGAAAAAGTATCTAGGATGGAGATTTAACTGTGTCTTCTATGCCGAAGGTCAACTACTTTTCATTGTAATTTTTCACTACTTTTCCGGACATGTGCGTCGGATTAGTTAAAAAATTACTTTTCATGAAAATTCCAATCACTATTAAGAAATACAGCCCGTTAGAAAAAAAAAAGAATTCTATTTTACTAACCGGCAATAATTTTCCTACAAATCGTCCGTTTAACCGAGATCTCATTCCTATACATTTACGAGTGATGTTCAATAAGTTAGTGCAGAATAAGTTTTTTTTTTAAGTTTGAAAGATTGGGCTTGGCTCCACAGCACTGATGCTTCATTAAGCTTATTATCCATCCTTCATTATTCATATTTGTTAGCCCGTGAACGAGCCTAAAATATTTACCTCTTTGATTTTACACTGACTTACCGAGCAGCTTTCTAGTATTTGAAAATAATTAAGCAATCAATACAATCTAAAAGGGATACATGATGACAATCCGTAAAATAACTACTACATCCAAGGAAAGCTACATCTGGATAATAAATACTACATAAAATATTTAATATGCAACTCAAATCCATTCTAGCCATTTCCAATAAACCAATATCTAATCTACTATGGTTAACATCACACAAAAATGGTATCGATGCAGGGGAGGTCAAACTTTATACAGTGCAAGTAAAAAGTAAGGATTGAATTCCAAAAATCAATTTTTGTTATTAAATTACCCTGTATTTGACATAATATTCGGATATAAAGAGAGATGCCTGTAAATAGTAATACAAATTATGTACAGTAAGAAACATTACATGAACAGTGGTGGCATTCACTTTCATTTTTGAATTAATCATGTATTTATAAAGATGTAATCAAAATAAATGAAACATTTTTTTTTTAAGAAAAACCATTTTGGCTATTAAAATTCTGTAAAAAAAATGTAATTAAAATAATTGATTTTTTTTTAAATTCTTATACTACCTCCTTAGCATCGGTACCATAAGGTTAAAATGCCTAAAAATAAAATAAAAAAAAAACAAAACAAAACTCACGAGCATTGGGAGTAGCAGAGGAAGTCGGACGATTAACGGCTGCAGGCTTACTGGAAGGCTTGAAGTTCCTACCACAACATCAATATGATACTCATTTGCATTACACTACATTTACATTGAAAAATACCGCACAAAATGCAAAACAAAAATATACGGAGTGTCCCAGAATATGTGGGAAATCTCCCAGATTTAATTAGAGCACATAAAAATATTTAGACAAGATCTTATAAAAAAAATCCAACTGCTCCTCAAACGGCCCCTAGAAATCTTTTTTTTTTTTTTCATATGATCTTCAATTCTTAGTGCTAGGGAATACATAAGTTAGACATACATTATTAAATAAAAACTATATTAAACCGAAATGGATGGATTGTAAAAGAACTTTATTATCTTCAACTATTTAACCTAAAACTTCAAATAGTCGGGGGTGTCTGAAAAAATATTACAGAAATTTATCGTGTTTTTTTTACGTGTTCTATCTGAATCCGTGAGATTCACCACATATTCTGCGATATAAATGTATTTAAAATTGTAGTACTGTTTATATCAAAATTTGTGTGGTATTTTTAAAAATGTTAACTCACTTAAAATTCACGAATTTTGAAAATAATTGTACAATTGTATAGAAAATAATTTTATATTTTTAGGCGAGGATTCCTTTCTTATGTGATTTGCAACATTTATTTTGAAGAACCCTAAAGTGCGACCCACTTGAAAAGGGAGGACCTTAAGTGGGTCACATTGTATTAACTTTTCCAAATAGAATTGTGCATATAATCACCTCCTTCCCTGAAACATTGGATAATACTTCATATACCCCCTATAATTATGAATTTATTTTTATTGCCACTTTTGGTGACCTAAAACAAATCTAAGATGGCGCTATTTTACGTATATAACTTCTTTTTAAATATTTATCGCCATTAAAATAATTAGATACGTATTAAATGAGTTACAAGGTAAAACACTTAAGTCTCAAAACTATAATAATAATGATGATACGGTAAAAACAAGCACATGCCACTCATTTAATTTTTGTTTTGACTAACCAGCCAAAATTTCAGCAGCTGTGGAAACGGCCGGATGTAAAACTGGCATCACCCGATTTCCAATAAAGTTCCTAAATTTGTTAAAACAACAAACTTCAAATAAAATAAACGAACATTAAATTTAATGAAAAATTGAAAAAAATTAAGCATTCGATAACCCTTTCAGATTACCCACACTAAAGATTTTCTCCTCTTGAAAAAATTCTGTCCCAAGTCGGAACATTAGTTTTTTATTAAATTTGTTATCGCTTTGGAAGTTTTAGGTTTTCATTATTTCTAAATTTGAAAAAATTTATTTATTTGAAGGAATTTAAATAATTAAGGCAAAATTACTATTTTTTATGAATATATGATACTCACTTGCTGCGATTTTCGGGCGGCACGCTTCTACCGTTACCCTTGTTGATGTGCATATCGCGCACGTGTCTGATCAACCGAGTGATGTTGGGAAAAGGCTGAACGTTCTTCTTGGCCCTGGAGCAATTGCGCCAGAAGCAATTGAATTCCATGCCGGCGTTCTCCTGGTAGAAAGCCTGGACGTGTCCTTGAGATTCTTTGTCCTTGATGCAGTGATCGATCAGATCGGACACCTCCTCGAACTGGTAGTCGCAGTTGTCCCAAAGGCATTCGAAAACCTTCATAGAATTAACGAAACAAGTATGAGAAAAAGATGCGATTGGGGGTACATCACGTAGAAGAAAAAAAAACAGTAAAGAAGCTTTGTAAAAAAAGCGGTCTGTTTATAAGAACTGAAAATAAGCATGCTTATTGGGTTACATTTAATGGACATGTCGCGCGCGGCTGCTATGTTGTGTCCTGTTCTATCACACGGACTTCGCACGTTTTACTTTCTCTCTTGCACATATTTAAGGTAGTTCACTCGTAAAACGGCTTTTCTTAAGAATTCAATAAAATTTAAATATAAGGTTTATGAAAGTGTCGTTTACGTAACTAAAACAAATTAGATTTTTTGACCATTTGTGAAACGAGATATTAACAATCAAAATGTGCATAATTAATATTCTTGAAGCCTATCATGTACACAAGCAATGCATTTATTTCAAGATATCTCGAAAACGGTTCTTACCATATTTTTTAAAAACTAATGTTAAATAAATCAAGAAGTTATAAAATTTTATAGATAATCGCTGAATTTTTTGACTATCTTAGTAAAAAGATATACTATTTTTAAAATAAAAATATTTTTAAAACAGTTGACGAGTAGTTTCTTAAAATTATTACAACTTGGCAACATTGTAGCCACTTCACGTATCAAAGTAACACTCGATCAGCTAAGAGGTTGTTATAAACTTGCGACGTGTTCTTGAAAAATTAATTCGTCCACTGTATTTGAGAACTGGAATCAGCGGTTCTGTTTGAACCAAAACAAACCCTTAAAATTAGTATGAGGAAGTCACAAATTTCTATACCATATCGTTTAAAGATTTGCGAGTTTGCCAGATGAAATTGAATAAAATTATAACTTGTCCATATGTTTATATACATGTGTTTTGTCCAGCCTCTTACAAAAATAAAATTTATTAGCATTGAGAATCTCGAACTTTGGGTATTCACCATTACGCGATATTTTTATGTACGACTGTCGCGAGTGAACTACCTTAAATGCTCCGATTTTAAAACTTTAAAGCATGGCATTAGTATTCCATGAACAGTTTTTTGCAGACAAGCCTATAAGATTATTTTCGTAATTAAATTATCTCTCATCTGATATCAATTTTTATTGGTTGACACATTGGTGTAGTTATCTATATTGACTTACCTGTTCATACCTGCTTGCCAGGTAGCCATAAACAAAAATAAGTAAACAAGCCTACCGAGGCAATTCTCGATGTTAAAAACTACCTGTTAAAATTAAATGTGTTCGGTTATCAGAAAAGTGAAGGTTATTAAAAAAAATTGATAAAAATTGTATTTAATTAAAAATAACCGTGAACACTTTTCGAATGGCAAGTTCCCATAGGCGTGTTAATAAATGTCATAAAAAATATGCCTCATCTGGTTATCAGATGGGTGAAGGTCGATCTCCCACGGTCGCTTGGACTATAAGAACCGGCATTACTAAAATGGTCCATTGTGTCCACTTTAATTTAAAACCTAATGCCTCAAAAATAATTTTTATTATATTGTATTTTTATAAATTTAAGTTTGATCAGAACTAAAAGTTTTAAATTGCAAGAAAATATTTTGAAGATAGTAAAACTGTCATATATAACAGACAATATAATATGACGTTCTCTGTTCTTAATAAAGTTAAAAATGCTCTTATTTAGCATATTTGTCTTCTTGCTATTATATACAATATTATAAATATCTACTTTTTTATGGGTCCTATGATTGAACGTTTACGTTATCCGTAACGTACATGTTAGGCCGAGTTTTAACAGCAACGAGACAAGTTCGTATAATGGATAACTTTTCATAACACATTACTGTTATTTTCCATTTGTTATGATCTAATTTAACGTATCGTCTCAATAGCCTCGAATAACATGCCGTTAAGTACCCAACGCCTATATTATCACTTTATTTGTTTATTATTTAATTATCTAATACCTATATTGCTATAATCTGAATTCTTAGTGTATTTAAATATATTTTTAATTTATATGATTTGTAAATGCTAGCCAATGGTTTGAATTTTTTTTATCTAATATGTTTTCCCCTTGAGAATAATTTTGTTTTTTCCAACAAAATTAAGTAGCTCCTCATACTATTTCACAGTTGTTTTAGCTAATCTTTTCGCCATAATAAATTAAATAAAATGAAAAATGAACTGCAAAAAATTCTAACCTAATTGTTATTATTTCTACCACGTCTTTACATTCTGAAAAACACGAAAAACCTATTTTTAGAAGTGAAGTTAAATTAGGTACATCTTGTGCGCACGCGCAATAACGCAAATAAATACTTTCTTCCATTCGTAACAGCCAGCTCAACATCTTCTGTTATCGATCCTCTCAATCATACCGATACGACACCTACTGTTATTTCATATGTTATCTATTCCCTGTTAACATAAGAGATTCGTGTTAAAATTAACGTAAACGTTCAATCATAGGACCCTATATCTGTTATAACAAACTTAATATTAACAATGTTAAGCGGCTGTTGCATTTTAGGTATTCTACACTTTTGGAAATCTTGTAATTTTTATAAAAACAAGAATGGCGCAATTATTCCATTATAAAAAAATCCAAATATACTTGAGCATTGATTAAAAGTATAGGTATCAATGAAGCTTTCTAAAATATTTCTTTAAAATGCAATTTAAAACTAGAATGAAGATATATAGAGGAGGTTAGAGTAAGCCATCACTATTCAAGTTACCTGAGGTGTTCCTCAAGGATCACACCTTGGTCTCTTATTATTCAACTTATTTATAAATGACATCATTAATTGTTTTCAGTATGGCAAAGCACTATTGTTTGCAGATGATTTAAAAGTTTTCCTAATTATTAAAACCATTTGTGATGCCCTCTGGCTTCAGTCTGACCTTGATAATCTATAAAACTGGTGTTCCTTAAATGGCATGGACTTGAATGCTATAAAGTGCCATGTCATGCACTTTTATCGATCCCATGTACAAACTACTACTTTTGATTATAACTTAAAAGGTCATATCTTGGAGTCTGTTAATCAAATTAAAGACCTTGGAGTTATTCTAGATCCCACTTTAAGCTTCAATCAACCTAAGGCTATCCATAAATCCATGAAAATGTTAGGTTTTATCAAAGGCTAACACATGATTTTACTAACACAACTGCAATTAAAGTCCTTTATTGTTCACTAGTCCGACCTCACCTAGATTATTACTCTTCTGTCTGGTCTCCACATTACATAACACACAGCAGAAACATAGAAAATGTGCAACATAAATTTCTTAGATACATATCCTATAAATTGGGTGTCCTTTGCGAGTATGATTTGACAGAAAATTTTCTAAACATCCCCTCTTTGGAAACTAGGAGGAAACAGAGAGACCTGACATTACTTTTCAAAATTATCAATGGCAAATGCGCTCAACTCGACAGCAACAAACATTTTATGTACCTTTTTATCGTTTAAACCATACTTTTAGCAGCTATATTCCAAGAATGTTAAGAGTAGCCAACACTTCTAACGATCTTGAGATATTTAACACCCCCTTTCATAAATTTATAAAGCAATTACTTAGTACTGAGCTTTAATCTTTGATCTTTAATTTTTAATGTTTAATGTAAATATTTTATTCAACCTTATTGTCTTTTGTCTTTTTAAATTCTATTTTAGTCTATATGTAATGAATTATACCATGACTGTATTTCAGCACCATATAATTTCACTACATTTTAATTATAATTTATTTCTCAAATGGGCTTGCCCGTAAATACATAAATAAATATAATGCTTGGCATTCTATATTATACTCTTCATAGTTTAACAGACCCCCTTAACCCTCATTTTCTATCAGACTTTTTTCAGAATCAATAGGCTTCATCCTCTTATAGAGCTTAATTTTTTCTAAAGATTTCCACCCCCTTATCTCCCCATTTTTATTTATTTATTCATTTCATGTTGATATTGCTTTTGGTTTTTTATTTCTATTTTTTTATTACAATCCCCCTTGACCCCCATGTTACTCAGATTTTTTTTTAAATCAATAGGCTTTCTTCATCTTATATAGTGGGTTGCATAAAAGGAGATCACATTTTAATTCCAGGTTAAAACGGTATCCAGTCAATTCGTCGCGCGACAATTTATCGCGCGACCTTTCAGAGCCGACAATTCATCGCCACGACTTTTCATCGCTACGACAGTTTATCGCTAAGACAATTCATCGCCACAAAAATATCGTATTGTATCTATGATTTATACAGTATGTCTGAAAAACAAACAATTTTTTTTTGTGCTATATTGAATTTTTCTTATAAGTACCAAATAACATTATTTTTTCGAAAAAATTACAAAATATCTTACTCTAAATTACACAAAAATATGATTTACTTTTTTTCTGCTAAGAAAAATATAATATAATAAAGATCAATAATGTATTATTGATAAACCAATTTAAAGTGTATAAGCGGCAGTCGCAGGTTCTCAAAAGTCCTTTACCTACTATTTAAAAAGGATTAACTTCATTAGCCAATTCGGGTAAGTTACCACATTAGTTAATAATAATAGAGAATTATAATTATCCTTTATTAATCCTTTCAAGGAGAAATTCATAGTGCAATCAATATTTAATTCTAAAAAGGATTATCTTCAATAGCTTGTTTGTGTAAGTTAGTATTTTAGATGCCCTGTTTATAATATATGTATATAAGGTTTAAATAAGAAATACCAACGAACTGTAATCATTCTTATTTTGTCTTTGTACGAGTTTACATCATTGTAAAATTTGAAAATGCCGATAAATTTGTTGACAGCGAAAGAGGTCACAAAATGCTTTTATACAATGGCCATACACATTCTAGAGAAAAAATTTCTGGCGAAAAAGGCATTTGGAAATGTTCTCTATATCATAAATGGAGATGTACCGGTCGCATTCATACCATAGGCGATGAAATTGTGAAGAGTACCGAACATAATCATGTGTCAGATAGTGCTGATGCCGAAGTAAGAAGAGCTGTTAAAAAAATGAAAGTTTTAGCTGAACAAAGTGGTTCCACTACTCAACATATCATTGCAGAGGTTTCCGAGGGTTTATCATCATCGGCTGCAGCCAGATTACCACAAGTGAGTGCAATGAAAAGAACTATTCAACGAAAAAAGGAAAAGATAGAAGGAATTCCTGCGATTCTAAATTCTCTGCTTCAATTAGTTATTCCACAGGAATATACACTGACAAGCAGTGGTCAGTTATTTTTAATGTACGACAGCGGCCCATCAGAAGATCGAATATTAGTGTTTACAACAGCAAGAAATCTTGACTACATGTTGGAGTGTGAACACTGGTACGGAGATGGAACTTTTTCAACAGCCCCTAATATGTTTTCCCAAATATATACAATCCATGGCGTCAAATATTCAAATACCATTCCAACAGTATATGCAATTCTGCCGAATAAAAGAGAAGAAAGCTATAGACGTTTATATGCAGCATTAAAAAATTTGAAACCTGAACTTTGCCCTACATCTTTTTTAATGGATTTCGAAAAAGCAGCGATGAATGCGGTACGAAGTGAATTCCCTAATACTCAAATTCGTGGATGCTTTTTTCATTTTTCTCAGTGTATATGGAGACAAATCCAGAATACCGGATTTCAGAGGCGATATGTGGATGAAGAAGTGTTTTCATCAAATTTGCGACTTCTGGCTGCACTTGCTTATGTTCCTGAATACGATGTAGAGTGCTTTTGATTTATTATTGGAAAGTGAATTCTATGCAGAAAACGAGGACTTAGCAGATTTAATAAACTATTTTGAAGACACGTGGATTGGTAGATTAGACAGAAGAGGAAGAAGACGGTTACCAAAATTTCCTATATCTTCTTGGAATTGTTACAATGCAGCCAGAGAGGGAATTGCTAGAACCAATAATGCAGTTGAAGGATGGCATAACAGTTTCAGTTCAATTGTTTCCATTGCACATCTCAACATTTGGAGGCTAATTAAGGCTTTACAAAAGGAGGAAAGCCTTAACAAATTGAAAATAGAGCAAATTGTGGCAGGTAATAAAACTACTTACAGAATCCTACGACGCTCGTAATACCATGGAATATATTCGAGGAATTGCGCATAATTTTCGAATGCAAGTCTAAATTATTTAATATTATTATATTATATTAATTCAATTTAAAATGTAATAACTAGCAACTACAATTTTTTATAATATATTTTTTTTTTCAATATACCTACTTGTTTTTTATTACCTATACTAAAAAATATATAAAATAAAATTTTGATTATAATAAAAAAAATAAAATAAACCATAAAATGAATTCTAAAAAATGGCTGGCGACAAATTGTCGTGGCGGTGAATCGTCTTACGATGAAATGTCGGCTCTGAATTTTCGCGAGATGAATTGTCGGGCGATGAATTGACGTAGATCCGGTTAAAACACTTTATCCATGGATATTTATTATTTCTAGATTATATAGATTAGATAATCATATAATTTTTGTGAACAAACCTCATTTTAATTCTTTGATCCATCAAAATAGTTGTTATTAACATGACATTATCTTAATAACAAAAACAAAATCTAGAAATAATAAATATCCATATGTATTATCCAGGATTAAAATTTAATATTTTTTTATGCAACCCAGTAAGAACATGATTTTTGCTAAAAATTTTCAAGTTGATCATTTTTCATTTTTGACTTATAGTGCGGACAAAAAAACGTGACATCAGAAGGACAAAGTAAACATATAATACTATTCACAGACTTACTGTGTGAAGAGTATAATAAACAAAATATCCGAATATGCATCTTAAAAGTAAACTCAACTAATAAAATATGTTGTTGTGTTTGTTAAACCAGCATGTTTTACTTTCCATTGGCTATCATTCCCAAATAAGAATACATATGATTCATCCCTGAACTACATACAGGGTGAAATCAATCTATATAAGCTTCTTTACTGTTCTTTATTATATTGGATTGAGAAATCAATAATTAAATAATAATTGTCAAAAATTAAAGGAAATTTAAAAAACTTACTTGATCTACGGGCGGCGGCGGTGGCACTTGAGGCGGAGCAGGGCTGCCGCAGGCTTCCTGTTCTAACAACAACAGCGCCTTTGTTTCTTCATTTAATTTCGAAGCCTTTTCTTCCCAGTGTTGTTTCTCGCCTTGCGGTAGCGATTTCCATTCGCTACCGACTATACGACTGATGTCGCCGAACGTTGATTCGGGATTGTTTTGAACGACTTGCTTACGCACTTCTCTCGAGTACAGGATGTAACCTGTCACCACTTTGTTCTTGTTGGATTTCTTTTTTTTTGGGGGAAAACGTTATAAGTATATTGATATGAAATGAGAATATAAATATACTAAGTTGGAACCATATGGAAAACTTTTTTATTATTGATTTTGTAAAAAAGTTTATTCTTAATAAAAAGTTATGTATGGTCCAAAATTTAAAATGCAACCATCAGATATCAATTTTTTTAAAGCCGTATACGAGGTTTGTCAAAAAATATGATTTTTGCTGAAGAGTAAAGTATCTTTATTTTTGACAAACCTCGTATACGAATGATAAAATTTGATATTCAATGGTTGTATTTTAGGCTTTAGACCATGCCCGACTTTTTATGAAGAATAACTTTTTTTCCTAATATTAATAATAAAAAAGTTTTTCATATGTCGCCAACTTACGTAGACTGTTGGTGGCGTATGAAAAACCATCGGATATCAAATTTTATCAGTCGTATACGAGATTTGTCAATAATAAAGGTACTTTACTCTTCATCAAAAATAATTTTTTGACAAACCTCGTATACGGCTTAAAAAAATTGATATCTGATGGTTGCACTTTTTTATCAAGGATAATTTTTTCACAAAACCAATAATAAAAATGGTTTCCATATGGTTCCAACTTTGTTAGACACTTTGTATAAAGAAAGTGGATAAAATTTCAAAACGATTTAAAATACCTACATTTTGATTTCATTTTAATTAATTTTTAATTACACTCATGGATCTTCATTATGTAAGCATTCATACAGTTTTAAATAATATTATTATATAATTCACATTACAGGGTGGTCACTTTTTAAACGAAATGTAAACTGTGACGCAAGTTTGAAATATCAGGATGGGTTTATCAGAGTTTATAAAATTCGAGACGATACATATAAAATAAAAATTGGCCACAATCTATAGGGTGATTATAAAATGCACCTTACTATAATTACAGAATAAATTAACAACACAGAAAGGGCTAAAGCCAAAACCCTAGCCACACCTTAGTGAGGGTTGAGCATAGTAAAAGTAAAATATAAATATTTAGTAAGAGAATATTAATTAGCGACCGATATTACCAACGAAATTTTATTTATTTTAAAGAAAATAAATTTATAAAAGAAAAATATAATTTTCGTAGTGTAGTTTCAATGAATATATTTTAATTATTTAAACATACTGGCTAACCGACCGCGGTGCTTGCATTTGTTGAAAAGAAAACCGTCTTCCGGCGGCATATGGTCTTCTTCGTACAGGAAAGCCGCCGCAAATCTAAACTGATTTGTTGAACAGGGCGGCATGCTATCAGTGAATTGAAAAATGCCGCCGGACGACGGTCTACTGTATTTAAAACATTGAATGCCGGTGGTAAGAAAAAATACTTGCAAAATCGTCTACATTTTTATGGCAAATGATCATATGTCGTACGCGTTTTATTTGTATATCGATCTCCTTTTGACAGAGTAGATGAGCTGTGTCCAGGCCGTTGGTGTTTATGCCAGTCGGCGTAGCCAGGTATGGATTGAAAAAAGTTGTTATTTCGTCTTCTTGTTGTCACAGCATTATTATTATTTGTTCATGTATGTGAAATTTGCTTATAAGGTTTATAAAATACTACTGCTAGTCACGGCGTAAATGAAAACAAAAATGACGCATTCACACAAACGCCTCCCACCACAGCAATTTTAGTGTTGTCCCCGATACGCGAGTTTTTTCCGGCGGCATTTAATGTTTCAAATGCAGTAGACCGTCGTCCGGCGGCCTTATCAATACTTTGATAGCCTGCCGCCCTCATCAACAAATCAGTTTAGATTTTCGGCGGCTTTCTTATATGTGTGAAGACCATGCCGCCGGAAGACGGTTTTCGTTTTATTAAATTCAACAACCGCCGGCGGTCGGATAGCCAGTACGTTATTTAAAAGTATTTAATTAAAGCCGAGTTTGTCCAATTTAAATAAAATTTAAATTACAATCATTTAAAAACAACCGTTCAACCTATAAAAGATTTTAATACAATCTAAATTTAATTGAGATTGGGGTTCAATTAAATTTGGATTACAAGAAGTTTAGAATGTTTTATGCTTGTGTGGCGTAATTTTCTCAATTCTCAATGGTGGCACTGAATGTCAGAGATTTCTATCCCTTCTACTTCACAGTGCCGACCGTTACTTTCCTGTGTTGTTCACCTCTTCTATCATACCATGTTACTAAAGTCCGTTTCATTAAAGAAAAGCACAGAGGAATCATATGATGACATGCTCGCAAACCAAAATTGACTTGTTTAAATACGTTTCTTATAATGGTGTATAGTAAGTTCTTTAGATTCTATTCAATGGAAAAATATTTGTTTTTAAAAATTAACTATGGACTTAAAATTCTGACACACCGCTGATTTAAATTCCCACCATCAAATTTACGATATGGTGCTGACTGTGAAGACACTTTCGTGCATTTTGCTATGACACAGCTGTATTTTTCACTATTGAAACTGAATATAATAAAATTATGAAAAATATATATTATGTACTTTTAGAACCACCCTATTTACAAAGCGATGTAAAACTTTTATTAACCAAAGCAAAAAAATACTAAATAATAAACCTATACAAAAAATATATCCTAAAATATAATTTGTTCAAACAGAAAGTTCAATGGTGTTCAGAATGTGATTCAGAACTACTTAAAATGCATGTGAAAACTTAATGGTTCTAGATTCGACTAAAATATTAAATATTCTTATCAGTTACTGCTTACGCACTTGAATTAAAGAAATTTCTTAGCAGTCATAATCATCTATAATTTTTCCTGTGAATCAGCACTACAAGTTACACCATGTAACATTCAAACTAAATTAGACGAAAATAAAGGTAGCAGTATTTTTAGACTTAAAAAGAGCTTTTGGGACAGTATACAGGCAAATAAAGTTATCCAAATTGAAACAATATGGTATTGTTGGTAGAGTATTGGATTGGATTAGTAACTATTTAAATAACTGCAGAGTCCGTTTTGTGGACATAAATAATGATATGGGAATTCCTCAAAGTAGCATATTGGGTCCTCTACTTATTATTTTATACACTAAAGATAATGAACTTTTTGTTTAGTGTGATTTAATTTTTTTTTTGCCGATGATACTTTCAATAGTCTTGATGCGAATTTGGATAAAGCCATAGGATGGTCTCAAATCAATACCTTGTAAGTCCGAAATTTCGAATTTTCACTTTTTCCCATCTGTACAAATTAATTTTGAACAAAATTTTAAAAGTAAAAAAAAAATAACCACGTTCACAAGTTATTCATATATTTATTTACTTGTCAACATTATTTATCAAATAATTAATTGGTTTTATTAAACAATCAAGACAGTTTAATGTTCATCATCTAAAATGTTTAATTTGGAGATATAGGAGGTATTGATTTGAGAGCGTCACATAGAGAAAATGAATATCTCATTATTATCTATGAATAAATACTTAAATATAAATATAAATCAACTAAAATTAAAGTTAAGAAAAACAATGATTTTCATATGGAACTGAAAACATAATTTTATCAATGTCAAAAAACATTTTCTATTTTTTAATTGTGCATGTTTGGTTAAGTTTGTAACATCTGTTGAAACGAACATTATATTTTAATTAATTTACGTACCTTTTTAGAGGTGGGAGCCGGTGTAGAAACGGGCGTGGTCACAGGGGTATTTGGAACGACAACAGGTATTTCCCCTGAACCAACGGACGGCGGACCACCATCCAGTGAATCTTCCATGATAACGTCCATATCGCTCATTTTCGATAACTGAGGCGATTCGATTTTAATGTGTTGCATCGGATCGATTTTTATCTGTACGGGTTCGATTTTTATATGCGATGGTTCGATTTTTATCAATTGAGTAGGCTCAATTTTAATTTCCTAAAAAGGGTTAAGTGAACTACCTAGTTTTTTTTTTAATCGTTTAAAACGGTTCCTAAAGTATAGTTTGGTGAGGATAATAATTATGAAAGTGAATTTGTATCAGGGTGTTCAACAATAACTGTGTCCAACGTGATTTGATCACTCATATATTGGTTAATATTGGACCATACCCTAACTGTAAGATAAATATGTCAATTTAGGCATACATCACATGTAATGATTGGTAGAGGGATTTTGGGAAGGGAAAAATGTCCGGGTATTTCCCCAAACCAAGAAAAAATCTGGAATCTTGCTAGAAATAACAAAATTCTTAGAATTACATATTAGGTACAGTTAATAATAAATCTGACACTTGTTAAGAACTGTTACCCTTTGTTTACACTTTTTGACGTGTCAGGAATTATAGTCTGGCATCTCTGCTCAGTTAGTATTATGAAATTGTAGATGTTAGTTGTGCTAATTGGATATTTTAATAAAATAAGCTGAAATTGACAACAATATATTATGAAATCTTGGGAAATTGTCCTGGGAATTTTCCAAACACTTTGTTCCTAGAAATTTATCCAAAATAGGGAATTAGATGTTTAAAATACTAAGTATTATAACTGGCTGAAATTACCTTATATACTGTCAAAACCTGCCTACCCACTAACAAAATACATGTCAGATTGATATGGAGACTGTTCATTTAACAACAATACGTTATTCTTGCACTTGGTATTGTAATGAAGTCAATTTTCATTATTATTTTTTTAACTAATTCTGGGTATTAATTGCGATTTTTACTTAATTTTAACTTCGTGGATATGCCCTGTATATAATCAGTTTTGTCGCTGTTCAAACCATCGTCGAGGTACTCTGCCTGCGCGAGTTTTAATGGTGGGATTTTCTGGTAGTGGAAGGGCTCGCGACAACTGAACGAGCTCCGAGATTGAATTAAAATTTTTAGTTCCTAATATACCGATTTATCGAACAGACTTGCTTTTACACCGTGAAATCGAATAATTAATACGATACGATTCCGATACACTCTAAACCGAAATTAATTCCTAGCCGCGATTTTGCAGATAGGTAAATCGTTGTCATTGTTTTGATAATTTTTTTTCTCGCCCGAGACTTTAAGCCCTGCTATTTGAAACCGATTTAATTTGATTTATTTTTAATTAACAATATTCCGTGTTGAGTTAAGAATTGAAATTTATTTTGATTAAGAAATACTTTAATTTATTTTTGTTAGAATACACCGTTCTTTATAAATTTCATTTTAGTTTATTTAAAGTTTTAACCGTTAAATAGTTAATTTTTATTCGATCGTGAATATGGTCTTATAGTTAATTTTTCCTACTACTGGAAATTTCCGTGAATTAATAATAAATTTCATTTTAGTTTATTTAAAGTTTTAACCATTAAATAATTTATTTTTCATTCGATCGTAAATATAGTCGTATAGTTAATTTTTCCTACTACTGGAAATTTCCGTGAACAAATAATATAGTTTATTAAAAACTTTATCCAATAAATAATTGGTAGGAACTGTTTGGGAATTGTCTAATGTTTTGATTGGTTATATTGGTAGAATTGCGACGAGACATTTTCGTTTGTTTTATCCTCCGAACCGCAAATTTTAAGAGAATTTAAATAGCATCCTTCCCTGTCTGAAGCGGCTCGTGATTACGATCACTTCATCCAGAGATAATGTATTATCCCAGTTATTTTATTTTAAATCTAAAACATTCATTTGCGTAAGTCTCCGTTATTTCAACAGAACTAAAATAGTATCATTTCCCTGTCTGAAGCGGCTCGTGATTACAATCACTTCATTCAGAGATAATGTGCTATGCCAGTTATTAGATTATTTTACGTCTGAAACCCTCATTTGCGTTAGTCTCCGTTATTGTTAAGTGAAATCAAATAGTATCATTCCCCTGTCTGAAGCGGCTCGTGATTACGATCACTTCATTCAGAGGTAACGTGCTATCCCGGTTATTAATTTATGTTACGTAAGACTCCGTTATTTTAATTGAACTTAAATAGTATCATTCCCCAGTCTGAAGCGGCTAGTGATTACGATCGCTTCATTCAGAGATATTGTACTATCCCGGTTGTTAGTTGGTTTTACTTTCCAACCACTAGTTTGAGTAAACCTCTTATAGAGTCCCGGTTTCAGCCCTGGAATTAGTATTGTCCCGAACCTGTCTCCTCGCATTCTCTACAACGGCATATGATATTTTGCTTTGCCGAAGCATTCAATTACATTTGATTGTAAATACCGATTCGACAATTTAACAGTTAATTTTTGCTACGACCGAATTAATATTTCCGAACGAAATAGCAAGTTACATTTTTAGCTCAACAACCGAATAGACAGTTCAATAATAAACTTTTGCTGCGACCGTGATAACTACAATTGTTGATTTCATTTTTTTTTTCTTTACGTCTGATTGAGACTACTCGGAAGTCATTTCCGGCCGTTTTGTTTGTTTATTTTTGTTCAGGGTTTGTATATATTACCGTGAGGGTGGGCATTGAAATACATTAATTTATTCATTTTTTTTTGTAAATAGTTTAAAACAATATATGTGTCAATGTAAACTGGCCGTATTACTGGTTGTTAATTCCTTATTTTATTTCCCCATTGTTTTTCAGCTAGTGATAAATTCTGTACCAGCCCAAGCAACGATTAAAGCCCGTTACTTGTGGTCTACTATTACCTGTGTCTAAGTGACCTTTGACCCCTGGAATTTTTCATCTCCATCTGTAGCTACCCGAGTACTTTCGACGCCGTTTCGAAAGTTTGTGGAGTAAACCATCACCAAAAATCTGGCGCTCGAGAACCGCCCGTAACCAGCGCCATTCGTAAGGAACCGTTTTCTGTGGCGAGAAAACCCCTTACAGTATAATAATTATTCAAATGAGTCTGATAAAGGTTTTCTTACGTGAAATAATGGGGGTGGAAATATGGAGGTAAACTATAAATAAAATTACTTGGACCACATTTAAAGATAACTAGGTACCCTAAGAAAACGAGCCAAAGAAGGCAGCAGAGCACCTGGTGAATTTGGAAACCAATCACATATTTTTAGGCTAACTTCGAACGAAGCCAGAAGAGCACCTCGAAGTTTATTTCTAAAAACAACTTATGGCTGATCACTGACAAATAGCTGTGATCGACCACGGTGGCTGATATTGTGTAGGAGCCATAATAGGGTAAAAATATGGCATAGGTTTCAACTCAAAAACTCCAAAATACAAGAAACAGAAACTTCTAAATACTTGGGTATAATTATAGACCAACATTTAAAATGTGACTCTCATATATCATATACCTATACCAAAAAAGCTTAGATTTATAATCTATAAATTTTATCCTTTAAAACAATTTTTTAAGCAAAATCTCTTGATAAGCCTATATTTTAGCTTGGTAGAATCTATTCTATGTTATAGTATACTAGTATGAGGAGGCCTATATGAGACCATTAAATGTCATACAAAATAAAATACTGAAAATTATTTTCGACAAAGCGATTATATCCTACTACTCTACTATATAATAAAACAATATCTAATGTTAAAAGTGTATACATGAACACAATATGGTGTTACATACAAAAACATGAGGAACTAAAAAAACCTCTGGGTCATCAACAAAAAAACAGAACCTTTAGTGACTTGAATATTAAAATAGTGCCTAATAGTGAATCTTTCAAGAATTGTATAAATTACTTAGGACCAAAGTGTTACAATGCTTTACCTCTTGAGATCAAATTAATTAACAAACAATATTCATTTAAGAAAGCGTGCAAATCCTTCATCTTCCAAAACTACTCAAAATTGTAGATAACCCACATTTCACTGTAATATGTTGAAACCCTGTAGATTAAAAGATTATTACATATTATATATAACATTACTTACATTATTACATTTAACATTTATTAACTTTATGTTTTAGTCTTCAGTTCAGTCTTAGTCTGTCAAGCACATACAGGTGCCCACACCTAGGTGCTAGATTAATTTATAATTTGTTGTAATTAATCCTGTTATTATTGTAATAATAAAGTATTGATTAAAAAAAAAAGAATAAAATTCCCTTGGTGCTTCACTACTTTCTTTGGCATTAATAAAACTATTTAAAAAACTCAAGATCACAGCAATTTGGTTTTGGTTTCAGCTGACGATATACTAATTGGTTTGATTAAATCTTTCTTTCAGTTACTTTTTACTGGATATAGCTGAATTCTGATTTATAATAAATACTTATCGTCTAAATCGAATTTGCAATTATTTTATAAAATAGTTAATTTAGAAGTTTATACAAGTAAAATCTGATCATTATGTACTATTGGTACTTACTCATGAATAAAATTTATGATCTTAAGAATGAAGATTTTAATGCAAAACTACTTCTTATTTTTTAGAGCAGAACCATAGTTCTGTTGTTATAACAAAAACAATCACTCACCTGGTAGAAACTTGTTAGTTTTACTCAAATAGAATAGAGTTGGCAGGTTTTGGAAGTACATCAACAATAAATTAAATTAGTATTAATAAAATTTCTATTATAAAACCTCATTTTTAATGTGAACTATACTTTAGGATCTTACTTATTCAATATTTAAATTCCTATAAGCAAAGCAATAATTAATTTAAAAAATATTGTTTATTTATAAAAAAGAAACCAATTTTTCTAATATTCAAGTTATCAAAATTAATTTTGTAGTATTATGTTGGTTAAAAACATGCAATCTTGAATTGGAAAACAGTTATAAAAATAATCAATAACTAGAAAGAAATGAAAAACCCAAAATAAATAATTAGAATACTATAAACACATAGGCTATATATAAAAATAACTTCTTGCTATGAAAAAAAAGTATTTTTGTGACTCATTTTTCTCAAATGACTGATAAAATAATAAAAATGATACCTTTCTTTAACCATACAGAAATGTACAAAATCAAAACTTTACATTTCAATTCCTTCTATTTAGATTACGAATTTAAATCGTTCAGATTTAGTGAAAATGGTAAATTTAATTGAATTAAATTATATCACGGCCAACAAATTTTCAATCAGACAACGCCTTGTTGTCCTCACTTTGAATTTTTCATCAATTTTTAACTTACAGAAAATCGGCGTATAATTCACAATATAATTTTTCGAAAATTAACACACTCACGCTGCGAATCGTACCTCAAAACACACGAAATCCACTACTTTTAATAATAGAAAGTTATTTTTACATTTTATAATAATTATAAACTCTGCTTATAGGTCATTAAAAAGGCCGTTTTAAAATTTACATTTGTTGGAAAGGGAGAACTATCCATTGCGGTTTCCATGATTCCTGGTTTTAGTAACGATTTAACTCATCCACATTATACAATAAAAACAAATATTTGCAATAAAAACAACAAATTCGTCTAGGAAACGATCAAAAAGCTCTTTTTGTCACCATTACACCATTTTCGTCAGCAGCTTGTGTTTTTGACAATTTTTGACAGAAGTTGAGGTTAGTGTCGCAGCACGACCCGCGAAATTTGAAAATCGACTCAATCGTTTATGGGTTTTCAAACGTAAAATACGCTCTTTTGGAGTTATTTCAATAGTTATTTTTTATACTATAAAGTGCCATTAGCAGTACTACTAAATTATGTAATGTTTTCAATAAAATTAATTTGCTAAAAACGTATTTTTACGGATTATATTACAAATTAGCCATTTAATATTTGAAATCAATACCTACATATAATAATTTTGGAAAATTTTAATAAAAAATAACTGTTTTGAAGGTGAAATCTGCAATGAAATAGTAGATTGGGGGGGTTGGGATTGTTGGGAAGCTTTGGATTCTATCTCAAGTCAGTAGCGCGCCAGAAAATACATTACATTTTATACAGGGTTTCTCAAAACTGCTGGGACAGAGAAACCACGTAATGTAGAAGTCAAAATAAGTCGATTGGACCCAATTTATATACAGGGTGTCCGGAAATTGCGTATAGGTATACCAAATTGATTCGTTCGGCCGCTAGAGGTCAACAAAGTTAAATAAAAAGATGTTTTTTTTCTGTAATCTCCAGAATTCAGCCATTACAAAACTTTTTACGAATACTAGACATTTTATGGCAAATTAAAAGCAATTAGAACAATTTTTCTATTACGATCATAAGCATCTCGTTAGGGAGAGGGCAACGGACATTTTCCAAATTTTTTTTATTGTCACTTTTTCAGATTTCTGGCAATAAAATAGATAAACTATGGAGTTTTTACTCAAAAAAGTTACTCTAAATTTTTGTCCTATACATAGTTTCCTTAAAATGGATATTCGAGATATTTGAGGAAAAGTGCAAATTTCGAATTTTGAAGATACTCAAAAACGGATAAATAGATAAAACCAAATTTTAAGCTTAAGCTTTAATCCATCCTGAGCTGATTAAATTTTGGGCATAGTCTAAACATCTGGAGGTACTTTATAACGTGTGGTTTTTTTACTTTAAAAAATACTTATCTTGGAGCAGAAATTCTTCTAATAAAAGTTGTTTGCGTTATCATTCTCTATAATTTTTGTTCCATACATGATTTCTCTAAAATGGACCGTAATTAAAAAAAAAATGAGGAAAAATATAAAATTTTAATTTTTCAGTATTTTCGTTGCAATGAATACAGGGTGTCCGAAATTAGACAGTCATATTTTAACAGCGTAATCTACATCCTAAAATAGGAGTAAAAGTTCACATAAACATAGGTCCGAAAACGTTTCTTTTCCGAGATACAGGGTGTTAAAAGTGAAGTCCTGATGACACTCTTTTGTAAATATTTTCTAAACATTTAAAGATAACTAAGTGAAATTTAGTACAAATGCTTACCTTTTTACGCTCTATTTAATGGACTAAACCCCAGTTTTTGATCATCTTCATAGGTGGTTAAATTAAGGGGGGGCTTAGGGTAAAATTGCCCAAGTTTTTTTTGTTGACAGGTTTTAACATTTTTGACTATAAAATTTGGAAAACCAATGTTTTCTTTATAAATTGTTACATTTGAAAATTTCATGATAAGTTGATGTTATCTTATTCGAAAGTGCAAACAATAATTAGTAGGCTTGTTAAATCAGAAATTTTATTTTTTTTTTTACTTTGGAAAACCGGTGACTAAAGAAATTTTAGAACATATTTACAAAAATGTGCCATCAGGACTTCACTTGTAACACCCTGTATCTCGAAAACGAAACGTTTTCGGACCTATGTTTATATGAACTTTCATTCCTATTTTAGGATGTAGATTACGCTACCGTCTAATTTCGGGACACCCTGTATACATAAAAAAATGTTTCGAGTAAGATGTGATACAAAAGGCTGTACAAAATAACCGGAAAAAAACCTGTAATAACTAGATAGGAATGTCTTGTGTTGGACACAATTTTTTTTTTTTTGAAAATGTTATATTTTGGCGACATATCGAACACGAATAACTTTTTTGAGTAAAAACTCCATAATTTTCTATTTTAACGCCAGAAATGTCAAAAAGTGATATAAGTTTGGTTAAATCAACTTATTTTGAACCCATAAATCTGTGGTAGCTCCATATACACGCAATTACCTTTTCACATTGTATCGACTTATTTTGACCTCTATGTCTCGCCAATTTTAGTTCACCCTGTGTATTTAAGACTACTTCTCCCTTTATCGCGTCATTGTCGTTAATTTTATCATAAAATATCATTATTTATTAAAAAATTTACTCACTGTCGAGGCTTTAGTTTTTTGGGAATTTCGATTAAAGTTCTTTTTTTTAACTGCTGTCACCTGTAACAGCGAAAAAACACGCTATTCACGAAAAAAAAATATTTAAAAAGCATGCAAAATACCTCACCCAAAAAAAGATAGTCATGATTCTTTTCGATTTAAAATAGGCAAACTAAATATGAAAATATTTTAAAAATAAAAAAATCAATTATTATCAAAATTGTCACTCACAGACTAAACTGATATAGGGTATTACAAAAAAATGCCAATTATGATGGTAAGATACGTGTGCTGAGTTCAGTAGCGTTATAGGGGGGCGCAAAAGTCTGGAGGCGGCAAATTTATGTTTAACTTATTCCACAATACCTAATTCAAGATTTTTGCTTTCCAGTCTGTACACAGATAAGAAAAGTATAGGGATTTTTTCGACCTCGAGTATTTTTACGTTTTGGGGTCATCTGAATTCGTTGTGACTATTTTCGCGATGATGTCGCGCGCGCGTTGTGTGTAATTAAACTTAAGCATTATTGAAATTTTTAAGAAAATTGTTCAAATAAAAGTTGTTCGTCACATCATTCTCTATAATTCTTATCCTATACATAATTTCTCAAAAATGGGCCCTATTTGAGAGAGAAAGTGTAAATTTTAAATAAAACTCAAATAAAAATAAATAAAAAACCACCAAATTTTAAAGTTAGGCTTCAATCCATCCTGCGGTAAAATGATAAAATTTTTGGGTATAGTCGGAAATTTGGGGGTACTTTATAGAAGCTCGTTTTTCTACTTTATGAAATATATCTGTTATTTACTCTTGGAGAAAAAAGTTCTTTAAATAAAAGTGCAAAATTATCATTTTTAAGAAAATTGTTAATCTAAAAGTTGTTTGCGATATCGATCTCTATAATTTTTGTTTCATACACGATTTCTCTAAAATGGAAAAATTTGAGGAAAAGTAAAATTTTAATTTTTCAGTATTTTGGTTGGCAATGAATATATACAGGGTATCGCATTAAGAATGGGACACAGAACATTCTCTGATAAAAAGTAAGACGATTAAACAAAACATGCGTAGATAAAATATTGCGTGTTTCCAAAATACAGGGTGTTAAAGTTGAAAAATCAAAAATTATTAATGGCTATAATTTTTTTATTTCTAAGTATAATTGAACTAAATTCGACAAACATTTTTGGTGTCATAAGATAAACCTATTAGCATAAAAATCAGTTAAATAAACTTTGCCAGTGGCGTACAGCTTGGATAAGTAACACCTTCATCCCCTTTAAATTTTACGCCTCTGTCCAAAAACTTATTTTGACTATAATTTTAAATATTCTGATGATTTTCAAATAAATCATGTACTCTTGTTGGGAATTCATAAAGTGATTGATTTTCGAGATATTCACATGTTAATGTGAAAATTCTCTATTTTAATTTATTTTTTAATTTTGTATTTTTCTATAAATTTCGGTTGTGCAGCAATATCTTTAATATTTATATAGCTTCTACAATAAATTTATTACATTCACATCAACAATAATTGATTTATAATTGGGATTCATAATTTGCGACATAATTTATTTAAAAAATATCAAAAAATTTAAAATATTAGTAAAAATAACGTTTGGAGGATGGCGTAAAATTTAAAAGGGATGAAGGTGTATTTACCCATGCCGTACGCAACTGGCAAAGTTTATTTAAACGTTTTGTTGATAGGTGTATCTTAAGAAAAGAATTTAATATACCTTCCCTTCACACCAGAAGGAATATAATGTTGACTATTTTATATAAAATTATTAACTATAAAATTAACTCACCTGAGCTACTATACTTAATACGATTTAATGTACCTCCGAGAAGAATGAGACATCCATGTATGTTTAATATTCCTTTAGTTCTTACCACTATCAGGTCACCTCTTGTGACCATGCTCCGATTGGCAAATAATATTAACACTTGTATTGATGTAGACTGGACACTACTATTTAATATGTTCCAAAAACTTATATTTAATTATTACATTACTCTTGATTAATTATTACATTACTCTTAATTAATTTTAATACTAAATAAGTTGTAATATTAGTTGTAATTACCTACTGTTTATTATTAATATTTATGTATTATGATACGTTTATCCTTGTAATAAGGCAGTTGGCCTGTTTGGATAAATAGATAAATAAATAAATGACACCAAAAAAAATTAAAAATAAATTAAAATGAAGAATATCTATCTACCTTTGAGTGTGAATATCTCGAAAACCAATCAATTTATCAGTTCCCAACAAAAGTAGATGAACTATTTAAAAAACATCAAAAAATGTAAAAGTATAGTTTAAATAAGTTTATAGAGAGTGGCGTAAAAGTTAGAGGGGACGAAGATGTTATTTATCCATGCCGTACGACACTGGCAAAGTCTATTTGATTGTTTTGCTGGTAGGTGTATTTTATGTCACTTAAAATGTTTCCCCAATTTAGTAAAATTATATTGAGAAATAAAAAAAAATTGAAATTCAGCAATATTTTATCTAAACATGTTTGGTTTAGTCGCCTTATTTTTAATCAAAGAATCTTCCGTTGCTCGGTGACCCATTCTTAATTTATAAAAAAATGTTTCGTGTAAGATGTGGAAAATGTATATGTTTAGTTCATCCTTTTAACATTTACAGGGTGATACAATAGGTTGTACAAAATAATCGGAAAACGCCTGTAATAACTAGACAGGAAAGTCATGTGTTGGACACATCAGATTTTTTTTTAATCTTGAATTACGTATTTGATGTTTTAACTTTTAATAAGCATATGGCCTTCTAATTATTAAATCCCCAATTTTAATTTGATAACAAAGAAGTATCATCAAAAGAAAAGTAAAATTATGAATGAAATCACAAGAATTTTGACATTGTAATTAAAATAATAATAAAATACAATAATTTTTTATTATCATGTTTGTTTTGCTTTTTGCTCAGTGTATGAATTGAATATTCTTTTTTTTTACAAAAAGCATTATCCGAGGAAGGATTTTTCATATAATTATTACATGAAAGATAAATAGAGAAACGGGTTAAATGCAGAACCTGATCAAAGACTCAAACTTTCAGAGACCTGAGAGACCAATAAGCAGATGAAAAATGTAACATTAATGTAACCTTTTTTAAACTTCGTTCTAAAATAAAGTACCAAATGAATCGAAATTAGCCGATTTTGAAACTCGCTGCAGGGTCGGCAACATTGTCAACAATGACAAAAAACGAAATTAATGGATTGATGAACGGTCAAAATATAACGTAACTGCAAAATTGATATCATTTTCATTTGAATATTTAAAATCTAAAGCTGAATTTGAAGCCACTTATGACTCCGGCAAAGTAATTAAGTGTAACATTTGCAAATTATGGCATTCGGCAAACAGACGAAACCAGCAATCATAAAAACTTACAAAATATTTATTAATGTTTCGCGCCACTGTGCCACCCAAATTACTCTACACCTTATGGGGTTGGAGTATCTGAGGTGAATTTTTTTTTTTAAATGTTCGTCTTGAAATTGCCTATCGATCACTCATTTTCGATTTTCGTTTTACGTCTTCATTTTTCCGGAATTATGATCCAAAAATTAGTTTTTATGCAAAAACGTAGATTTCCCGCACGAAAGTGATCCTATGGTACGCGAGATTGAAATTTTACCAAACTTTTTGATGGGAAAATATTCGTCTTCAAAGACCCTAAAAGACTCTGTACTTGGAATACGGTCAAAAATTTTCCATTATGAAATTTTTTCCAATACTATCCTAATGTTGACTAAAACGCGCTTCCATTTATTTGAAAATTTTTGGATGATTATGACCATTTCAAGGGTAATGGGAAATTTTTGACTATTAGGGTCTTTGAAGACGAACATTTTCCCATAAAAAAGTTTGGTAAAATTTCAATCTCGCCTACCGTAGGATCACTTTCGTGCGGGAAATCTACGTTTTTGCATAAAGCTCAATTTTTATATCAGAATTCCGGGAAAATGAAGACGTAAAACGAAAATCGAAACTTATTGTCGTGCAACCACCTGAGACCGACCTGTTCTTTGGCCTTCACTGCCGCCGTTACGTCTGTATTTCCACTTTCGCCGCCCGCTCGAGTTGTGATCGAGATTTGACTAAAATGTTTCTTTGTACGCAGCCCGACGCATGGAGGAAGGATTTCACGAACGCTTCGATATTCTTCTACCCAGCGTTGGTTTTTTCTAGACTGTTACAATTTTGTATATTGGTGAATTCTTTTGCCGTTCAAGCTAAGTTTTAATATAAATTTTGTCAAGTAAAGGTAAATTGTTAAATAAATTAGAAGTGTGAATTGTAATAGTACTTAAGTATAAATAAATTAGTACTTGGTGAACAATATGAATACGGTCATTAGTAATCAATATGTGCTTATTTTACAATTTTGTTGAATCATTTTTAAATAAATAAAAACGAAAATCCTTGTAAAATTTTAAAAATGCATCTTTACGAAGTCGGAAAATATTGCAAATTTTCTAAGCTATTTAAGGCGATATTAGTGAGTATACTGGGATTTTGCAAGCATGTTAATATTTTGGTTGCTAAATAAGATCAAATAATGTTAATTAACAGCAATTAATTACTTTGTTGGAGTCATAAGTGGCTTCAAAATTCAATTTTAGATCTTAAATATTGAAATGAAAATTATATATAATTTACGGATGTTTGACCGTTCAGCAATTCATTAATTTCGTTTTTTTTTTTGTCATTTTTGAATATGTTGCAAACTTTGTATCGAGTTGCAAAATCGGCTAATTTCGATTCATTCGGTACTTTATCTTTACCACGAAGTTTAAAATATGTTAGAATTAATGTCTATATCCATCCCACTGAGTTTTTCAAGTTTGATTATTGTATTCATCTTGTATTAATTGTTTTTTCGTAAGTAAATCTAACGCTTTATTTTTAATATTATTTGTAAATGTTTTACGATTACGTTTTAGTTTTTGAACTGTTATTCAATATGGAAAATTATTTTCAATAAAAACCCAATTTTTAGTTTTATTTATAGGTTTTTAGGAGTTCGCAAAGTTTGAGAACCGCTCTTCTATAATGAAGAAACTGGACATTTAAAAGTCTAAATTTGTCCTAAATATATGAAAATTAAAAAGGCGTATTCCATCATAATTGGCGAATGCTATACTGGTTGTTTATCATCTACCCACATAGCTATTATTCTAAACTGAAACATTTTTCGTTTTTAATTTTTTGATATTTTTAGTGTTCCATCTCCATATGTTACGGTTTAGATATAGAAATTTTGGCACATAATTTTATATTTTTGACCGACTTATCGTGCATCCCTTATAAGAAATCGCTAGATAAAATTAAAGTTAAAAAATATAGACATGTTAGTAATAGTAAATCCAATCCAAATTGATATAAAATACGACTTACCTGACAAATAGAAAATCAGCAACAGCAATAAGGTATATAGAGTAATCAAATTTACATTTCAGTAGTATCATTCACACAAATAAATAAATATAAATCCATGAATGTAATAAAAAAAAATAACAACGTATTTTATGCACCACCATCGATTTGAATGTTGATTTAACTCTTTCAGGGGCATAAGTCAATAAATCAAAAGTAAAATTACACAAAAAATATAATGAATAAAAGGCTGTAAAAAACTGATTCCAAAAGATGCTGTAATTAAATCAACTTTTTGTTGTGCAACGGTAAGGACAAAATTAAAGAAATAGTTTCTAGATTGCTCCAGGATCGTATTTATTCCTATTTAATGGCCGCTTTCCTCCAAATTTAATCATGCAGGCACAATACATAAGATTGTTTATACATTTTGCAAAGTTTTTACTTATTAATTAAAAATGTAGGGAATATATGTGCGCTTAATTATGTTATTATGCCCCTGAACGAGTTATGAAAAAATAACCAAGGGTGCTAATTTTTAGTGTCACATTATGTTAACTATTCATGACTCAAAAGGTTTTTACTAATAATTAAATAAAAAAAGATCCTATTAAAATTAGCACCACTTAGACTCCATCCGGTCGACAAGAATAAATGTAGAACGAACAACTTTATAATTATAAGAGTAAATTTAAAAAACAGACTCAAAAAAAATTATCATAATTCTTCATTGATTTCGTTTAAAACGTTTTAGCAACTTGCTGCGTGGTTGTAACAGCATGACATTAATTGCTGTCATTGTTGTGTCATTTGAATTTATTAACGGCAGATCAGAAATATCGTTTATTTAACAGAAATGTATAAAATCATAATTTTAAAAATGATTCGTTACTTCAAGAAAAATGTCCTGATGTGAGGCCTACATCTGAAGAGACAATTAGTAATATTGAAAAACAACTTCGAGAGCTTAGACATGTGAGGCAGATAAAAAAAACCTTTGAGTTCACCAAGTAATGATACCAAATTGGACGTAATGCTTGAATTTAAGAAGAACCCACATACTTCGAGTCGCAATGTTAGATAGTGTTAGGCATACATCAATCATTCGAATATTAAAAGAAAATAAAATGGAGCTCGTAGAAGATGGATTTTGATAGAAGAACTCGTTTTTTTAAGCAAATCATCGAAATGTTAGTTAACAATGTTATTATCCAACTAGAATATATTGTTTTATGATGAATGCACTTTTACAGTTCATGACTTATACGAATCGGCAAAATTTTCGCTACTGGTATTATGAATATCCTCACTAGATGAGAGAAGAACATACACAATATCCTGAAAAGGTTAATATTTGGGCAGTGATAGTTGGAAACTTCGTCACTAGTCCCTTTTTCATTGATGCAATATTATTTAACACTGTTCCAAATTTATAGTCGAGCAAACCCAAAAGTTTCAGCGAATGTGATATGGTTCCAGCATGATGGAACATCACCACATTACCAAAACAATGTCCGGCAGTGCATCGATCAAATATTTCCAAGTCTGTGGATGGGGAGGCGAGGATCGATAAAATGGCCAGCACGATCACCTGATCTTATGCCATTAGACTTTTTTTATGGGAATATGTGAAAAATATGCTATACAAAACCAATCCACGCGATTTAGATGATTTAAGAAGTTTTTAACAAATTTTCGAAGAAAAAGAACACTAGATTCTAGATTTATTCTTGTCGGCCACTTAAACCACGCCCAAAACGATCCTGTAAGTCGGCCTACCTTCGGTGGGTGAAGCACCCTGTTGAAGAAGTAAATCTCGTCGTCGGTGACAGTGAGGCTGTGAGTGTACTTCTTGAGACCGCCCGGCGGAAGTTTCTTCACCTGCCTATTGATCTCGTCGTACATCGACGAGCAAATATACACGTCCGTTTCTGGTATTTCGGTGGGCCGGTCTGTATATAAACGGTAACATTAACGTAACGTACTCACCTTAAGGTTTGTTTTTTTTTTGTTTGCTTAAGACTAAAGTAAAACACAGGATTTTTGTTTATTTTTCTTTTGGAGGGATTGGGGTATGGAGGTGCTTAAAAGTTCAACCATAAGACAAACGCTTTTTGTCCAGTAAATTGGGAATTTTCATTTTGTTATTTTTCAAATTGATAAATACACTGCACACCGCAATTAACGCATAATTTTTAAAATCGTGGCAAAGCAAATAATTTAAATGATTCTATTTTTGTAGTTTTACCTTTGTCAAAAAATGTAGAACTTGATAACATTCTTTATTTCAAGTCCAATTCAGTTTCTTTTGGATATGTTTTGCTAAATATCAAGTTTATTAAATATGTTCACTAAAAATGAACCATCAACTGTGAGAAAATTTAAATTTCTCAAAATCAGACTGCATTACTTTTTGAAAAGAACCCACTGAACGATTTCATGTCGCCCAGTCGACCATTTATAATTTTAATACGTTTTGCTGCAACTGCGAGTAAGGTAAGAAGACCGGAAGGTTTACACGCCCTAAGCCATACTGGGTTTAGATGAGGCAAAAGTTAGTTACCAGTGCTTCTCTACAAAATGATCGATACAATATTAGAATCAATAGGATAAGGAGAAGCAGAAAATTATCTGCTGGAAGGGCACCGATTAGCCAATTATTTACCAGAGATCATAGAAGGCAAAGACTACATTTTGCCTATGAACATGTTAGGAATAATGAAGATTGGGGAAGAATATAGTTCACCGCTGAATTCAGATATTCTTTTTTTGATAACAGGCGGAATAGAGTATACAGGAGATCTGGGAAAAGCTACGCCCAATGTAACATTGTGGGAAATGTACTGTATGATCAGTAATGATGTGGAGTAGAATTAATTTAGAGGACCGTACGATGATAGTTCCCACAGATACAGCACAAAGATGGCATTACATAAATTTTTGAGAAGCATATCATGCCATTTGCACCATTAATTTATAGACTATTTCATATCAGGCTACACGTAAAAATAATTGTGCATCAATATCGTCAAGAACTTGGAATTCCTGCCATGGTTTGATATCCAACAAAAGCCAATCTTGACCTAATCGAACACGTTTGGGACCTTCTAGGAAAAGTACTACGACAACAACATATTAGACAAACTTTTTTTGGAACTGGTTGAAATTTGGGTTCAAATTGATCAGGATAGAATGATAACTTCAATTCTTAGTATGAGAAATCGTTGTGAAGACTAGGCTTTTGATTAATTTTTTCTGAACTTAAACATTTTCTATTATGTTATTTTATATATTTCTCTTAAAAAAGAAAAACAGAATTTTTCATTTCAGATTTTATAAAACTAAAATCAATGTTAAAAAGAAAAATATGTATAAGGCAGCTTGCTTATTTTTTTTTTATTTCTGAAATTACGTATTTGAATATGAAGTTTCCGTGTTTGAATACGGAATTCAGAGTTTAAATAAAGTATTTCCATGTTGGAACATGAAATTCCGCATTTGAAAAAAAATGAAATTCCGTATTTTTATAGGGCATTCCGGGCTCGAATGCGGAATTCTTTGTTCGGACAGAGGAATTCCGTATTTAAACTGGGATTCGTATTCAAAGAAGGAAATTCAGTGTATACCGTATTGAAACACGAATACAGAATTGCGTGTTTTAATTGAGAATTCCGTGCTTTAATAAGAAATGTCCGTGCTTGAATACGGAATTCCGTGTTTGGATATAAAATTCCATGTCTGTTTACGGAATTTCGTATTTAAATAAAAAATGTCCTTGTCTAAACATGGAATTTCAAATTTGAACAATTAATAAGAAATTCCATGTTTAAATGCGAATTTCAAACACGGAATTCCGTATACACACGGAATTCCGTATCCAAAGAAGGAGTTCCGTATCTTAACATGAGAATTCGATAGTATTCAAACAGGAAATTTCCTATTAAAACTCGAAATTCCGTATTCACACACGTAATTTCGAATTCAAAGACGGCATTGAGTAACAAGAAATTTTCTATTGTTACTTGAAATTCCGCATTCACAAACGAAACTCCGTTTTCAAAGTTTCAAAAAGGATATTCCGTATCCAAACACTGAATTCCGTATTAGAATAAGGAAATTAGTTATTAGAACATGGAATACAGTATTCACACACGGAATTTCGAATTCAAAGAGGGAATTTTGTATCTAAACACAGGAGTTAGATATTTGTCCACTGAATTCCGTATTAGATTACGAAAACTAGTTATTTGGACACGGAATTCCGTATTTAAAAACGAAATTCCCATTTCTAACTTGAAATTCTGCATTCACACTCGGAACTCCGTTTTCAAAGAGGAAATTCCGTATCTGAACACTGGAACTAGATATTCGCACACCGAATTCCATATTAGAATAAGGAGATTAGTTATTCAAAGACGAAATAGCGTATTCAAAGACGGAATTCCGTATTAAAACCAGACATTCCGTAATCAAATACAGAATTCTATGTTAAAACAGGGAATTTCAGAAGAAAAAATATCCATTATGACTGAAAATATACTTTATAAAATTATGCATTAATTTTGCTGCTCAGTGTATTTACGTACATGGTGATTTGTTTTAAAGGACTCTGCATGAAATTCTTGAAATATAAAATTTCCATAAAAAATAAAAAACTAAAAACATCGATTTTTTTGAGAGGAGAATAACTAACCAATACAATTTAAAATAAAAAGTTACAAGCATGACACATCATTAAAAATGTAATTTAATGGATAAATCAGCAGTATTACTATTTTATATATTGTGTGACACTTTATTTGAAAGTTCATAACAATGAATAAAAGATTAAATTAAATAATTGAACAACCCTGCATAGCTCTAACATTAAGACATACAAATTTATGCTACGCCATTATTAATCAAATACCGTTTTTTGAGAAAAACAAAAATGAAATCTTAAAAAACATGAATAAAAAAGTCGTCACTACAATAATTGTGTGAAATGTTCATCTATCAAAATAAAAACGTTCTGGTAACATTGTCAATAACAGACCCACTAACAGCTGTTGACAATTAACTAATCTGGGCGAAATGACCTATTTAAATTCAATAAATAAATTTTAACCACTTAACGTACTTGCCCGTCTTACTGGCAATTTTGTACGCGCTCGACTGGGATACGGGCAACCATTACATTTACTTACAAATTTTTGTTCGCTTGTTTCAGATGCGATCGTGTTCTAATAAATACTACATATAGGTCAATAATATTTTGTCTCCTATATAAATAACAATAAATACTGACTACTCCACTGGTAAAAAAATATTGAGTACGCCACTGATAATTATTAAGGTAAGGAAAGTATCATTTATAAGGTACACATTCATCTTATAAGGATATGTAGCGCATAAACAAATAATATTTAAGAAAATACAATTTATAATTTCGTTCCCCCACACTAAGTAAAGTATAGTTGCTACGCCACTGAAAATATATTTTTTTAATTTTAATAAGTATAAACACTAAATTTCCACGTTTAAAAAATCCGATTATTTTTTGACCAAGAAATCAAAATAAATGTGTACATTAAGTGGTTAACTAACTTACCGCAACATTTTCAAAACTTTATTAACAAAATATTTTTAGGCATTTAAGGAAAATTCGATAAAACAATTTTAATATGCACACGTATTTCAAAATAACCCTGTATTTATGATATTTTTCATTATTCTATTTAATAGGAGAATTTCCCAGTATGTATTTTTTTAGACAACATACTTTTAATTTTTGATAATAGTCAACCCAAAACAACTCTAAATCGTATTGAACGTATAAATCATAAAATCTAGAATTTCCGTTTCAATCTTCACAATCTATCGTTTTTTTTTTTAATAAAATTTTTGTACTTACATACAACCCAATCGTTCAGTTCCAAAACGTGGCATTTTCCTATAATACTGACAATAGGACTCGCATCCTCCAAGCTAGACAAGAACACTTCGTTTTTGTAGAACATCCGCGTAGGATTGTGAGGAATGTCCGCGGGATAGATGAACCACGGTCCCCGAAAGTAACATTTACCACTGCGGGAGAAACAAAAAAGGACGTCATTACGTTATAGCCTGAAATCCGGGCATAAAAAATCGAAAGGACAGATTATTTTAGGCTAAATTAAAAAATATAGATTATTAATAGCTGAACACCACAACTACCATGGTTTTAAGCCAAAATAATAACAAACTTCGTTCCTGCACTTTTGGTGAGATTGCAAACACAGGCAACCCAAGTTATTGTTAAAGCTAACAGTCTCCTCTTTAACAATAACTAGGGTTGCCTTAATTTGCACGCACTACAAAAATGTAAAATCGAAATTTGTTGCCATTTTGACGTCTACGTAATAAAGAACCTATAATTTTTTCAATTTAGCCTAAAATAATCATTCCCTTTGATTTTTGCCGTCGCTTCTTTGGCTTTTAATACTTACTCTTTAGTTTCCCAAATACTGTCTATTTGCGATATAATTTGTTTACCACCATCAGCTACTACATATACAAAATCACCCGTTTTAATCACACCAGAACACACCGTGTTGAACTGTTCATAGTAAGTGTTACCATCGTCTATTTCCATATTGTTATAAGCCACGATATTCTATAAAAAAAAGAATATCCATTTTATACTATCTGTTATAAATACAGTTTTAACAGTAAAAGAAATCCGTAGATCTTTTCAGTGGCGTGGATAGATTTTTTTCAGATGGGGATATGACAAATATACATAGATGAATAGCATTTTATTTAAATCACTCATAATTTTCGTAGATTCATTGGGGGAGGGATCTAAGCAAGATAATTACTTTTTAGCTTGAATGTTAATTACTTTTATCTGCAGCGCTGCACAAAAATGTAGATCCAACAATATAAAACAACAAATAAAAACTTGACGCCGCAAATAAAAAAATCTTACCGGTTTTTCCTTTTCGACTAATTTTTCTAATTCTTCCAACTCTTGTAGTTCGTCCTTATGTTTCTCTATGCGTTCGCGAAAAACTGACATGACCCTCTTGAGTTTCAGCGGCGTTTCTCTGGGAATTAATTTCACCGCCCCGCTTTCCGGGTATATTTTAATTTTCTTAAAAAACCTTAACCTAGTTCTGTATCGAGATTCACAAACATATACATCGTTGTCGTCGAAACCTAAAAAGTAACAACACTGATTTGATATGCATGTATTGTTAATATTTTATTTAGACTATTTATTAGAGGGATGGAGTTACGATCAGCTGTAAGCGATGTTCATCACATATATTATTTATTACATTCCTTTGAGTAATCTGTGAAAAATTAGTACCGAACCTGAGTGTTTTATTCTTCATAGTGCTTTCAGATGTAATAAATAAAAAGAAACTAAGTACATATTGTCGGTCTGCCTGTCTCAAAATAATGACATTTTCTATGTCGAATTATTTAAGAAAATTTTCAATATCACTTTGGGAAATTTTTTTAGTTAAAAAAAAAGTTTTCGAATTTTTCATCTTTTCCGATGAATTTTCGGGAAAAACAAAAAAATTTGTTTAAACTAGTGGGACATTTACTCATAATTTGGCAGCGGAACTCTTCCGATACCTCAAATATATTTCCCAGAAAAATTAGGGGAAAAGTTGGGGCGATAAAACAAAAAAACTTAAAAATTGATTTATAGAATGGTATATATAAATTACCTAAAGATTTCAAATTTTTAGAGAGTAAAAGGTCTCCACACTCACCAATTACGTATGAGATACAGTCCATTCATTTAGTTTACACCGATATTCAATTAAGAGCAATAAAACTCAGACGTGACACAATTAAAAAAAGCAGAAAGAGAAAATATAGTTTAATTAGTTTAGGGCAATGTTAATTTCGACTAATTCTACAGAAAAGTCAAAAAAGTCTGACTCAAAATTATTAAGTTTTTAATTATTTCCTTGCCAAAAAAAAAAAATCAATTTTGGTGGACCTTCAATACAAATGCTTGAGGAACATGAAAGAGCTATACTTCAGAAGGTACTGAAAAGCCAGAACACGGCAAAACGAGACTTTAAGAAACCCTCCAAGAGAAGAATGAGGACCTCAACGAGATTGGAAAACCTGGAATAATGCTGTTGAAAACATGAAGTAAAAAAATGTCTGAATTTAGGTTGATGTTTTTAACTGTACGATTGTGAAATGAGTGGAAACGAATGATTGTGAAACAAGTGGAAACAAATAATTATGAAACAAGTGGAAACAAATGAAAGTGAAATAAATGGGACCGAATGTTAATGCCTCAACACCTAGATGTGGCACTAGTGTTGCAAATCAAACTTTGTTTTATGTGACAGCATAACATTTGCAATGTCCTGGCACTGGCATTAATGACTCATCTTCTTTTATTGTCCACTTTCAATTTCTAATACTGGAATTAAGTACATGTCTATCCTAATACATGGTCGAAGGTTAAAACCCTGTAGGAGTTTAAAACTGTTTCAAAACTGATCAATGCAAATGGTTTGAATCACTTACCCTCCGGCTTCATGGTGAAATAATGTTTGACATTGACAACACAACACTTCTTCTTCACCTCCTGCAACGGCACCGCCACGTACGAATCCGATTTGAACACCTCCCTTTCCAAAAACTTTCTCGTTTTCACGTGATATGTCTCGTCCGGTCTCAAAAAATAATTCCCGTACATCATCTGTTGGCCGCCGTTCTCCCATAACCGCTCGATGCAGAGAATGTGCGGTTCGCAACCCTTTTCTTTGGCATCTAAATACACGAACTCGCCCACTCTGAACGTCCGATCGTTGCAAGTCATCGATGCGCCGTCGGCACAACCGTTCGTCTCCTCGACGGCGTTCGTTTCTTTACCGGTAGAGTTTTCGACAATGGGTTGTTTATTCTCACTTTCACTAGGTTCTTTAGTTTCACTAGGTCCCGTTTCGTCACTGGTTTCTTTATTCGAGTCCTTAATAGGTTTCTCTTTGTCCTCGCTAACTTCATCAACGTTATTCGCATCTTTACTGTTGTTATCTTCGTCGCCTTCGTTATCTAACGTTAACGGAGCTTCTGTGGGTTTTTTGTTGTTTACTGTCGCTTCTTCTTCTTTATCGCTCGATTCTTTGCTGTTGCCGTTACTGTTTTCTTCGTTGACGTTTATTATTTCTTTAAGAATCGAATCTTCAGAACACCTAGTTTCGGTATCGTCATCCAAAGACTCCTTCATAGCTTTTTCGGCTCTGACATCGTCTATGGACGCTCTAAGTTCTACTTCGGTGTACATCAAAGCGGGAGACGATAGCAGTTCGCCATTTTTACACAGTTCGTCTCTTTGTTTGATGAAGTAGAATTGGAGTTCTATGGCGTCTTCGAACACTTGGGAATCGGTTCGTGACACGCGTCGCGCACGTTCCATGCAGTTAAAGAAGTCTTCTTGAAACACGTCCAAGCGTTTGTACAATCCTTTGTCTAACCGCCTTTTGATTAAGTCTAGAGAGACGGCCCGTACTCTGGAAGAAAATTATGGATTCTAGGGTATTTTCGGTATTGGAATATTTTTGTTTACATGCAACTAAATTTATAGAAAGAATCACAGGTAAGTGGGGAAAAAGCATAAACGATAATTTTATGAACATATCGGTCCTAAAATTTATAGTAAAATCATAGGATTTTGTTAGATTGATAATCTAAACAAAATGGGCGCATTCTAATTGTCAGAAAATATTGCTTTATGGAGGAATTGGGCGATGGTCCTTTGTTTCATTTTAAATTAGACATACGAAGTAAAGTTTGATAAAATTTAAAAAATGTTTTTTTTTCAAAATTACAGTCCAAAAAATTAATAAAAAATATTAGAAAATTATTAAAAGAATGAAAGGTATTAAAAAACTATTAAAAAATTATAAAAAAGATAAAAATTAATAAAAGACTATTAGAAAATTATTAAAAGACTGAGAAAATTATTAAAAAATGCAAATTTATTAAAAAACTATTAAAAAATGCAAATTTATTAAAAAACTATTAAAAAATTATTAAAAAACCATTAGATAATTATTAAAAAAATATTAATTAATTAAAAAACTATTAAATTATTATTAAAATATTATTAAAATATTATTAAAATATTATTAAAATATTATTAAAATATTATTAAAATATTATTAAAATATTATTAAAATATTATTAAAATATTATTAAAATATTATTAAAATATTATTAAAATATTATTTAAATATTATTAAAATATTATTTAAATATTATTTAAATATTATTAAAATATTATTAAAATATTATTAAAATATTATTAAAATATTATTAAAATATTATTAAAATATTATTAAAATATTATTAAAATATTATTAAAATATTATTAAAATATTATTAAAACATGATTTTGTTAGATTGATAATCTAAACAAAATGGGTGTATTCTAATTGTTAGAAAATATTGCTTTAGGGACAAATTGGGCGATGGTCCTTTGTTTCATTTTTAATTAGACATCACGAAGTAAAGTTTGAGAAAATAAAAAAATGGCTTTTTCAAAATTATCGTCCATTAAAAAATTATTAAAAAATATTAGAAAATTATTAAAAGAATAAAATGTAATAAAAAAAAACTATTAAAAAATTATAAAAAGAAAAAATTAATAATAGATTAAAAAACGGTAAAAAAAATATTAAAAAATTATTAAAAGGCTATTGGAAAATTATTAAAATATTATTAAAAAGTTATTAAATTATTAAAAAGTTATTAAAATATTAAAATATTGTTTAAAGGTTATTAAAAAATTATTAAAAAATTATAAAAAAGATTAAAAAAAATGGTTAAAAAAAACACCTTAATGTTATTCATTTGGTAAATTTTGTTGACACCAGAACACATACAAAAATATTGAGAAGACTTGAGTGGAATTTAGAAAATTGGATAAAAAAGGGATATTAGGGGCACATGTAACTATGTAAAAGACGCACTTTTTAAAAAATTAAGTAAAACAAATAATTTTGAAATAAAAAAAGGAAATATATTTCATTTATATTTGATTAAAATAAGATTAAAGTTGGATTAAAATTTGTTCAAATTTAATTAAAATTTGTTCAAATTTAATTAAAATTTGATTAGTTTTTTTTTCTTTTTTAGCAAAAGGAGTAAAATAATACAAAAGTCTACTTTTACAATAATCGCTAATAAATAGTATCACCTTAAAAAAATTACTAAAAAATGATTAAAAGAATAAAAAATATTTAAAAGATTATTAAAAAAATTATTAAAAAATCATTAAAAAAATATAAAAAGATTATTAAAAAATTAGTAAAAAAACTGCAATATATTAAAAAAATTTAAAAAATCACAATTTGATTAAAATTTGATAAAAAAATTTGATTAATATTTAAAAATTATAAAAAATATTGTTTTTGTTTTTATCAGCGAAAAGAGTACAATAATACAAATATCTACTTTTTCTATGATAGCTAATAAACGGTATCACCTTAAAACCCCGCTACAGCACAAACATCGCCAAAATAGAACTTACTTTTTGCCATCGATTTCGTCGTGTTCCGGCAAATCTGCCATCGAATCGGAATAGCACCTACCGTCGTCGTCTTGATAGTTATAAACATTCGTAAACAAACTCAAAAATATGTCCTGTACGACCAATGCGACGTCCGGTACGGTATTTTCATCGTCCTTCAGCTGCATCTTCGTCTGAAACAAGAACCTCTGCAGCACCAACGCGTCCTTGTACAACTGTGAATCGGGTTCATTGTATCTGCAAGCGTTATCGAACAATAAAACGAAATCTGCCACCAATTCCTCCAAGTTTTCGTAATCGCTCGCCCTGATCTTCTGCGATATCCTTTCCATGTCGATCGGATTCGATATCACTTCGTAGTAGTCCGGGTATTCGAGTTTCGATGGGAGTTTCATGAAGGTTTGGGACAGTTGTCGGCCCTCTTTGGGATCGCGATAGTATCTGACAGCTTCATATAGAGTCTTGAGGGTTTTCTCGAGCGGCGACAGTATCCGCCGCGGTTTGTATCTGTTGGAAAAATTTCTGACAATGGCGATTAGAAACGGTAAGTGTATCGAGCGACAAAGAGTCCGTCGGAGTCTTTCTTGCTCGGGGAAGTGTTAAAAAAAAGTAAAAGATTATTAAAATTATAAAAAAATAAAAAGTAAAAAAAAATCAAAATTAAAAAAAAAATGTTAGAAAGAGGAAAATTAAAAAATAGGAATAAAAAAAATATATACAGGGTGTTTCAGAATAAAGTATCGTAAACTGAGGGATTTGTAATTATTAATTATTAAGGCTAAATATAATTTTTCTGTAAACGTTCCAGTTTTCATTCTTTAGGCTGATTAAGTGAATTTCATAAATGCCTAATTTTTTAAATATCTTTCCTTACGGTAAAGACTTTTAACTCAAAAATATGTATATGTTAGTTAATCGTCATTATTAGTTAACACACTCTATTTCGAAAATTTACTGTAACCCATTGGCGTAGAATCAAGGGCTAAAAAACAATTTTAATCCTAACTTTTTGAACAAGTTGGGATTAATAATTATTCCTCAAGCGATTTGTTACAAAAAAGGGACTCTTGGTTGATATCTGTAGAACATTCAATTTTCTAAATTTTTCAGTTTTAGTCCTACTCAAACATGAAATCTATGTGCATTATGAAATTCAAAAAAAGGCAAATTTTTATTAAGGGCCGATTTCATCGATATTAAAAGATCCATTAACTAATGGGACCATTAAATCCATAAAATCTTGGTCCCATTAGATAATGGATCTTTTAATATTCATTATGAAATTGGCCCTTGATAAAATTGTACATAGATTTCATGTTTGAGTAGGACAAAAACTGAAAAATCTCGGAAATAAAATGTTCTACAGAGATCAACCAAGAGTCCCATTTTTGTGACAAATTGAGTGAGTAATAATTAATAATCTTAACTTTTATTAAATCAAAAGTTTGAAAGAAAATTGTTTTCATAACCCTGGATTCTACGTCAATGGGTTATCGTAATGTATCGACATTAAGTGTGTTGAACTAATAATGACGATTAACTAACATATACATATTTTTAAGTTAAAATATTTAACGTAAGGCAAGATTGGAAAATTATGTATTTATGAAATTCACTTTATCACCCCGTAGAATGAAAACTGGGACGTTCACAGGCAAATTATATTTAGCTTTTCTTATTAATTAGTTAAGATCTACAAGTTTACGATACTTTATTCTGAAACACCCTGTATATATAAAAAAAAAGAAAATAATATCTAAACATAAGGTTATAAGGAGATAAAAAAGGTTAGAAAATCATTAGAAAAGGAAAAATTATTGTATTATTAAAAACAAGAAATATAAAACAACACTAAAAGTTATTAAAAAAACAAAAAGATAAAAAAAATCAAAATAAAAAACGGATTATGAAAAAAATGTTAGGAAAATTAAAAAAAAAAAGAAAAAAAATTAATAAATAAAGAAGTAAAAAATGTTAGTAAGAAAAATTAAAAAATCATTAAAAATTATTAGTTTTTAAAAAATTATTAAAAATTGAAAAATCATTAAAAATAAAAAAAAAAACTATTAAAAAATAAAGATAGAGATCAAATTTAAAAATGAATCATGGAAAAAATATTAAGAAGAAAATTAAAAAAAATTCAATATTAAAAACCATTGAAAAATTATAAAAAAAATTTAATTTAAAAAAAAAATATTAAAAACTTATTTAAAAAATATTAAAAACTTATTTAAAAAATATTAAAAAATTGTTAAAACATAATATACATATAAGGTTATTAGGAGAGACAAACAATGTTAGAAAGAGGAAAATAAAAAAAATATTAAAAACCCATTAAAAATAATGAAAAATGTATAAAATATATAAAATTATAAAAATTTATTAAAAAATACATACATGGTTATTTGAAGACAAAACAATATTAGAAAAAGGAAAATAAAAAAAACGAAAAATTAAAAAGGTAAAAAATTATTTTAAAAAAATCGCCGAAACTTTAAAAATTATTTAAAAATCATTGAAAAATTATTAAAAAATAAATGAAAAACTGTTAAAAAATTAAAAATGAATAACAAATTATTTTTAAATAAACATATTAGGTCAGATAAAAAATATAACAATTAAATAAAAATTAAATGATACTAGTAATTAAAATCAATATTTTATTCCTAAAGTTTCGGTATGTAAGGCCACTTCCTTCATCAGGACTCAATATCGCTAAAAAATTAAAATTATCACTTACGGTTTCAGGACGATTCGTTCCCGCTTCGGTTTATCGGGCGTAACGTTGACGGGCTTAAGTTGAGCTACTTTATTTAACAGGTACTTTTCTAGCAGATTCGCGTCCTCGTGGATAGGCGAGTTCTCCTCGTTGAACTGCCTGCAATTGCTGAACATCAATTTGAAATCCTTGACGAGATCCGCCTCGCAGCTGTACTGCTCGGCTTTGATTTTGGCCTCGATCTCGAGGAAGTCTATCGGTTCCGCTATGACCTCGTAGTATTCGGGGTACAGCTTTTTAGACGGCTTTTCTATGAACGCCAGCATGGGTTTTCGACCGTCTTCAGTCTGAAAATTAATATTAAAAATGTATCAAACACATAGTAATATATTTAGAGAGTGCTGAAAAGAGATGGTTGCATAAAGAACACTCTAATTTGATTAGTGCAGTATTATCTATGAAAAATTCGTAGTTGTTTTTTCAATAAACACTAAACAAGAACTTAATTAAATGACATCTTACCGTGTAATCTAACATGTACTTGGCCAACATGTGTAATCGTTTTTTCAAAGCGGTTGTATCTTTGGGCGGTCGACCCCTGGGCGCCGATCCGGGAGATAAATTCTTCGGTTTGGGTCCCGGTTTCCGTCGCACCACCTCCTTTTCTGTAAACAACTAAAAACCCAAACTTCCCACCAATATTCTTTTCATATAGTTGCGATTAGTCGTCGCAATTTAATGATTAGAAGCGATCGGCAAGCGTCAGATCGAGTTCGAGACACTTTTTCATAAAACCAAATGATATTACTTATTTTTTCCTGTCTAGCTTGCGGTTATAATATAAAGGAGATATAATGTATTTGTATCAATATAAGTCCATCCTGTATAAAGTGTATTCTATGAAGTACGTTTTTAATTACCACAAAAAGCGATTCAACATACTGATGAGTGAACTACACATTGATGTATAAATTAAGTAGTACTGGCGTTTAAATTGGTTGACTAACAAGTTTTATTTTACATACTGGCTAACTAACCGCCGGCGGTGCTTGCATTTGTTGAAAAGAAAACCGTCTTCCGACATATAAGAAAGCCGCCGAAAATCTAAACTGATTTGTTGATCAGGGCGGCATGCTATCAGTGAATTGAAAAATGCCGCCGGACGACGGTCTACTGTATTTAAAACATTGAATGCCGGTGGTAAGAAAAAATACTTGTAAAATCGTCTACATTTTTATGGCAAATGATCATAAGTCGTACGCGTTTTATTTGTACATCGGTCTCCTTTTGACAGAGTAGATGAGCTGTGTCCAGGCCGTTGGTGTTTATGCCGGTCGGCGTAGCCAGGTATGGATTTAAATTTTATGGTGGCGGCGAAGCCGCCACTCTACAAGAAGTCGTTGCTTCGTCTTCTTGTTGTCACGCTATTATTGTTTGTTCATGTATGTGAAATTTGCTTTTAAGGTTTATAAAATACTACTGCCAGTCAAGGCGTAAATGAAAACAAACAAGACGCATTCACACAACACCTCCCACCACAGCAATTACAAATGATTGGTGTTGTCCCCGATACGTGAGTTTTTTCCGGTGGCATTTAATGTTTCAAATACAGTACCCCCGTCGTCCGGCGGCCTTATTAATACTCTGATAGCCTGCCGCCCTCATCAACAAATCAGTTTAGATTTTCGGCGGCTTTCTTATATGTGAGAAGACCATGCCGCCGGAAGACGGTTTTCGTTTTATTAAATTCAACTACCGCCGGCGGTCGGCTAGCCAGTACGTTTATTTTATCCTCTTGAAACATTACAGGAATATAATTGGCAATAGCGCATCTGATGGACCGTGCTACGAGGTTAGCGCTGTTGCCATTTTGTTGTTCTAAACGCACGACTTCAGGGGAGCTATTTTCAAACTCGAGAGAATTCATAAATGTCATACGTCAACGTAAAACCGTATTTTTAGGGCTCTTAGGGCCAGTGTGAACTCACTGACTGTTTCTCTCGGATTATTTAGAGAGAATTAAAATCTTCCTAAGAATTTTAATCCTCGATGCCTTTAAAAACAACATTTCCACATTGACGTATGACATTTCTGATGAGAATCTTGAGAGAAATGAGTGCTCCCATACTTTGAAAATAGCCCCCCTGGACAAGAAAAAATAAGTTCTGCATATTCTATTGATATCATCTCACAGAAAAAAAATCTCGATAAGAAAGCAAACAAGACAACAAATATCTTGTTACCGAAAATTTTAGCACTATAATTGTAATAGATTCGAAATTAAATGCTAAATATTTAAAATCTTAGAAAAAGAAATTTGTGTTTACTCAGTTAACAAAATAATAAGTAAAAACTCGAGAGTGTATTATTTTAGGCTGAACTGAAAAAATTATTGGTTATTAACTGCTTAACCAACCATGGTTTTCTCTGGTTTTAAGTCAAAATAACAACAAACTTCGGTACTACATTTTTGGAGCGTGTGCAAACAAAGGCAATTGTGAAAGAGCTTTCATTTGACACCAACTGCGACAAAATAGAAGTAACTTTCGCGAAACGCGCGATTAGTCGCGACTAATCGCGTGCTTCCATTTTGTCGCAGTTAATGTCAAATTTAGGTGGAGGCTGTCTGCTTTCATTTGACACCAATTGCGACAAAATAGAAGCACGTGATTAGTCGCCATTGCGTTTTGCGAAAGTTGCTTTTACCGCGTGCTTCTATTTTGTCGCAATTGGTGTCAAATGAGAGCTGACAGCCTCCTCTTTAATTAAACACTATTGTGACATAATAAAAGCACCCTTCGCAAGATACGCGATAATTCGCAACTAATCGTGTGCTTCTATTTTGTCGCAATTGGGGTCAAATGAAACCTGACAGCCTCGTCTTTAAGAATTACTAGATTTGTCTTTGTTTAACTTCAAATGTAGCATTGAAGTTTGTTGTCATTTTGACGTCTGCGTAAAATCAGAGCAAACCATGGTTGGTCTGGTGTTTGGAAATTAATTACCTATTTTTTTTTTTTTTTTTCAATTTGTTGCCGGCACTCAGTCTGTGAAAATCTAATTATTACTCCCAAATGTAAAAAGTACAATTAATACGAGAATTTTCGATAACAAATAGCGAAAGAACATAAAAAAACATGTGTTAAAAGTTAGAAATGAAAGGAAGAAAAGAGACAATACAAATTAAGCAGTGCATTAGCATACCTTCCGGTTTTTGTTAGTAACTCTTTGTGTTACCTGATCAACATCAAGTAGCTCTTGAACTTTAGTTTGCATCAGTTTCTGCAGTTTGACAGCGTCCTTGAAAGAATAAAAAACAAAAACAAATTTTTAAGATAAACTCCTCATCAACGATTTGGATAAAAACATTTAATAGTATGAAATATAACGCTTTTCCTAACCAAGCCTGTATAATAGCAGCAGCAGAAATTGGAAAGGCTTTTGCCAGTTCTTCCAATTTATACACATAAATTGACAGGTTTGCGGCGGATCTAATCGAAGTGGACGCGATACATCGGCGTACAAAATTATTTTATAGATGTTAATAACAATTTCGAGTAAATATTTAAAAAATTGTGAATAGCTGTTGAAATTTTATAGAATTATGATTTGGATATTATAATACATGTTTAATAATTATTTATGGCCAGTGATGTAAAATTACCGTAATTTATATTTTTGGTAATTTACGGTGGTAATTTACGGGTTTTAATTACCAAAATTAATTACCCTGGTAATAAATTTGTCGTAAATTACTGTGATAATTTGACTTAATATATTATATACACATACATGACTAATAATGACTTCGAAATGAAATTAAGGTGTGTGTGTGTGTGTGTGTGTGTGTGTGTGTGTGTGTGTGTGTGTGTGTGTGTGTGTGTGTGTGTGTGTGTGTGTGTGTGTGTGTGTGTGTGTGTGTGTGTGTGTGTGTGTGTGTGTGTGTGTGTGTGTGTGTGTGTGTGTGTGTGTGTGTGTGTGTGTGTGTGTGTGTGTGTGTGTGTGTGTGTGTGTGTGTGTGTGTGTGTGTGTGTGTGTGTGTGTGTGTGTGTGTGTGTGTGTGTGTGTGTGTGTGTGTGTGTGTGTGTGTGTGTGTGTGTGTGTGTGTGTGTGTGTGTGTGTGTGTGTGTGTGTGTGTGTGTGTGTGTGTGTGTGTGTGTGTGTGTGTGTGTGTGTGTGTGTGTGTGTGTGTGTGTGTGTGTGTGTGTGTGTGTGTGTGTGTGTGTGTGTGTGTGTGTGTGTGTGTGTGTGTGTGTGTGTGTGTGTGTGTGTGTGTGTGTGTGTGTGTGTGTGTGTGTGTGTGTGTGTGTGTGTGTGTGTGTGTGTGTGTGTGTGTGTGTGTGTGTGTGTGTGTGTGTGTGTGTGTGTGTGTGTGTGTGTGTGTGTGTGTGTGTGTGTGTGTGTGTGTGTGTGTGTGTGTGTGTGTGTGTGTGTGTGTGTGTGTGTGTGTGTGTGTGTGTGTGTGTGTGTGTGTGTGTGTGTGTGTGTGTGTGTGTGTGTGTGTGTGTGTGTGTGTGTGTGTGTGTGTGTGTGTGTGTGTGTGTGTGTGTGTGTGTGTGTGTGTGTGTGTGTGTGTGTGTGTGTGTGTGTGTGTGTGTGTGTGTGTGTGTGTGTGTGTGTGTGTGTGTGTGTGTGTGTGTGTGTGTGTGTGTGTGTGTGTGTGTGTGTGTGTGTGTGTGTGTGTGTGTGTGTGTGTGTGTGTGTGTGTGTGTGTGTGTGTGTGTGTGTGTGTGTGTGTGTGTGTGTGTGTGTGTGTGTGTGTGTGTGTGTGTGTGTGTGTGTGTGTGTGTGTGTGTGTGTGTGTGTGTGTGTGTGTGTGTGTGTGTGTGTGTGTGTGTGTGTGTGTGTGTGTGTGTGTGTGTGTGTGTGTGTGTGTGTGTGTGTGTGTGTGTGTGTGTGTGTGTGTGTGTGTGTGTGTGTGTGTGTGTGTGTGTGTGTGTGTGTGTGTGTGTGTGTGTGTGTGTGTGTGTGTGTGTGTGTGTGTGTGTGTGTGTGTGTGTGTGTGTGTGTGTGTGTGTGTGTGTGTGTGTGTGTGTGTGTGTGTGTGTGTGTGTGTGTGTGTGTGTGTGTGTGTGTGTGTGTGTGTGTGTGTGTGTGTGTGTGTGTGTGTGTGTGTGTGTGTGTGTGTGTGTGTGTGTGTGTGTGTGTGTGTGTGTGTGTGTGTGTGTGTGTGTGTGTGTGTGTGTGTGTGTGTGTGTGTGTGTGTGTGTGTGTGTGTGTGTGTGTGTGTGTGTGTGTGTGTGTGTGTGTGTGTGTGTGTGTGTGTGTGTGTGTGTGTGTGTGTGTGTGTGTGTGTGTGTGTGTGTGTGTGTGTGTGTGTGTGTGTGTGTGTGTGTGTGTGTGTGTGTGTGTGTGTGTGTGTGTGTGTGTGTGTGTGTGTGTGTGTGTGTGTGTGTGTGTGTGTGTGGTGTGTGTGTGTGTGGTGTGGTGTGTGTGTGTGTGGTGTGTGTGTGTGTGTGTGTGTGTGTGTGTGGTGTGTGTGTGTGTGGTGTGTGTGTGTGTGGTGTGTGTGTGTGTGGTGTGTGTGTGTGTGTGTGTGTGTGTGTGTGTGTGTGTGGTGTGTGTGTGTGGTGTGTGTGTGTGTGGTGTGTGTGTGTGTGGTGTGTGTGTGTGTGGTGTGTGTGTGTGTGGTGTGTGTGTGTGTGGTGTGTGTGTGTGTGGTGTGTGTGTGTGTGGTGTGTGTGTGTGTGGTGTGTGTGTGTGTGGTGTGTGTGTGTGTGGTGTGTGTGTGTGTGTGTGGTGTGTGTGTGTGTGTGTGTGTGTGTGTGTGTGTGGTGTGTGTGTGTGTGTGTGTGTGTGTGTGTGGTGTGTGTGTGTGTGGTGTGTGTGTGTGTGGTGTGTGTGTGTGTGGTGTGTGTGTGTGTGGTGTGTGTGTGTGTGGTGTGTGTGTGTGTGGTGTGTGTGTGTGTGGTGTGTGTGTGTGTGGTGTGTGTGTGTGTGGTGTGTGTGTGTGTGGTGTGTGTGTGTGTGGTGTGTGTGTGTGTGGTGTGTGTGTGTGTGGTGTGTGTGTGTGTGGTGTGTGTGTGTGTGGTGTGTGTGTGTGTGGTGTGTGTGTGTGTGGTGTGTGTGTGTGTGGTGTGTGTGTGTGTGGTGTGTGTGTGTGTGGTGTGTGTGTGTGTGGTGTGTGGTGTGTGGTGTGTGGTGTGTGGTGTGTGGTGTGTGGTGTGTGGTGTGTGTGTGTGGTGTGTGTGTGTGGTGTGTGTGTGTGGTGTGTGTGTGTGGTGTGTGTGTGTGGTGTGTGTGTGTGTGTGTGTGTGTGTGTGTGGTGTGTGTGGTGTGTGTGGTGTGTGTGGTGTGTGTGGTGTGTGTGGTGTGTGTGGTGTGTGTGGTGTGTGTGGTGTGTGTGGTGTGTGTGGTGTGTGTGGTGTGTGTGGTGGTGTGTGTGTGTGTGTGGTGTGTGTGTGTGTGTGTGTGTGTGTGTGTGTGTGTGTGTGTGTGTGTGTGTGTGTGTGTGTGTGTGTGTGTGTGTGTGTGTGTGTGTGTGTGTGTGTGTGTGTGTGTGTGTGTGTGTGTGTGTGGTGTGTGTGGTGTGTGTGGTGTGTGTGGTGTGTGTGGTGTGTGTGGTGTGTGTGGTGTGTGTGGTGTGTGTGGTGTGTGTGGTGTGTGTGGTGTGTGTGGTGTGTGTGGTGTGTGTGGTGTGTGTGGTGTGTGTGGTGTGTGTGGTGTGTGTGGTGTGTGTGGTGTGTGTGGTGTGTGTGGTGTGTGTGGTGTGTGTGGTGTGTGTGGTGTGTGTGGTGTGTGTGGTGTGTGTGGTGTGTGGTGTGTGTGGTGTGTGTGGTGTGTGTGGTGTGTGTGGTGTGTGTGGTGTGTGTGGTGTGTGTGGTGTGTGTGGTGTGTGTGGTGTGTGTGGTGTGTGTGGTGTGTGTGGTGTGTGTGGTGTGTGTGGTGTGTGTGGTGTGTGTGGTGTGTGTGGTGTGTGTGGTGTGTGTGGTGTGTGTGGTGTGTGTGGTGTGTGTGGTGTGTGTGGTGTGTGTGGTGTGTGTGGTGTGTGTGGTGTGTGTGGTGTGTGTGGTGTGTGTGGTGTGTGTGGTGTGTGTGGTGTGTGTGGTGTGTGTGGTGTGTGTGGTGTGTGTGGTGTGTGTGGTGTGTGTGGTGTGTGTGGTGTGTGTGGTGTGTGTGGTGTGTGTGGTGTGTGTGGTGTGTGTGGTGTGTGTGGTGTGTGTGGTGTGTGTGGTGTGTGTGGTGTGTGTGGTGTGTGTGGTGTGTGTGGTGTGTGTGGTGTGTGTGGTGTGTGTGGTGTGTGTGGTGTGTGTGGTGTGTGTGGTGTGTGTGGTGTGTGTGGTGTGTGTGGTGTGTGTGGTGTGTGTGGTGTGTGTGGTGTGTGTGGTGTGTGTGGTGTGTGTGGTGTGTGTGGTGTGTGTGGTGTGTGTGGTGTGTGTGGTGTGTGTGGTGTGTGTGGTGTGTGTGGTGTGTGTGGTGTGTGGTGTGTGTGGTGTGTGGTGTGTGTGGTGTGTGTGGTGTGTGTGGTGTGTGTGGTGTGTGTGGTGTGTGTGGTGTGTGTGGTGTGTGTGGTGTGTGTGGTGTGTGTGGTGTGTGTGGTGTGTGTGGTGTGTGTGGTGTGTGTGGTGTGTGTGGTGTGTGTGGTGTGTGTGGTGTGTGTGGTGTGTGTGGTGTGTGTGGTGTGTGTGGTGTGTGTGGTGTGTGTGGTGTGTGTGGTGTGTGTGGTGTGTGTGGTGTGTGTGGTGTGTGTGGTGTGTGTGGTGTGTGTGGTGTGTGTGGTGTGTGTGGTGTGTGTGGTGTGTGTGGTGTGTGTGGTGTGTGTGGTGTGTGTGGTGTGTGTGGTGTGTGTGGTGTGTGTGGTGTGTGTGGTGTGTGTGGTGTGTGTGGTGTGTGTGGTGTGTGTGGTGTGTGTGGTGTGTGTGGTGTGTGTGGTGTGTGTGGTGTGTGTGGTGTGTGTGGTGTGTGTGTGTGTGTGTGTGTGTGTGTGTGTGTGTGTGTGTGTGTGTGTGTGTGTGTGTGTGTGTGTGTGTGTGTGTGTGTGTGTGTGTGTGTGTGTGTGTGTGTGTGTGTGTGTGTGTGTGTGTGTGTGTGTGTGTGTGTGTGTGTGTGTGTGTGTGTGTGTGTGTGTGTGTGTGTGTGTGTGTGTGTGTGTGTGTGTGTGTGTGTGTGTGTGTGTGTGTGTGTGTGTGTGTGTGTGTGTGTGTGTGTGTGTGTGTGTGTGTGTGTGTGTGTGTGTGTGTGTGTGTGTGTGTGTGTGTGTGTGTGTGTGTGTGTCTATGTCTATGTCGAACATAGAATTGTTTCATTTGTTTGTGAAAAAAACTAATTATTTGTTACTAAATATAACTTAAATTTAGGTTTAAGTAATACAAAGCGCGAAAGAAAATAAAACAAAACATCAAATGAAATTTTATTGTTTGTGCAGGTGCTTAATCTAAAAAAAAACTTAAGTTCCTTGTACTTTGTATAAGAAAAATTTATTTTAATTTTATAAGAATTATATAAGATTATATTTCATTAATTATATTATGCATATGTTACATTGGCATTTCACAATGAGCTGGACTAAATGAGATTTCTAAATCAACTATTTTATTTAGTTCAGTTTCGCTATCTACTTCAGACCAGTCGGATTCAGACTCCAAAGAAGACTGTAATGAACCGGATGAACATTCCGCTACATTTAAATTTTGTCTCATATAAACAATTTTTTGTACCCTTTCATTTGTTAATCGATTTCTTTTATTTGTACGGACATTTCCATACGTTGATAAGCTTCGTTATGTGGCAGCAGTTGATGGTGGGCAGTTTAATACTTCTACAGCTACTTTGCTTAACTTTGTTGTTGAACAAATCGATTTCCACCAAGTCACTACTGACAGTTTTCCATTTTTTAGACTGGTCCATACAAAGCAAATAGGGCTTCTTTAGATCTACAAATGGCAATACTTTTCTGCAAGTAAATGCCAGCTAGCTGTCATGTTTCTTTCATTGTCTGTTGTAATTAACATAATTTTTTCTAAGCCTATTTCATCAATTACTTCGGTTATAATGTTGCACATGAAAGTTGCTTCATGACGAGCTGTTTTCGTATCTACTATTTTATATAACACAGGCTCTGGTGTGGTAAGAATAGGATTACCATATTATAAAATACAATTTCCTGACATTCCTAATGAATATTCCGGACAAAATAATAAAACTTCAACTTGAAATAATTACTATATGTTTTATTTAAAAAAGTACCTACATACCATCAAAAACTAAGATCAAACAGTTCCTCAATTAAAAAATCTTGAAATTACCGTAAGGAGGACATTAACTATAGATTCATTGCAAATATTAGACCAACCATCAATTTGAATCCCTACAGTCTTAGCAGTATGAATTTTTTAGTTCACAGACTTTTTTACAGGATCATATTCACTGTTTAGTAATTTATTTGATAACTGATGTCTTGAGGGAAGTTTTAATGAAGAGCAATTATCCAGTGCTTATTTTCACCAAATGTCGGTGTCCCTTTCGCAAAATATGGTAAATTATAAACAAAATGCCGTACATAATGGTAAATAACGGTAAATAATGTAAATTTTTTACCACAAAAATCGGTAATTTACTTTGTAAATTACGAGTAAATTACTGTAATTTATTTCTGGTTAATTACGGTAAATTACCACGGTAATTTATAGGTAATTTACCAGTTCACATCTCTGTTTATAGTCCATAAATGCATGCGATTGTCCGGTTACGCCGATAACAATTTAAAATTACTTATTCTATGAAACGACACTGGCAGGTAAACATTACTGCGAAATTCTCGAAGACGTCCGATATGTTTTGACGTTTACCTCCTCTCTACCTAACAAAAGCCTTTCCAACTTCTGCCCCTGCTATATAAATAAATAATATACATATCGTGGGCTTACTGTGAAAAGTGGCTAAGTCAAATTTTATGCCATTTCAGTTAATGTGACCAAGTCACTTGTTAAAATCAGATTAACAAACAAAATTTATATTACAACCAAAAGTGTTTAAATCGACCCTTTTCTGACCAATTTTCTTAACTTTGTCAGCTTTCGCAGTAAGCCCACGATATATCAAATGTCATCAAAATATTCACTTCCAATAAATATGAACACCTGTGATAAAAACGTACATATTTTTAACCGAAAATAAAAACTGAATACGCCTCTGTGCAAGCCCGAGTCTGCAGTAACAAATTATTATTTAAAACGCATTAACACACTTGTAACCAATTACAAACAGAAGAATCTTGATGCAAACCTTGGAAGTGCAAACAATAATTACACCTAGTGGGAGGGGTTTCTGAGAGGTATGGGAAGAGTTACATCAACAAGGTGAAATATTTCAGTTAATATTGTTTTTATTAAAAACAAAAACAAACAGCTAATAGCGATCAGCGCCAATACGATGGCGAAACCGATAACGCGAAGGCCCTCCATGGGGGTGGGGGTTCTGACCCCCCAAAAGACCTCTGTAGCTACGCCACATAATATAGAGCTACGCTGAACATAATAACCGGTCCGATATCAGACAAGGCGTGACTTTACAAGTTACGTCGCCGACTTCAGAGAAAGAAGCTTTGAAAAAATATTTAAAAAATTTTCATTCCTTTTTTCATCTGTCACTGCTCACTTCGGCAAGAACTAAAATAAAGTGTGAAAATAATTATTAGCCGAGATACACTAGATACACCAGAACTTCTAGACTCCAGAGATCATTATTTAAAATCCCAAAGAGAGGTAAATCAGTCACGAATCACTTTCTTTTACTCAATTTCAATGTAATCATAGTTGTCGATGTCTGGTCAGTCGATGTATCCAGGTGTACATGACGTAACTCAAGCTCTCTAGCCCAAAAATAGCATTTTAATGATATTATATAAGTGTAAAGATAAATCAATTCCAGTTCTAAGGAAAAATTGATAAATATTTCATTATAAACACTTGAAAATAAAAAAATTTAAAAAAAATTGGAGAAATAAAACTCACCTTATACAACTTAGAAGTCGGAATATTGTACTTTTTTGCGTTTTCGAACATGATAGTCAAATCGCCGGCTACCTCGCTCAAAGTACCATAGCCCTTTTTGACTAGCTTTCTCCTAATTTGACCGAGACATATGGGATTTTTGATTTCGCGATAATAATCCGGATAGAATCTCCTAGACGGTAACTTCCAAAATGGCTCCGACATACGCATGCCGTTGCTACCGGTCGCTGTTCGGACCATTTCAAACAGCTTCCAATGCGGATTGTTTAAGTCTACAGCGGCGCCAGACTGAAATTTTCGAAAAAAAAAAAAAAAAAGAAGGATAAAATAAATATTATTTTTAAAATTCTTAAAACCAAACTTACATCAGCATCGATATCAGCATCAGAATCGTGATTTTTCGCAGTCAGAGATCCGATGCTGCCACTCCTGATCTTCTTGTGCTTCAATTTGAACGCGCTGCTGATGGGCGACGGCGTCGAACTAATCCTATGATTTTTATAAAACTTCGGACTCACTCCGCGTCTATGTACACTGTTCCTATTTACACTAGAACTAAGCCGATCTCGAACCGAACTCAAAGAATGTTTGCTCGAATTAAATGTACTGTGTCGGTGCGAATTCGGCGTGGTATGACTTCGATTCAAGCTGGGCGATCGACTGTGTTTTATCGAATTCGACGAGTTGTGCCTGCTGTTGGAATTCAGGCTGGTTTTGCTGGAATTTAGGCTCGTTTTGCTGGCACTGAGGCTCGTTTTGCTGGGACTGAGGCTCGTTTTACTGGCATTGAGGCTCGCTTTGCTAGCGTTTAGGCTGGTTTTGGTTGCGCTGTTTTTCGTCGAATTTTGATTCACGTTGTTTCTCGGAGCCGGCGTCGCCATTATGGGCAAAGTGCCCCTGCGAGTGTCTATTTCGATTCTCTTCTCTTGAACGAACTGAAATTGTTTATTATTTAAGGAGAGGGCGAGGGCATAAAATACGATACAATGTTAGTTTAATCACCAACATTATTTAATTAAAAAAATATTTTTTAATTGAATTCCCAATACTTAATTGTAATATTAATAACCTAAAAAACAACCACAAGAAATCGAAGGAATACATAAAAAAATAGATTATTAATTGCTATATACCAAACCAAGCATGATAACAAGAAATCTCGCGAAAGAGAGAATATGCGTTTATTGTCTAAAATAAAATCTTGTTGACAAATGAATTATAATGAAATCACTTTTCATTAATATTTTTTTAACTAATTCTGGGTATAAATTTCAATTTTTACTTAATTTTAACTTACGTTGCGCGAGTTGCAATGGTGGGGCTTCTGTTGTTGGTAGGGCGATCGACGGCTGAACGAGGTCCGGCATTCAATTAAGAATTTAATTCCTAATACACCTATTTACCGAACAGCCGAAAATAGAAAAAATATTTAGAGACCGAAATCCAAGATTCAGATATTGCTCGCGAGAGATACAATTTTAAACGGATTTACATTTCTAGCCGCGATGTTGACGATAGGTAAATTGTTGTCATTGTTTTTTTTATAAATTGATATTTTCTTTAAGCCGTGCTATTGGAAACCGTTTTTTTTTTATTTTTTAATATTAATCGGTGTTGAGTTGAGAATTGAAACTTATTTTGAGTAGGAAATACTTTAATTTATTTCTTATTAGAATCCAAGTTAGTAAGAAACATTTAGAACTTTCCAAATAATAAAATTATTAGTTATGAGGCCGGAATTAAATTTTACTTTTACGTTTTTTTTTTAAATTTCATTTTAGTTTATTTAAAGCTTTAACCAATAAATAATTGGTCGGAACTGTTTGGGAATTGTCAAATATTTTGACTTGTTACCTTAATAGAATAGCGACGAGATATTTTCTTTTATTTTATACTCCGAACCGTAAATTTAAGCGAACTTAAATAGTACCATTCCCCTGTCTGAAACGGCTCGTGACTACGATCACTTCATTCAGGGATAATGTGCTATCCCGGTTGTTAGTTTGTTTTACTTTTCAAACACTTGTTTGAGTAAACTCCTTATAGAGTCCCGGTTTTGGTCCTGAAGGTAGTACTGTCGCAAACCTGTCTCCTCGCATTCTCTGCGACCGTATATTCAATTTTGCTTTGCCGAAACATTTAATTACATTTGATTGTAAATACCGATTAGACAATTTGACAGTTAATTTTTCCTACGACCGCAAATATTATTTTCCGTAGAAAAATAGTAAATTACATTTTAGTTTATTTAAAGATTAAAATGTAAAATAATTAATTTTTCATGCGATCGTGAATAGAATCTTATAGTTAATTTTTCCTACGACCGTAAATATTAATTTTCGTAGAAAAATAGTAAATTACATTTTTAGTTTGTTTAACGATTTAACAGTTAAATAGTTAATTTTTCCTGCGTCCGTAAAAATAGTCTGATAGTAAATTTTTCTACGACCGAAATAATATTTCCCCTGAACGAAATAGCAAGTTATATTTTTAGCTCAACAACCGAATAGACAGTTCAATAATGAACTTTTGCTGCGACCGTGATTACAATTGATTTCATTTTTTACGTCTGACTGAGGCTATTCGGAAGTCATTTCCGGCCGTTTTGTTTATTTTTGTTCAGGGTTTGTACCTATTACAGCGGGGGTGGGCGTTGAAATACCTTAATTTATTTCTTTTGATTTTGTAAATAGAAACAATATATGTATCAACGTTACCTTGTACCAGTCCAAGCAACGATTAAAGTCCGTTACTTGTGGCCTACCATTACTTGTGTCTAAGTGACCTTTGACCCCTGGAATTTTTCATATCCATCTGTAGCTACCCGAGTACTTTCGACGCCGCTTCGAGTTTGTGGATTAAACCACAATCAAAAATCTGGCGCCCGAGGGCCGCCCATAACCAGCGCTATTAGTAAGGGACAATTTTCTCAGAGGCGAGAAAACCCTTACAGAATATACAATAATACATTAGGAGTTAACGTTAATACACATATACAAATAAAATACAGACAAACAATACATAATAAAAATACAATTTTTCAGGTATCGCTTTGATTAAACAGATGTGAAAGAAATTATCAAGGTCATTGTTAAAACATTCTTTTGTCATAGTATGCTTTGCAAGCTAGTCGTTCCTGAAGTTTTTATCCGTTATTCTTAAAGGAGTACGTCAAAATTTACCCTCAACATTTCTGGGCTGTTTTTAATAAGGTCAAAAAATAAAACACAATTTACAGATTTTATTTTTTTTGTTAAACGCAACGTATGGAATCTTAGGAATGTTAGACGTTAGGAATGTTTGGAATGCGTAAAATTAGTCACATAAGAAATGCATGGAAGGATTTTAAGAAAATTAATATTAAATAGTTATGATGAACCGTAAATTCTGAAAATCAATAGGGCTCTAAGTTAGAAGCAATTATTCAAGAAAATCAAAACCGCAAGTCAATCAGAACTTTCGTTCTCGAGTTAACGTGCCGGCATACATACGCACAGACGACCAGACGATTTTTTTTGCATTTTCGGACTAAGAATGATTGGAAACGTGAAAAAAGTTAAAAAAAAATAGGGGTAAGAAAATGTTTTCGTCTGCACTGAGGCCCCATAGAAAGGGCCTCGTAATAACTAGGGCTGCCTTTATTTTCAAGGAATTAGTCGCGCTTAGTTATGGAAAAGGTGCTTCTGTTTTGTCGCAATTAACGCCAAATTAAAGAGAAGGCTGTCAGCTTTATTTGACACCAATTGCGACAAAATAGAAGCACGTTATTAGTTGCGATGGGTGCTTCTATTTTGTCGCAATTTACGTCAAATGAAAGCTGGTACCATCATCTTTAATAATAACTAGGGTTGCCTTTGTTTCCACTTACTACAAAAATGTTTATTATTATGACATCTATGTAAAACTAGAGAAAACCATGTAGACCGACAGATTTTATGAAACGTTATTCTCCCGTCTGTCATTAGCAGTGGTTATTTTTTGTATAAGTGAAATAACTGCTTGCTCAAATGTAAATTTTAAAATGTCATTCAAAGTGGAACAATATTTTTCCGTCTCTCATATATTGTAAAGGTAAATTTAAAAAAGTAGACAGAAGCTAAAACGCAGGTTAGTACAAAGTGTCATATTACTAATTTAAGAATTTCGTAAGTCAATGACTTCCCGTCTGCCAAATTAAATATATTTTACATTTAGGATTCGACATCAACAAATGAATCGCAGAAAAACTCGGTTCTTATAATTTTTAAAGTTGTATCAAATGTCTTAAATTATGTGTTACCAAGAGCTTAAGTATTTCAAACTGATACAAATCCTAATAAACAAAAATGCAAACAACGAATGTTTTTAGTCTGCCGTTTGTTTTAATAAAATTTAGTTCTTGGCTTCACATAGACATCAAAATACCCTCAAACCAAAAGAAGGCAACCCTAGTTACTGTTAAAAATTAGACTGTCAGCATTCATTTGACACCAATTGCGTCAAAATAGAAGCACCCTTCGCAAAACGCGCGATAAAACACGATACATCGCTTCTATTTTGACGTTATTAGTGTCAAATGAAAGTTGACAGCCTCATTTTTAACAATAACTAGTGTTGCCTTGATTGCACTCACTCCAAAAATGTAACAAGATTGTTCTTATTTTGAAGTAAAACTGCCAAAACCTTGGTTGGACTGGTTTTTAGCAATTAATAACCCATCATTTTTTCCAATTCGCCCTAAAATAATCCACCCCTTCGATTGTTTGCGGCCGTCTCCCAGTCTATATAGACTTCTTACCTTTCGCAACACCTTAGCTTGCTTATAAATATGAGATCCGGGTTCATTGTACAAACAGGCGTTCTTGCACATCAACAGCAAATCCTTCTCCAGCTCAAACAAGAATTTATACTTATTATTCTGAACCTTATTTGTGACGATTTTCAAATCGACGGGCTGCTCCACTACTTCGTAATAGTCCGGATACTTTTTCCTAGATGGCAGTAATTGAAAAGCCGGGTACAGTAACTTTTTGTGTTCGTCTTTGGCGCCCATTACGGCTGCCAATAGTTCTTCGAACGGACACGAATCGTCCGAGATATCCGAGGCGCTGTCGTCGCAATTCAAGCTGGTACGACTATCCGAGCTAACGACATTTCGTTCGGATCTGGCAAGGCTGCGTTCGTGCCTGGAGAGGCTGTTACGTTCCGATTTGCTTAGACCGCGATCGGACCTGGTGACGGTGCGCTCGTATTTGACAGGTGTGTGGTCGGATTTGAGCGGAGTTCGATCTGATTTCGGTAAGCTCCTTTTTACGGTCGAGTTCTTTTGGACCGATGTTTGCCTGTTGTTCGTAACCGATTTCTTGGACGGTGGTTCATCTTCTATATTTAACAATCTTAAAAAAAATGATCATTAATAATATTTATTTTAAGAAATAATATAAATTACAAAGTAACACTAATAACATTTATTACAAATAAATACATATTAATAATATTCAATATACAAGTTGGCCAAAAAGGGTATAAGAGCAAAGCCAGCGAGCCGACAGATTTTGATATTATGTTTGTAATCAATTCAATTTAATTCTTTATTAAGCCATTTAAACAGTTATAATGTTATTGGTATGAAGACTAGAGATAAGGAGACGAATCGGCATACTCAAAATACGGTCCCAAAAAACGCATGCTAATTGAACTTCTATAATTAATCGCATGGGCGCTGGTACTGCATACGTTGTTCAAAATACATGGCTTCTTATGGGAATTATACATAATTTTGTCAAAATAATAAAAATAAACTTGTTTACAGCTAAATAAAGCACAGAACATACTGTTGTGTTTATTTCTAAATAAGTCTTGCATGTTTTAATTGATAAATTATTTGAAAAGGTTTCTTAATTGCTGAAATTTGATATGTACAATTTTGTGGCAAATTTTTTTTGAATTGAACCAATATATAGTTTTAAGAGTAAAATAAAACACAGTTAACAGATTTTTTATTGTTGTAATACAAGTATAAAGGGAGATTAATTAAAACCACAAAATGGGCTTTACATAATCCAATTACTTACTACTACTAAAAATTCAGCACCAAAAACAACTTTTAAAAAGTAAAAATAAAAATTTGCTAAAAATATACAAATACAGTTATTGGAAAATTATCGAGTAATAAGTATTTTGCCTAGTTTCTCTAAGAGATTTGAAACATTTTTTTTGAAAAGTGTACAATTTTCAGAGTTAACCAACACTGTTATTTAAGCAAAAAATCACATCAAATCATAAATTAAATTGATGAAAAATATCTGACGTTTGGTTTGTTTATTGATCTGTCAAAGGCATATGACTGTCTTAACCACAACCGTCTATTAATTAAATTGGATCAATTTGGCTTAAGGGGAAATTATTTGAAATAAATAGAAATCCATGATTTAAAAAAAAAACAAATCAGGTATAATCACAATGAATGTAGGAATACCACAGGGAAGTATTGCTGGACCATTGCTATTATATAGGTACATGAAAATAACATTAACTCTTATCAATTTACAACTGTAATCGCAGATGACACTAACCTTCTGGCAGGTGGAGAAACATATCATGAAGCACTAAAGCACTGTAATGATGTTTTCAGTAATACTAAGGAATCGCTTGCAAAAAATAAAACCCGAAATAGGTAATTCAATGATGACGTTTCTTCCAAACTGACTGTTAACCCAAAATTTTTATCACTAATTATCTCTGAACACTTAAAATGGTCACAAAATATAAATGAAACTTCAAAGAAACTGAGTAAAATAACTTATAGGTTAAGAATAAATGTTACCAAGGATCTGAGCAAGGAAACCTCTAATTTTATTCAAATAACTATTGAAGAAACAACAAAACTAATTTACAAGTTCTATTCAATTCATTAATATTTCTAACAAAAAGTTAGTGGAAAGAATATATCAGTCTTAGATAGAAATTGTTATTAATTTCTTAGATCATCTTTTGATGACATGAGACATGTCACAAAAAATTATAAAAATGTTTTTTACAATAAGCATATTAAATACAAGTTATATGTAACAATAACAGCCTTATTTTAGGGGTCATTTATATTCCACCTGGGTCTGTTGAGAACATATACATTGAACATCTGAATACAATTACATATTTTGACATAGTTTAACTTTCCTATAATATAATTTTGTAATATTGTATCCATTACATAGAATTTTAGATTGTAAAATCTGTTATTTAAGGAAATGTAAGTCACACTGTTAAGTTTTTTCAGCCTCTTGTAAAATTTTGACTTAACAATGCAATAATATGTAGTGATTATAATTTACCAGAGGCAACTTGGTATAATAATTTGGGATTGAAGTCGTTTGTCCTGATAACTCAAAAACAAATTTTCTTTCAGTTATCTCAATTTACCTACATCAAATAAGTACTATTCCTAACAGTCGAGGGACATTTCTATATTTAATTTTTCATAGTTCTTATGATGTTACAGAATCTAAAGATTTAGATTTATTACTGAGTAATAGTGTTTCTCTTCAATTAAAATTGGAAAAAATTGTCTCTACTATGAAGAGTATTGTTTGAGATTTTAAAAATGGTAAGTACAATTGGTTTAATTGATTTTTTAGCTCATATAAACTGGGATACAATGTTCAATTCATGCAAGGTTGACATGGCTTCTGAAAATTTTTATAATTGTACCAAGCTTTATATTCCTATCAAAAGATTTAGAACATCCAACTATCCCTATTGGTTTTTTGGTGAACTCATATACTTAATTAATCAAAAAAAGACTTACATAAACTTTATAAAACTTTCGGAAACGTAATCCATAATCAACAATTTTTTGAACTTTAACCTATTTATATCCAAACTTGAAAATAACATACACTCTGAAGCCAAAAATTTCTGGAAACATTACAATAACAAAAGGTATAGTTACCATTTACCTACTACCATGCTTTATTGAGAACAGGCCAATTGTAATAATGAAATTGTTAATCTATTTGCTTCCTATTTTTCAAATGTCTATTGTCGTGTACACCCTAACCAAATACCAGTATACACTTATAAAAATAATTAGGTTGACGTTTCTAACTACCATATTGATATTAAGGATATTATTTATATTATGTCTAAACATTATAAGCTTTCCTATGGTCCTCTTGGTATTCCACTTTTTTTTTTTTTTTTTAAATGTACTTTTACACTAGCAAAACCTTTATTCTATCTATTCAATTTATCATTGTATTCGGGTGTATTTCCTGCTTTTCTGAAAGGAAAGCTTTCTTAAGAACAAAGAAGGCAGCAGAACACCTACGGAATTTTGAGTTGAAAGCTATGCCATATTTTTAGGCTATTTTTATACACTATTCAAAAATTTCATGCTCCTCGTTTTTTGCAAAAATCAAGGTACTCTGCTAGCTTCGAACGAAGTCACCAGAGCACTTCAATGTTCTAAAGTTTTTTTTTCTAAAAACAACCACACCATATTTTTAGGCTACTTTTATGCTCTTAAAATATTATAAAGCTTTTAGAAAAAAAATTGTATTTTTTTAAAAATATCGGTTGCTTTGCTAGCTTCAAACAATGCTAGCAGAGCATATCGGTTTTTTAAAGCCTTTTTCTAAAAACAACCACACATTTTTAAGCTATTTTTAGGCTCTTGAAAAATTATAAAACTTTACTAAAAAAATAGGATTTTTTTTTTTAAAATAGAGGGTGTTTTAATAGATTCGAATGAAGCCAGCAGAGCACCTTGGTTTTTTAAAACTTTTTCGAAAAATAACCACACCATTATGTAAGGCTATTTTTAGGCTCTTGAAATATTATAGGTAAAACTTTTCCAAAAAATTGCCATTGTGAAATAATAAACAACCACACCACCACATTTTTAGGCTTTGTTTGAACTGCTGGAAAGAGTACAAAGAAGTCACCAAAATACCACCAACCCTAAAAAACAATGAGTATTGCAACACCAAGAACATACAGTCTCAGCCCAGAACATAAACCAGTTTAAGGTGAGAGTGGATATAGAACTCAAAGAAAGAAAAAAATAATTTTATTCATTATAGTTTATAATGTATTGGGTTTTAACTGTCATGTAGTGATTTAGAATAATTTATAACAATCTATTATCTGATTCTGAACTGTTTGCAAAATAGCCAAAATCCAAAACAAGCCTTATAGGCACTATTATGATGCTTCTGTACTTCCGATTCTTCCCATTATGAGTTGATTTGTTTGTGTTATGTTTTAATAGTGTTTTTCAGAGAAGTTTTTGTTTTTAGCTGTGAATAAAATATACTTATTATATTGTTTAGTTAATGATTTATAGTTTGTAGAATACATTTATGTAATGTGTAGAATACATTTGTATATTCTTTACATTAACTGTTTGTGAATATGAAGTCCTGTACAGTCTGCAATAAATAATTTCGAAAAGAAGAAGTATTTTCATTTCACCTGTAAAAATAATAAAATTATAATAAATAAATCAGTTTTTGACAAAAAAAAATGGCATCTAGCTTTTATTAAAATAATTGTAAACCTGTAAAGTGTAAAACTCTTCCAATTAAACAATTTTAAATTTAATTTTAATACAAATAACAAATTATTGCTATTTTGTTTTCCCAATGAAACTAAGCCAATGGAAATTTTCTGTCTGTCTCTCATGCTCTATATATCTTAGCTCTGTGTATAAAACATTTCGATAAAATTTGATATTTTTGAAAAATATGGGGATACTCTGCTATATTTTTTTTTAAATAGCAATTTTTTTAATAAAGTTTTATATTTTAAGAGCCTAAAATTCGCCTAAAAAATGGTGTGGTTTTTTACATCTCAATACATCTTCACATTTAAAATATAAAAAATACATAAGTATAGAATCAACATATATTGAAAATACAATAAAAAATACATAAGATACAGTACACTTAGTCAACTATACAAAACATAATAAAAGAACAAGAAAGAAAAAAAATGTCAATAATATCATTTAATATCTTCAGGCAAATTATTAAAAGCCTGTACACCTTTAAAAAACACTACATTTTGTGTACATTTTTTCATGGTCTTATAAACTCTAAAAATTTTCTTATTTCGTATATTGATTATAACTTAAAATATTTTGTAAATATACTGGGGAGATTCCTGATTTAATCTTAAATATAAATAGCAGGGAATACAATAGTAAATATTTTTTAACAGGCAGCCACTGAAGCACATTCAACATGGAATTGATTGGTTCCAATCTCGAACAGCTCAGTATTATCCTATTACCTCTATTCTGCAACTTTTGCAATAGTTGCAAAAAATGAGTATACCATTTTTGAATAGAGTATAAAAATAAGCTAAAAATATGGCACAGGTTCAATTCAAAATTTCCTTATGTGCTCTGCTGCCTTCTTTGGCATGCTTTCTTAGGCCAATTTACAAATGTGACAGCAAGGACGATATTACAAATTACAGGCCTATTTGCATTCAAACAGGGATTCCTAAGTAACTAGATTGTATTATTTCAAATAAATTATCATTGGACACTAAAATTCTATTATCAATAGTGAGCAACATGGATTTATTTCTGGTAAATCTATAGCTACTTGGTGCTTTATAAAAACTTTATAATTGGTGCTTTTGAACAGCACTCTCAGGTTAATGCAATATATGAAAACTTAATTCCTTAGGAATAGTCAGCCTGATACTTTCATGGCTCGGCAGTTACCTTAAAGGACATACTCAGTATGTTCAAAATGCTGGCTCCATATCATCAGAGATACTAGCATCTTCAGGTGTACCACAAGGGTCTTTAGGCTCTTCTAATTATTTTACAATTATTGATGTAATAAAATGATTATATTGTTCATTTCAATAGTGAGATCTAATGTTGAATGGTAATTACATCTTAAGGAATCCCTATTGTCAAAAGGACATCGATATAATTGAAAGTGTTCAACATACAATTTTAAAATATGCTGCATTAAGATGGGTATTCCTGCAGGAAGTAACAATTGTTATTCCTGAATATTCTATAATTACCATAAAATATTTTATAATGAATTAAAAACTTACTTATTCCTGTTGGTAATAAACAAGTCCATCATTTCAACAGCATCTTTAAACTCTTGAGTATTTCTCTTATAGAAAGATTTAGCATTATTAACCATCAGTTCTATATCATTCTGTAAGTCTTCCACATCCTCATACTCATCCATTTTAAGTTTTTGTTGAACTTTGATAAGGTCAATTGGATTCGAAACGACATCATAATAAGCTGGTTCTTGTCTACGTTTTGGCACCCTAATAAAGGATTCACTGAGCAATGTACCATCCTCTTTTTTGTGATTCCTCAAGATTTCCAGTAATTGTTGACAAATTTCAATCTAAAAACACAGTAAAATTTAGAATGATGCCAAATGCAGACTTATTGTATACTAACAGGGTCAAATAGTTTTCTCCTTTTTTGAGTTGTTGGTCCACTGCTTGTAGATGCTTCAAAACTATCTAAAGAATCGTCCTCTGTATACCTAGGCAAAGAACCTGCCCGTCGTCGTTTACTCATGATTTGCCTAAAAAAGAAAACTAATGTTATGGTATATTTACCAATATTTAGGAAGTTTAACACTTCCAAACTAAACGAAAAAGTTTACCAAAAGCTTTAAAACCATACATAACAAACATTTTCATACAAATAATAACTGAAAAAGATGATTTATTAACACAAAAGGCATACCTACCGTTTTTTTGCTGTCCTATTCAAAGAGGTTACCTTTGCAACATTTGTAAAATATCTACTAGTGCTTTTTGTTTCAAACGATTCCGAATTTTCTAGGTATTAAAATAAGTATCAAACCAATTTTTTAGCATAATGAAAGACTATAAAATGCGAAAACACAAATTATATAAATAAGGCGCGACAAGCGACTCATCACTCAATTCGATATTTATACAATGGCGGCTAACGATGTTTAGATAGAGTGAAAACATCAGCGAGACAATGCGTTGAAAAGAGATGTTACTATTACAAATGCAAATGTAAACGCCATTTTGAATAGCTCCCACTGATTCAAAATTCCATTAGCTAAATCATTATGACTTTTAAAATATGGAATTTTAAAAATTGTTCTTAAATTAATTCGTCTTTATTAAATCTATAATGTTTATAAAGTAATAAAGTATTGAATCGACAAAATTAAAAATTTATAACTATCAAAATAAAAGTTTTAAAATAGTTTTGTATAAACAATCTTTGAAAATTTTGTTGAATAAAGATAGAAGATACAGTTCGAAACGGACCGAAATGAAATAAAAGATATCTATTCAAATTTAAAAGGATTTCAATTATGCAACTTTTAATTCACTTTCAACATACAGGTTGCATACATTTGACCTCATTTCAAGTATTGGGAAATTTACAGTAAGTTTGATTTAATTTATGAAATCGCTGTTGTTCTATACAGGATTTCTCGGAAATAAGTGCCAACATTTTTATTTGGGATGTCCCAAAATAAGAGTTGATAATATTCCCGTCTTCTAAAGAATTACTTTGTTAAAAATATTAGCATTTATGTATCGTTCAGTTCAGTGGCGTAGCCAGACATTTTATATGGGAGGGGTTTTGTGAGAACTATTAGGGGGAGGGTTTCCTTCAAGAAAATGATATATTTCAGATAGGACTGTTTTTATGAAAAAAATGTAAATGAAAATTAAGTATTTTTTATGAAACGATAAAAAAGGTGAACAAAAACAGTCAATAGCGATCAGCGCCACAAGGGTTCTGACCACCCCCTTCTCCCCGTGGCTACGCCACTCGTTCAGTTTCATTTTAAATTCAGAGCGGTAAAGTTGCTCTTGGCTTTTCGTTTTGTTAAAATACCAAAAGGTATGGTATTTCTAGGCCTAGGTACTGTCTAATTTTTTTTATAGTGTAGTGTTAGAGCCAGCGAATTAGGATATCGCCGCCACTGGGCCGACGATACCACGTCTACCCGTTTCAGTGTCCGGGACCAGGAGAGAGCGCCGAGAGCGGGGACTTGACCACAGACCTTTTATATGACTTGACGTTCGACCAGCCGAACGCTATGAAGTGATAGGCAATATGCCGTTAAAGACATTCTTTATTTTGTTCCTCAATTAATTACATTTCAAACATTGTTTACGAGATATTTAATAAAACGTTATAAAACCATGTTAACACGTGTTTTATGAAGTGGCTATACAGGGTGTTATAGTATACAGGATGCTAAATAAGTTAAAAACAATAATTTTGAAGTTAATTCTTTTAACTTCTAACAGTAGTGTAAACTCATGGGCCTCAGAGCCATGTATTTATACTTGGTTTAGCCAATATATATGCAACCAGTATATCGCCATAATGTAATTCGCCTTTGGCACCATTGACAAAAAATGCAACTTATTTGGCAATAAGCAGTTCCCTTGGCCTTGCTGTAATTCTGAGCATGGGCATGAAGTCGTTTTTGACCCTGCCTCGACGATCAGTAAACATTAATTTATTATTTCTTGCTTAATTAATTCAGATCTTTGATTTTCACAAAAATATGTTACATTCAGCATTGGTATCACATAGCTAATTTTAATCAGTTTTAAAATACAGATGTAGGCATATAATACCAGTTATGACATGCTTTATATTATGTAATGAGTGAATCTTTGCAAGATGAGCTATTTTTTTTTCAATTCACTTGTTTTACATATTTAGTGTGTTCCAGCAATTTTCAAGACTTTCATATTACCACCTGTCCGCAACATAACTTCAAAAAAAAATTAATTCTGGAACAATAATACATATTTTCTCAAAAGAGTAAAAATATAGTGAATATAACACGAAAATATTGCCTTATATCTTCAGAAATGAGTTTTAGTGAAATTAAATTAAAACAACAAAATAATTTATTTAATAAATCACCCAAGTCAAAATTTAAAATAAGTTTTACATAAATACAGAATTCAAATTCCTTTTATTGCATGCTGCACTCGTAAACAAACTTCCTAAAATGGAAATAAAATATTTTTAATGCAGTTTCTAACACATTATTGTTCAAGATTTTGATTTATTGTTCCCTATTTTCCTTACCTACAAATTGTTTTAGTGAATCATCATCGTTGGAGATCACTTTGCAGTCTTTGATTTCTACTATTTGGAAATCAAGACAACGAAATTTTTCATGAGTTTGATATAATTCTGTCAACGTGGATGGCGTGAAATATGGACGTCCTGAAAATGGATTTATAAAATCTGCCCAGTATCCTGCAGTTCTCAATTTATCACAAATCTTTTTGGCAGTAATCAAAAACTGAAACATAAAAATATTGAAGAATGAAACAGAAATATAATAAATTATAATTACAGTTTGAGCTAATCTTTCAGTTTCCAATTCTTTATTTGTCCTCATATCTTTAATATTTGGCTTTAGTGCAATAGTCACAACAGATAAAACACTATTGTCTTCCAATGGTCGATAAGGAAATAAATCTTTGACTGTCCCCCTCAACAATGTCGGACACTTTTGTACCTTTACAGTTATGTTACTATTCTGAGGATCATTGGCCTAAAAACTTTTTTTGTTAAGATTCTTATTGAGATTAACCTTGAAATGGAAATGAAAATTATCTTTTTACATATTGCTTACATGATCAATTTGTTCCATTATCAGCTCATGGTGAGATTTAACAGTGGTTTGGGTATCATACCAAGCAAGGCCAATATTCCCACGTAAAAATAAAGGAAATTCATTTGCAGTCAATATTTCAAAACTAGGATCTTTCCAAACTAAATTGCAGGCATCTAAAATAATAAATATTTTCGTTGCGTCATGTAAATTTCGTCAACAATAGTGTTTTTGAAATTTGTTTACCTTCTAAAGGGTGTTTTGGTTTGACATGTTTATAAGGACTCTCACTATCATTTCCTACTTTTCTTGAATAATTTCGAATAAAATTAGTCAAAGCACTACTATTTTTAGTCGAATTGTGCAAAAAACGGACATATCTACTTGACATTATAAATTTCAATAATTTTTATTTTGATTTTTGACTTTTGACAAGGCCGACTGGCCAAGTTCACGGTTCGTAGACAACACGGTGGCCTCTTCCGTCCGTTGCTAAGCAAGGGTGTGACGTCCCGGAATGAAAATTCGAGCTGACAGAAAATATTCTGCTGCGGTTCATACATTTGTTTTTTTTTTAAATCTAATATTTTATTAATATTTAGTGGTGTTTATATTTTTATTTTTGGACTATATACCTGTGTTGGAGTTTTTATAAAATCGGCAATTTGATTTTTTTAAGGACAAGCTACAAAACGGCATGGAAAAATCATGTAATGATTTCCATCAAATTTCGAATTAATAACTTTTTATTTGAATTATAAAGAGAAATATTTTTGTGTAGATGGTTTATTTAAAAAAAATTGAGTTAGGGTACAGCCTCCGAGCTGAATTCGGATCACACTTAGTTTATATCCCGAAATATTTTGAAATTTTGGCAAGCCTGAAGCGGGCCGTAGTTTTGCTGATAGCAAACAATTTTTACTTTTGTTAGAAGAAATAAAGAACAAAGGGACTGCGCCCAAACTGAAATTAAAGGCTACTGGTAAGATTTTAGAGCAATATTCTGCAAATTATCATTCACTATTATTAAATTAATTGCAGCTTTGTCCACTCTACATTTAAAAGCAAATGAGATAGTTTCGTACAAACATTAAAAACAACCGAAAGCAAAAAAGTTAAAGGGCTTTACTAAAGGAACATACATTTTTGAAAAAAGGGTTTGCTACAGGAAGTTTTTAGTAAAAAGTACATAGGTAGTTACAAATTATTTTAAATAAGAAAACAAAGGGCCTTTTGAAGTTGAGAAGAAATTTTTAAAGCATTCACGAGAAGATATTTGAGTAGAAGGCGCTATCTGTACCTTAGAAATATTCTTAAAGTATCCCTTGCTGAGGATTTCAACTTTAAAAAAGTGCGCTACTAAAATAAATCTAAGATATATGGTCTTTTGGATTATTGATTTAAATACTCGCAAGTATATGTAATGTTAAATCTCCTCTGTGTATTGTATGTAGGTATATAAACACAACAGATAAAACTGCTTTTCTCTAAATTCGTACATAGATTATTATAATAAAACTGGGTTGTTGTTTTATTGTTTTTTATTTTTAGTAAATTATACTTTCATACATCCTATAAAATATATTTTAAAATATACATTTTATGTTTTCTGAAGTCCAACGGGCCCTTGTTTTCTTCTATAAAATTATTTGTAACTACTTTTTACTAAAAACTAGCTGTAGCAAACCCTTTTTTAATAATGCAGTTTCTTTTATTAGTAAAGCCCTTTGACTTTTCTTGCTCTTCATGTGTTTATTGCTTGTAAGAAACCATCTCGTCTGCTTTCAAATGTAGGATTGACACAGCTGCAATTAATTTAATAATAATGAATTATATTTTCAGAATAATACTCTAAAATCTTACTATTTCTTCTAACGATTTCTGTGTGCCTAAAAATTAAAAATCGTTTGTCTACAGCTATGAATCTACAGCAACACCTACAGCTCGCTCCAGGCTTGCCAACATTTCAAAATATTTCAGGATATAAACAAAGTGAGATCCGAATTCAGCTCGAAGGCCGTACCCTAACTCAAAATGTTTAAAATAAACCATTCACACAATAATATTTCTCTTTTTATTTCAAATAATAAATATTTCGTTTAAAATTTGACGGAAATCATTACATGATTTTTCCTTGCTGTTTCGTAGCTCGTATTTCGGTTAGGACCGATTCCACCGTGGTGTTAAACAGAGATTGTTAGTAAAAATGTAATTTTAAACTTAGTTTAACACAACGGTGGAATCGGTCCTTATTAACGGACAACGATTTACACATGGGATGAGCAATCTATATGACCATATAACATTGGATTTTCATGACAAATGTCAAATTAAAGTCAATTTTTATCTAGAAATCGCCATATTTATTTCATTGTCAGTGTTATATAAATCTTTCAAAAATAAGAAAAGTAAGTTTTCCAAAATTTATAAGTGAAGAAGCAGAATAGTAAATTTTCGTGATTTTAGATAATAAATCAGCAAAATGCAGGGAATGTCGATTAAATCGTTGACTAAACACAAGGCATTGATCCCTCTCTATTTTTGTGTTGCATTGGGTTGTGCTGGAGCAGCTTTTTACACGGCAAGATTAGCTTTTAGAAACCCCGACGTCCAGTGGAATAGATCAGGGGATATTTCCAACGAAGAATTCAGACAAAAACAATACAAATTCTACTCTCCTAATGTAGATTATTCCAAAATGGAAAGCCCTGCTCCCAAATATTAGATTATTTTATGAAATAGTAACTAGTAGTTAGCCCATGTACAATAAATTAATAATTATAAGCTATTAATAAATGAAACGAAGGTATATTAGTTGTTTTATTGAAATTATTCTTATATAAAAATACGTGACAGCTCATCTCACGTTATGTCATAAATGTCAAATTTTTTATTGAAGGTTAGGTGGGTTATTTTCAAGGAAGAGGTTATTTTCAAGGAAGAGGTTATTTTCAGGTAAAAGTGGTGTTTCATATTTCATGAAAAATGTATTTGTGAACCTTAAACGTATCTACGGAAGTTTTAATTCAATTGGTAAGTACAAGTATTTTATTTTAATTTTTTGAACCCTAACATATACGAGGTGCTATCCATAAATTCCGAAAACTGGCTCGGATGGGGAACAGTGAGCCACAATATATCCCACTCGGGGAACGCCGCGCCTAAATTCAAAATTTAAGTAATATTTTTATTGGTCCATTCCTTATGAAAACCAAATTTTTGTCGTTTGGTTCATAAGTATTAAACACCTGCGTAGAACATTCAAATTCTTGAAAATTTTGGATAGCATTTCATTTATTTATATTGAAAATAGAACAGGTAAAATTGTTGATCTCTAAAATTATAGACAAAATAGCAAACAAGTGAAGAGAAGTATTAAAAAATTTGGTAAAAACCACGTAAACAAACATTTTTTTCTGCTATAAGTAAATTACTTATTAGATGTACAAAAAGCAAAGTGTAATTTTGAATATTTGTGAGTGTTATTTTATTATTAAAAGTAATAAATCCTAAGTACAAACAAAAGATTTATTGCAGTCAGGTCCAAATAAATTACTCACATCAGTGGCGTGACAAATAATATTCAAACGGAGCGCAAATGTTTTTGATAAATATTTTTCGTCACATCTCTTTGAAAAAACCCTGTTTACATAAGGTTTTTGGGAACAGAAATAGGCGTTATTAAGACAAAATAACTAATTTTAAAATAATTTATGACTTTTAATAATTTTTAAAATAAAATAAACGCTAAAAAAATGTATTTAAAAGTCTTCAGCCAAGGCTCGATTCGAACTTGGGTTTCTTGCGTGGAAGTCAGTACTCTCACCACCCATCCACCGGCATAACTGGGAAATTTTTTCAATACAAGTGACTTCATAGAGTTTTATTAAAATTAACAAATTATTTATAATTATAGTACAAATAAAAACAGAAATGTTATTATTTATCGATTCTACACAAAAAAAGTTATTTTAATGTATATTTAAGTTCAATAACTAAAAAATATACTGACAATTAGTTTGACAGAGTTGTCACTTATTTAAAATTTTAAAAATAATAGTTGTCGGATTACCAGAATATGAACTGTGATTGGTGGATTTCATTTTTTTTGCAGTGTTCTCACTACATAGAATGGATATAAAATATATTCGTTCAGTTAATGGCAATAGTATACTTTTTCGTTTTGTAGTCTGTGCGTAGATAAGCTAATATACATGTGGATGTAGAAAATAGTAGTTTGTGTAACAAGAGGGGATATGGCCATCATATCCACTCGAGTTGTATAGTATATTTTTTCTATGACGCACTAACGATAATTTACAAACAAAATATTTTAGGTTATTAAGACAAAATAACTAATTTTAAAATAATTTATGACTTTTAATAATTTTTAAAATGAAATAAACGAATAAAAAAATGTATTTAAAAGTCTTCAGCCAAGGCTCGAACTTGAGTTCTCGCGTGGAAGTCAGATACTCTCACCACCCCACCGGCATATTCGGGAAATTATTGTAATACTCATAATTGAAGTGACTTCATAGAGTTTTATTAAAATTAACAAATTATTTATAATTATAATATAAATAAAAATAGAAATGCTGTCATTTTAACGTATATTTAAGTTCAATAACTAAAAATTATACTGACAATTAGTTTAACAGAATTGTCACTTATTTAAAATTTTAAAATAGTCGTCGGGTGACCAAAATATGAACTATGATTGGAGGATTTCATTTTTTTAAAATTGGCATGTTGTGTTTTGTAGTTAGGTACTATGGAGGGTAGAGAAAAGGAGGACAATCTCATATGGATCTTTATATTAAAAAGTGGCCACCAAAATGTATACAATTAAGATGGCGCTCGTGTAGCCAGGGGACAAAATCCAATGCTATATAGTCATATAGATTGCTCATTCATAATTAAATCAGACAGGAAGCAGTAAATTGAGACCTCCGTGCCATTTTAATATAAGAATTATTTATTGTTTATATTATTATTTTTCAATAAACTTTGACTATTGTCGTGTATTGTCAAAATTTATCTACGATCACAGGACACTTACTCTTCTACGATCAGTCACTTTTCACGGTGTAGTTTTTAGTTTTTTATGGTTGAGCAATATTTATTACTATATACATCATTGGTGTCATTGTGTGATCTGAATTATCGACTGTCGACGTCCCCTGTATACATTTTGAGGGACACTTTTTGTATACAGAGATTGTTCTCCTTTCCTCTACCCTCCATATTAGGTACCTACATGGAAAGGGGAGGGAGTGGTGGGAGCTGTCGTTTAACCTGTCAAATTCAAAATAATGTTTCACATCGATGGAGTTTTTCGTTTTAGCTGACAATGAAATAATTAATTCTAGACGTCTATAACAATAAAAAAACCCTCTGCAAGAATTTTTATCGTCGAGTTTTGCTACTTTTGGTGTAAGTTCAGATCCATGAACTAGACACTTCAAGCTTCAAATTGCTTTTTTTTTCATTCACGTACGACCATTTTTACCAAAGATACAGCCACTCGAAAAATCGCAAAAAAATCGAGATTTTTTTTTATCCCTTAATTTTTTCCACTAGTGTATGTAAAGATCGCTTTGATTTCTACTATTCCTAAATTGAATAAGTCTATTCTGATTTGTGAGGTATTTTCTACGTATAAAAATTATATTTCTTCTATATATAAAGATCTGTCTAGGCAGGCGTGCGATAGTGTCTGTCACAAGTTGCTAGCTCTGGAACAATCTTAAATTGGCATCCCTGATGGATCTACAGTAGATCACTCGGGTGTTTTGGTTTATAATTCAGTATCTTGTGAAATATCAGTGTTCCTCAAGGTTCCCACATTGGTCCCGTTCTATTTTTATTTTTATAAACGTCGTAACAAATTCTTAAACAGTCGCTATCTTTTGTTTGCAGACTACAATAAGTTTTAACCCGAGTTCGACATTTTCAATACAAGCTTACCAGCCCTTAGAACTTTCAAATTCGGCTGCGAGTGTCTTTGTTCTTATTTTTTTTGTATTTGTAATGTATTTTTTGTTTGTATTTTTACTAAATTCTTAATTTTACTTTAGTTTAATAAGCTTAGGAAATAAATAAATAGATCAGATATTAATTTTGATCGGTCACAGACTCTTTGTTGAAACAAATAATATTACGAATCAAAAATGAATAATCCGCATCGTGTGTCCGAAAAAAATTCAACATAATATTTCATCTAAAAAAAAACACGAAACACCACTGCTAAGAAATAGCGATCTGGCTATCCGCCAAACATATGTCTGTCCCAAAAATAGCTTTTGATTTTGATACACTTCGGAATCAGACCGACTGTTTACTACAGCGACTGTAGTTTCTTGTTCATCACAATGGACACATATTACCGTAACGGTAGCTCCAGAAGCAGAGCCTCATCCTCGTTAAGCGACAATGATCCTCGAGCAAAAATCAAAGACTGTTGCAGAAAAGTGGTGGCCTTCATGTTTACGCAAGTTGGTTTGGGGGCTCTGGTGTTCGGCTATACCCTAATCGGAGCAGTGAGTTTCATGAATCTGGAAAAGAAAGGTAACAATACCGAACCAGATGAAATCCAGTTTCACAGGAAAAAATACATGGTGCAGCTGTACAAGGTGGCGTTGAAAAACAACATTTTCGACGAGAAAAACTTTTCTATCGACACCGATAGGGTGCTGAAAAACTACCAGGATAAAGTCGTTGAGATTTTTAAACATGGTTACAGCGAATATTCCACGAGTGACATATGGACATTTCCAGCAGCTTTGATGTTTTCTTTGAGCGTCATTACTATGATTGGTTACGGAAATCTCGTGCCAAAGACGAATTATGGGAAGTTGGTCGCCGTTATTTACGCTTTGTTTGGTATTCCCCTGTATATTTTGTTCTTTTTGAACGTCGGTGATGCTTTGGCTGGTGTTTTCAGGTATGTACAAAAGAGGTTTCTTAAAAACACGGCGACAGTAATTTTTTATTTCAACTAATTATCCTCTCCCTTCGCTAATACAATCCTAAACTACTAAGTATTAAATTAAGAACTACGACGACATATTCGTGCCATAAAAAGAAAATATTTTAAAAAGTAAAAGTTTTAAGAAAAAATGCTAAAATTTTGGGAAAATAAAGTCAAAATTTTGAGAAAAAGTCAACAATTTTAGAAAGAAAATCCAAAAAATGATCTGTCCCGTAACCTCGGTGAGTGTTTTGTGGTCGACTGTCAAACGAACTCTTAGAATTTATTTATATATGTATGCTGAATGTTCATTGATATTAAATCAAACCAAATAAAAGACAATTTGAAAGAATGTTTAAAAATACGAAATATTTTAAGTTATAATCGCCATATTGTTTTTTTTAAACGGCACATAGAAAAAAAAATATTGGTAGTACAAATTAGTACAAATTCAGTCCTTTTCAATTCTACCATAATTTTTTTTTAATCTAGTCTTTCTAGCTTAATATTAAGCTATCAGCACCACGTTCGTTTATGAAAACAACTCACATATTCTTTATTTATTGATAGTTATCGAAATAATAAAGTTATGACGTAGCGGTGTTCTTATTGTAATCGGATTCTACAGAGCGAGTTTTAAGTATGGAACGCCTCAATTATCTCGGAAACGGCTTGCACGATTTTTATAATACTTTAGTACAGAGATAAGGGAGATAAAGATAGGAAACGCTCATAAGAAGCCAATGCTTAACAACGACCAGCTTTAACGCAGTTAACATCTGACCCACTATGTGGAGAGGTTTTTGTAATATTGTAGTCATGATCTTTTAAATTAGGTGGTTTTCGTCTTTTCCTAATACCGAACAAGTATGAAGGGAGATTCGAGAATATACATGGTATTGCTTCGTTCTTTAATCTCGGCCTTTCCCTTTTTATTTTTTTAACAGTACCATTAGTTAAAATAGTCTCATCAAATTTTAAAATATCATCTTCTAAAAAGTGTAGCTCGCAAACAGAATCATAACTAGACAGTACTTTATCAGCCCTGGAATCACATGCTGCCATTGTTCTAAACGTTTAGGATCCTATAAAAAATATTTGCAATGACTAAATTGGAGTTCAATAAAGAAAAATAACAGTAGTAACTCTTCATCTAACATCAATTACAATAAATATATATTATTTAGAAATAAATACATTATTTTACTTACACTAGGAGCTTTAAAAAGACTTGGATTTTTATCTCCTTGTGATTTCTTTAATTTTATATCGGATTTATATCCCGTTTTGCAACCCGAAACGAAGCAAATCCTGCTTTGTCGTTTTTTGTTATTCATTGTTACTTGTAGTCAGGTTCTTTATTTCAGCTTATTTTTATTCTTTTCACTAAATTTTACAAAAATCACTTTAATTCCCATTGACTTGCATAGGAAATAGACGTTATTTTGCCACCCGCCAACTACAGTAGTTTTTTGGAACTCCATAAAAATAGGGACGGAAATTTGAAATTTGACTAAAGCCGATTCGCCTCCTTATCTCTAGTCTTAATATTTATAACAACCATTTTCTATTTCACTTTGTTATTGTCTGATCCACCAGCTTGTGGATTGAACAATAACCATGTGAAACAGAAAATGGCTATTATAAATACTCCTGAGTTCTATTGATACAATATGCACATTGGCTTTCTACCCCACTCCAGTTCATTGGGACTATGGGGGTTATGATTGACAACCTGTGTTATTTTTAACAGGTCTGTTATTTTATAAACACATAGAAAATTTCACGGCATAAGAAAAGCTTGCATGCAAAATTTCAATCACTTTCAAGTGACAGTCATTGATTACTTTAAATGTCTTAATTTAAAGTTTCGTGAATTTTCTTTTTTTTTTCTTCGTTGTAAACATTTTTATAAATAGATAAATAAATTATCATGCCGAAGTTTTTTTTATTTTTTCATTCCATTTAAGTTATATTATTCTATACATGTACCTATTATACGATTTTTTTTTTTCGAAATACCATTTTTCTTCTCTACTTGTACGATCTCCCAAAAAAATATTTGACAAAACTGGTCTGTCTACAAACGACATTTACCTTTAGTTAACATCTGAGATGCATATATGACCCCATTGTTGCTGCGGTCGTTGCGTTTCCTATCTTTATATCCCTAATATCTGCTTTGGTATGTAAAGGTTTTTATAATACGGTAGTTGTGTGATGTCATTTTGGTTCCACTGACATTTAATTCTAAGCAAACCTTTAACAAAAACATCAATAAATTTGACATATACGTTTTTACTGTTTTTAGTTTATTTCTAAATATTGTTTACAGGTCATAAAAAATAGTTTAAAGGTATGTATTTGGTAACTAAACGATTGTATATTTGATGCATGTTATCTACTTACTTTAGGAATATATTTATAAAAGTGAAAAAACGATATAATTTAAGTAAATAAAACGAACAAAACGCACTCAAAAAAGCTACTGTCACTTTAATTGTCAGTGGAACCATAATTACATCATCACTAAACTAGCGTAATTTACATTGTTGTCAGATCTTTCGGTTGTTTGGAAATATCCGATATCTTTGGTCGTCCTTCCTACTGGCAGCTATTGTTTGACAGAGATAATTAGAATGTCTAATAGTTATTCGTCTCGTAGGTTGTCTCTGATCACAAGTTATTTTTTAACTATGTAGAGACTTCATATTTTTAACTGTTCTAGATAATAGTTTTCTGATTAACTCTTTAGCATAGGCCATTTCCTCAGGGTTTACTTTCTCTTTATATGCAGAACAAACTTAGAACAAACTTTGAACAAACCCTAGAAATTCAATTTCAATTCATATTAGAACTAGTTTTGTTGAGTTCGGGATGTGGACTCCTTTTTCTTTTTTTTTACTCCATATCTATACTTCATATTACTGAATTACAATGATTTAGCATGAACTGTAGTTAGTTATGGAGTGAAAAGAGTAAAGGGAGTGAACCTCCCGAACTCAACGTTTTTATGATTTGTAGAGCTTCTGTAAACTTACCTTTAGATCTGCAAATGATTTTTCTAAAAATCATGTCATTTATTGTTAATAAAATGCATAAATGAATTATCATAAATCTAAACAGAAATAAAATAAGTATACATGTATGTAACTACTCGTAATTACATAAATTTGGTTGTTTATATTATAATCTCTGTACGTATGAATATTTGTTATTCTGTGAAAACTCCAGATCCCAATAAATTTGTCGGAACTCGTATTATCGGAGGATACGAATGTTCTCTTCGTAAAACCGAAGTAAATACTCAATTTGTGGTAGCTCTAACCAATTATTGGGGACAGCATTTATGCGGAGGCAGTTTGCTGAGTCCAAAGTGGGTTTTAACAGCTGCCCATTGCTTTGATAGAACTTGGACTGTATATGTCACTGATGCATTCACAAGAAGGTCATGCGTTAAGAGTAATGGTAGATTGATTTGGAGCTGTGCAGTTCATGATATACGCGATGTATACATACATCCAGAATATAGTAGCCGCTCTTTAAGAAATGATATAGCATTGTTACGTTTGAATACACTCATGTATGCTACAGAAAATATTGGGTACGTGAAACTTCCCGAGGAATATATCGATGGGGATGTTTCAGATAAATGTGACGATGGTAGAATCATTGGCTGGGGAGTAACAAATGTGCAAAGCAAAAGGATTCCATTAAATTTAATGTGTGTAGATTTGAGAATCATGTCATACGCGGATTGTCGAAAGTATCATAAAATGAAACGTACATTCATATGCACCGAACCAAGTTTCTTAAAAGATTCTTGTTATGGAGATTCCGGGGGTCCCTTGACGTGCGGTAATATTTTATATGGTATAACATCTTGGGGCCGAGATTGTGCATCCGGTTTTCCAGGATTTTACACAAAAGTAGATTATTACTTAGATTTCATTGATTATACAATGAAAAATAATGCGTTACAAGTATTTGGTGTACGTTTTTTAATATATATTGTAAGTTTGTTATTTTACTACTATAATTTATAATATTTAGAAAGTTAATATATTTTCACAAGATATTTTTCTGTTCACTTTGTTTTATCTGATAGTGTTACCATAGCTTGATAACGGCGTGGGAATGGAACTATAACCGTAAAAGATTTTTCTACCAGGTTGTCGTTTTTTGTGTTTCCATTAACAGTTCTATCAAAATTGTCATCATGGAGGAAAAAAATAAAATAATGAGTAAAATATGAAATGACAGGTTACCCGCTGAAAAGTATTTTACTGCGCATGACAGGTGGCATGACACAACAGTCCTCATCTTAGAGCATTCTAAGGCAGTGCCGACTAGAGGGCGGGGGGGCAGCCGGGACTAATTCCCGGGGCCCGGGCTCAAATTGGGGCCCGGCAACGGCATAAGGGGGCCCGGCAGTGGTGGTGAGAACTTCTGTGTTACTTTCAGAAGTTCGACACAAGAAGGAGGAAGTTCTTGATTGAAGCCCTTTTTTTATATATAAATTCAAGTAGAGGAGGAGAAATTTTTGCTTGAAGACCTTTTTAGAGATATTCAAGTAGAGGAGGAGAAATTTTTGCTTGAAGACCTTTTTTAGAGAAATTTAAGTAAAGGAGGAAAAATTTTTGCTTGAAGACATTTTTTTTTTTTAAGAAATTAAGGAGCAGAGGAGAAGAAATTTTTCTTTGAAGACTTTTTTTTAAATCTTTTATAAAATTGTCGCGGGGCCCGATCTGAAAAATTGTCCTGGGGCCCGGCCTGGCTCTCGGCGGCCCTGTTTTAAGGTCCTCATCAGAGATAAGGGAGATAAAGATAGGAAACGCTCATAAGAAGCCAATGCTTAACAACGACCAGCTTTAAAGCAGTTAACATCTGACCCACTATGTGGCGCTTTCATCGATATCAAAGAACGCAGCGGGAAATTTTAAAACCTGATAATAAAGGTTGTATAAATATCGACTGCACTCTTCATGTTCTTGTAAATAAATTTAAACAATGTAGTTACGCTAAATTATTTATTAAAAAGAATACTACACTTACAGTCTATTATCGATTAATTATTGTAAATCTATTCATGACAAATATTTTTTAATTTTTGATCGTTATTTGTAACATTACATTTTTGTTCTTATTTTTCAAACGAATGGCCAATGGTGTCTTATTTAAAAATGTTGAGTGCAAACTCAATAATGGAAATTCAAATATTTTTCTTCCTATATCAAATCTTTCTAACGTTTTGAAGCCATTTTCTTGTTTTAAAACAATTAATAATAAATAAATACCTACTTTCTGACAAATAAATATCTGAAATAAAATTATGAAAAGGCCGAACATATAGTGGTTAGGGCTCGTATTATTTTTAAAATTTGAAATAAGTGACATTTCTGTCAAACTAATTGTCAGTATATTTTTTTAAATTTTATTCAAACTATATGAAACTAAGTTAAATACGAGTATTAAAACAATAATACCAAATCTGACGGTGGAGGTCAGGAGACGGTGTCTGTCTTCGACACGGAAGACTCGAGTTCGAATCTCGGTGGCGACTAATAATTTTTTATTTTTTTGATATTCATTTTATAAATTAGTAAAAGTCATAAATAATTTTAAAATTAGTTATTTTGTCTTAATAACCTAAAATAATTTTTAAATTTTGTAGATTTTTGTAAGTGGGTCGTAGAAAAAATATACTGTACAACTCGAGTGGATTATCCATATCGCACGAAGATGAAGTTTGAGCACTCCGCCTACGGCGTCGTGCTCAAACTTCGTCTTCGTGCGATATGGCCATCATATCCACTCTTGTTGCACAAACTACTATTTTCTATATTCTCATGGATATTAGCTTATCTACGCATAGCCTACAAAACGAAAAAGTATCTCATTGCGTCCAACTGAACGAATATATTTCATATCCGTTCTAGGTAGTGAGAACACAGCAAAAAATGAAATCCACAAATCACAGTTTATATTTTGGACACCCATCTACTATTATTTTTAAAATTTTAAATAAGTGACAATCCTGTCAAACTAATTGTCAGTATATTTTTTAATTATTGAGATTAAATATACATTTTCTGAAATCATAATAATGCTTGATTATATGAGAATAGTATATTATGCAACGATCATGTAATGATGGTTATTAATACACGAGCATTAACCGGGATACGAAACGAGCCAAAGGCGAGTTTCGTATGGTTTATGCGAGTGTTTTAATAACCATTACATGAGAGTTGCATACGCTATTTTTTCTACACCCGATAAATAATCAAGACCTATAAATATTATATTTATATTGGTATTGAACACAATAAGTAATTACTCGTATTTCTATAAAAAATTCTACAAAATTGTAATTAATGGTATTACTTCAGGTATTGGTATTTCCCTAGATTTTTGCGGTAAAATATTTTGTACTGTATTTTCTGCTTTCTCCGATATGTGTGGAGGAGTCTTCTATATCGCTAATATCAGACATTTTAATATTATAATTATCGAAGTTTAGCTACCTACGAAAATTTAATACGTTTTGACAACTAAAATAATTACATAGGAACCTAGGACAAACGTCAAACAGCATGCTTGATTGAAAAATTGTAGGTTTCTATTGATTAAAAATCTGTATCGTAATGAAAAATCTGTATCATAATGGGTATCATTATGAAACGGATTATGGGCATATAAGTGCATTATTATAATACGGGTGTAGAAAAAATATCTTATTTGACTTCAACAAACCTTCGTTTTTCTTTTTTAAGTTCTCTTTCCCTTTTAGAAGTATTTATTGTAGATGAATGGGAGCTTACAGATATTGTGGTTTTAGGTGATGAGTGTATCAAATTTTAAACAATTTTGTGTCTTCTAAAGAGAGTTTAAGATTGAAGTTCCCTGTCTTGCATATTTTCGTCTCTACAAATGAAATGTACATAAAATGTATTCTGCAGATTTATTAATAATATACATTTAATTAAATTTTAAAAGTTCCAAAGGCTATTATTACCAGCACCTGTTTGGTTTTAAAAATATAAGAGCTAATTATACCTTTTCATTAGCCTTCTATCTTTCTTTTCCAACTTTGAAATTTTCAATGTTGGGAACTGCAGATAAGGGCATATTTTCTTTGCCGTCGTTATTTTTAAGCCTGTAAACAATAATGTAATAATAATAATAATATATGTTCAGTATTTAACAAAAAAAAAAAAAAAAACAAATAAGTGTGTTTCAAAAGCCACATATATGAATATCGAATCATAATTATTTACAGTTTATTTGGAGAAAACTTAGGTACAGGTACAGCTTTTGGTATAGATCCTTTTATTAATCTATTGCTACCATTAGAATAATGTTCAGTTGAAAATGGTCTGAACACAGACATGTGTTGTTAAAAATGCTATTAAGCTCAAACTAAATACTTGACAGTTTGGTTATGAGATCAGCAGGAAATCTGAAATAAGTAAAAAAAAAGATTTAAAATATTAATGGCAGTTGAATAAATTATGTACAATACAAAAATATATCTAATCCATTTTACATTATACGAAAAGACATAAATTAAGCATTATCGCAAAGAAAACAACTATTTTCTGTCGAACGCAACCAGTTACGGTGATACTCAAATGAAGAATATTCTACAAACATGTTCTCTTATTCATTTGCCCATTTCCCATTTTAAGTTACGTTTATGGAATATAGAATACTTACTTGTGAAACGTCAACCAGGATCCTTTTAAGAATTTATTATTGCAAACTATACAAGCTTTCGGCATGAATCTTAATTCGGGCCTCATTTTTTTTTATTTGTATCTATATTCACATTGGACGAGGGATATACTATAGATCTTATAATATAATTGAAACTTATATTATAATAAAAATACACTTAAAAAGTTTATCAAACAGACACGTCGTCCAAATTGTCTTTGGAAGCCACAAAAAATGATCTTTTTAAAAACGAAAACAAGACGTCAAATGAATTGTCATTTATCACAAATACGCGCGTTATTTAAAATCGCCAATCATAAATCGTCGTGTTCCTAACTCGCCAATCATAATGCGTCGTGTACCTAACACCAAAGGGGTTACCCCCTCAGTAAAACCCATTTGAGTAACATATATAGTCTTATATGCTATAAGATTGCAACGCATTAACATATCAGTTGAAAATGTAAAGTATTGGCAGTCAGGCGAATAGTTTTTTGCTGTTTTAATATTGTTACAGGTACAACCAGTACTGCACAGCAAACCATTTATTTCTTAGCGCAATAAAAACCAAAACAACTAAAATAACGTATTCACGCCAAATTAAAACACATTAATCTAAGAAAAGCTAACTAAAACGCGTGCATTTAGCCATTAACTTCAAATAACATGCCAAAAATGTGTCGCGCTTTGACTTCAGTTGAGGAAGAGAGACAGAAAATATCATGCGTGTCCTAGCATCATGGGGCTGTGCCATTTTTGATAAGGTCGACATAGTCCACATAGTCCAATGGACGTCCATTTTAGATCCATTTGACAGCTGCATATCGATGTCCAGAGGACGTCTGTTTTAGGACTTAATTTTAAGTTTAGTATTATTTTGACGTCCAGTGGACGTCCATCTTAGGTCATTATTTATTTAGCCTACCAGATAATACCCATCTATATATATATTTTTATATTTTTAATAGAATTGGTCATTAAAAATTGACAATTTAAATCTATTACATTTCATTATATTAGCGGAAGTTTGAAATCTTATTCTATTATAACCGTATCTAGTAAGAATTCTTCAAGTGGCTCCTTGGTCAAGATCGCCTAGCACTTGAATGTCCAGAACGACAATGAACGTGTCGTGAGTTCGATACCTGCTCTGGTCAAGTGATTTTTAATAAAAAAAAAATAAATGGTTTGTAGCGGGTTGCGAAAATAATAAATAAATTATTAATATTATAAAATAGTGTGTGGTGAGTTGCGGTTGTGTAAAAAAAGTGGGAATGTGGTCTCATAATGGAATATGTAATCCAGGAATGAACGTTTTTTGAATGTC